AACTCTTGAAGATTTCGACGAGGTTTGAGAAAATTTCAGTTAGAAATGCTTTTCCGAAATTTCCAAGCGAGTACGACTGATTCTAAGAAGTGCCAGTTATTAAATGCCGCAAGATATGAAAACTTCTGCTTGCATTAAACTATAGAAAATACTTAAATACTTTCACTCTGTTCAAAAAGCAGTATATCGCCCAGAAACGTAGATAAAAAAAATTGAGCATTAAACTAAAAAGATATAGTGGGTATATGGACTACGAGTTAAAAAACGTCACGCCTAGCCTGTCAGAGAGATTAAATTAAACAATCGACATAGTAACTGGTACTTTATTGGGCCCGGCAGAAATATGTGCACCAAGATGGCGCACAACCTAAACATAGTATGTGTACCAGGTTGGGGTTAAGGTTGTGCGCCATCTTGGTGCATATTATGTTGTTGTTCTTCTTCTTCTTCTTGTTCTTTGTCACAGAAAAAAAAGCTTTTCTCTTCGAATACTGGACCAATTGCTTCGAAATTTTCAGTTGTTGAAGATTGATTGATTTTTTTGCCAGAAGTCTATTACTTTTATTTATTTCAAATATTATGGGTGCCGCTGCCCGCTATGGCTTCCCTCGCCCTGAGACTCATTTATCATATTTATTGTAATTTTTTTGTATATCCATATGTGTTTTCAGTATGGTGAAAAAATGAATTACTGATTACTGATTACTCAAATATACCGGTGAGATGCACGGGAATCGTTTTTTTGACGTCATCCGAATATGCCACTAGGTGGCGCTACGTGTCCATATATTTGAGCATAGTTCTCTTCTTATTAGTATGTTGTTCTTCGACACAGAATTTCATCGTTATTAAAAGTCACTTTTCTCTTTGACTACTGGACCAATTGCTATGAAATTTTCAGTAGTTAAAGATTGAATTTCTTCAGAACGATATTACTTTTATTTATTTCTAAAATCCGTATGAATTCTATGAGATCTGATATTTCATCCAAAACTTTGCTGTATTATTTTTATTCGTGAGAACACGGTTTTTATTCCGCGTGATGACTGGCTGTCAGTTTTAATTCTGCAAATTTTTTCTACGCGAAATTCGGAAAATTTTTTGACGGTACCGGCATCGTTAAAGGTAATGTAGACTACTGCTTCGCTTTCGTGTCCATGTATTTGAGCACTGCTCTCTTGTTTTTACCATACTAAAAACAGACACTGTATATGGGGATTGTGAATGGCCTCCAAAACGCCCTTTCATGGTCAAGTGAGACACGAAAAAATCAATACTGGGTAAGTAAAGGCAACACTCTTGTTGAAGCAGTAAGTCATCCAATAATAAGAGAAACAAACTCGAACAGTGTAGTGCATAAGTTTGAAAGAAATCCATTGAAGAGACCTGCAATTCCTAGAATTGCTCACTTCAACAAATGAGAATCGACAAGACAAATAGTCGTGGTAACAGCACTTTAAAAACTATAGCAACCTCATTGTGAAGTAACTACGAACGGACAATAAACAAAGCAAGGCGATAGATATTCAAGTACATTATTTTATTGATTTCTGTATTGTACAGTGTTCAAGTGCACACTGACAGTCTCTGGATATCACTACAGAGTTGGCAAGCACACTCATCCAAAGGGTTTTTAAGTATTCATACGTATCGGTCAATTAAAAATATTTACAGCGCAAAAAAAATGAACAGTATTATAATTCAGATTCGGTACTCATAGTTTTTAAATAGTTCTGATATAAATGAAATTTCTCAGTCAGTTTGTTTTCAAAGGAATTTCGTTGTAACAGCAAAGTGATAGCAAAACCGACCTCAAAAAGATAGGGTGGCTCAGTCTCAAATTAGTTTACAATACTGTTTAATAAAAATGGAGGAGTATTTCAGAATAGTCATTTTTTTAAATTGTAGGCTTGGTTGTGAAACGATAATATTCTAGATGGAATCATTTCAGGTATCTATTGTTTTTCTTAAATAATTCATTAGAGTGGAAACATTAATGATAAACTTGATTTGATAACGCTTAACGAATAACTCGAGTATATTTTTCATATATTTTCATAATGATATTTAGTTTACATAAACTTTATATAAAGACTTATTCAGTGGGTATAGTCAAGACATAAGCGAGTAACGCGTCTAGAGGGAGGAAATAAAAACTGTTCGCAAAACAGGCAAATGGTTTCAAATGGCAGTTAGAACAATAAATCAACCGTGTGTGAACTTCACTGTGGTGATGTGAACTGAAGATAGTAAGGCATACAGAGAAACTCACCATTTTTTTTATATAGTGAAAATTTCAATTGTGTCGAACCTTAAGACTTTTGACCGAAAGCAATCTGCGTTTAATGTGAAACAAAAACATAAATTTTATCGATCTTAGTGAATAAATTTAAATCTTTATATTCAGAAATCCGAAGCAATCGAAGACCACAATGATAAGACTCGCCGTATTCACATACCTTCTTGCGTAAGAATAATGCATATTTAAAAAAAATACACAAATCTGTATTCTTTTTATGATCATATTTCAGTCAATAACCACTCAGTACTTTTTTTTGAATGGGAGATACATAAGTATAATGTTCAGTGTTTTTGCACCCTTGTTATAATAAGTGAATAAACCTTAATAATTGAAAAGGTGTTTTCCAGCTTTATTAGAAACCCTCTTTTGCACAATTCTCAGTTAATGGACACGTCAGTGGACATAATGATCGTTTCAATACTATGTTGTTGTCATTATTCTTCTCTATCGTCATGATAAAATCGCTTTTCTTTTCGAATACTGGACCAATTGCTTTGAAATTTTCAGTGGTTAAAAATTGATTTTTTTCCAGAAGGCTATTATATATTTTTAGTTATTTCAAAAATTTCTGTGGACTTCAAGAAATTTGTTTTTTACGTGTAAGAATAAAAAAATAGTGACCCCTTTTGACGTGTCCATATATTTGAGCGCAGCTCTCTTGTTTTACGTATAATATTAACGGAATCAGTTATAACGAGTAATTTCAATGCCCAACTAAATAATTATATTGAGTTTCAGAATAGACCAAGATACGAATAATCGCATGCTGAAACAAGCGTGTTTGAAACTAATATTTCTTTATGCTATGCAGATTTGCTCTGGTAAGTAAAAAGAGTGAAGCCAGCCCGACAAGCAAACTACAAGAGGGTCCTTTGCTAGCTCTACTGCCAGAAATCAACAAGAAAAAGGGGGAAATGCTGGATTTGCCTTTGTTTGAAACCCACAGCATCGAGAAAAGGAATTGTAGACGGCGCCGTGACGCCTCAAGTTCTGAATCTGCTCGAAGTTCTGGGAGTTCAACCACTGATGGCTTGTAAAAACGTGGTCATAAATTTTCAATATATATATGGTTTATATTACATTCGGTGTGTTTGCTCTACACTACAAAGCATCGAGTGCGGGGATGGGTGTTAGGAAGTACCGGGTCTAGCATGGAGCAACACAATTTAAATTTTATGTCAACTCTTAAAGATCTTAATGATAGTTAATGCTTTTCCAAAATTCGCATGCGAATTCGACTGATTCTGAAGATGCGCCGCGCCAATTTTTAACGCCACGGGACAGAAAATATGTCTGTTTACATTATATTGTGGAAAATACTTAAATACCTCCCCTTTATTGTTCAAAATGTAGTATATCGCATTGCGCTTCGCACAGAAAGGTAGATAAGAAAATGAGGATTAACTAAAAATATATGAAATGTAATTTGACCGGGGTTATAATTTGACATATTGTCAGAAAAGCACCAAACTGTGTATACTTGGTTAATAGAATTAATGATAAATGTTTCTACATTTCAGTAAACGGAGGGTTACCATTACCACATGAAATCTTACAATAGTTAGCAACATACAAAAATGTCACATACAGAAATATACCTGGAAATGATAAAGAGAAAAACGATCTTTTCTGTTGTTCGAAGTAATAACAGATAACATTAATGTTGTGAAGTGACACAATATGTCAATAAGAACAAGCAAAAATTCTTTCACTTGACGTCGTGGTTCAGAAATTCGGTGTTGAAGAATTCAAGAAACTTAAAATAATAAATATGGATGCATCAGCTATTGCTATTAAAGCGAAAAAGGCACTTTAATTTAATACACCGTATTTCCCGGCAAATAAGTCGCTTTTCTAGACCCAAAATTTTAGCCTGATTTTTTTTTTTGGGGGGGGGGTCGTCTTACGAGGCGAGAATGGTAATTTTCATTTTTTTGGTGTCGCCTCATTATGCATTAGGTAATGTTCTTTTATGGTGGACGCAATCGCGAGTTGAACACAATTAGATTGAAATTTCAAGACAGTTTGAATTCCCGTAGTTATTATGGATTGAATATTATGCCACAAGAAAACGTCATTATAGGCTATTTTAACCAACGCGCAAACGCGGAGATCGCTCAAAAGGCATACCATGGTAATTTGAGATTCCGATGTTGACGCGATTTTACTACCCCGACTTATTGGCAGGTTATATGCAAAAACCCATTTTCAGGCCCAAAAATGGGCCTCGTCTTATTTACCGGGTAGACTTATTCGCCGGGAAATACGGTATATATAATATTTGGCATTTTATGATATTGCTCGAGTTAGGTACACCCAATACCCGGCCTGTCGAACATAGTCAGAAACGTTTGAAGAGGGGGGTTCTGGCATTTCTAATTGCCTAGTTCGACTGCAAGGCTAGCGAGGACGAAAATCGAGGGCTTTCAGTTGTCTTGAGTGTCTGAAAAGTGTTTCAAGCTACAAAAAATTGCTATGTAGGATACAATAATGCCTATTTTTACATTTTAAAAGAAGGGGCGGGGGCGACTCTCACCCCTGGCTACGCTTTTGAATATTTAGTAATCAGTATTTCACTTTCAGGGTCAAGTGAGACACGAAAAAATCAATACTGGGTAAATAGAGGCAACACTCTTGTTGAAACAGTAAGTCATACAATAATAAAAGAAACAAAGTCGAACAGTGTAGTAGAAAAAGCTTGAAAGAAATCCATTGTAGAGAACTGTGATTACTAGGATTGCTCACTTCACCAAATGAGAATCGACAAGAGAAATAGTCGTGGCAACGGCACTGAAGAAACCATAGTAACCTCATTGTGAAGTAACTACGAATGGACAATAAACAAAGCAAGGCGATAGATACTCAAGTACATTGTTTTATTGATTTCTGTATTGTACAGTGTTCAAGTGCACACTGACAGTCTCTGGACATCACTACAAAGTTGGCTAGCACACTCATCCAAAGGGTTTGTAAGTATTCATACGTATCGGTCAATTAAAAATATTTAGAGCGCAACAAAAAAATTTAACAGTATTATAATTTAGCTTCGGTACCCATAGTTTTCAAATAGTTCTGGTATAAATGAAATAGCTCAGTCATTTTGTTTTCGAAGGAGTTTCGGTTTAACAGCAAAGTGAAAGCAAAAACGATCTCAAAAAGATAGGGTAGACAAGTACTAAAGTAGTTTTCAATACCGTCTAAACAAAGATGGAGGAATATTTCAGGACAGAATAGTCATTTTTTTTAAATTGTGAGATTGATTGTGAACAATTAACAATCTTGATGGCATCAGTTCTCTATTTCCATAAATAATTTATTAGAGTTTTAATGTTTGTGGAAACATTAATGATAAACTTGATTTGGTAACGTTTATCTAATAACTCAAGTATATTTGTCATGTCTTTTCATAATGATGTTTAATTTACATAAACTTTATATAAAGACTTATTCAGTGGATATAGTCAAGACATAGCGAGTAACGCGTCTACAGGTAGGAAATAAAAACTGTTCGCAAAGCAGGCAAATGGTTTTAAATGGTAATTGGAACAATAAATCATCCGTATTTGAACTTGAACTAAAGAGAAACTCTTTTTTCCTTCCCAGTGAAAATATCAACTGTGTCAAGCCTTAAGTTCCTGTGTTTATTGTAAAACGAAAACGTTGGTGAATAAACTTATATCTCTATTTACAGAAGTCCGAAGCAATCAGAAGAACACAATGATAAGATTCGCCGTATTCACATACCTTCTTGCGTAAGTATAATGCCATATAAATAAAAATCACAAATATTTATCATATCTCAATAACCACTTGGTACTTTATTTTGAGTGGGAGATGAAAAATGAAACGAATACCAGTATAACGTTCAGTGTTTTTGCACCCCCCTGATATTCCAATTGAATAAACCTTAACAAATAAAACGCTGTTTCCCATCTATATTAGAAACTCTCTTCTGCAAAATTCCCAGTTATTTTTGGTAGGATATTAACGAAATCAGTTGCAAGGAGTAATTTTAAAGCCTAACTAAAAAACATATGGCTCAACAACAAAATAATATATTAGGTTTCCAAATAGACCAAGTTGCGTAAAATCGCAAGCTGAAAAATGCGTGTCGGAAACTAATACTTCTTTCTGCTATGCAGATTTGCTCTGGTAAGTGAAAAGAGTGAAGCCTGCCCGACAAGCAAACTACAAGAGGGTACTTTGCTAGCTTTATTGCCAGAAATCAACGAAGAACAAAAGGAAATGCTGGATTCGCATATGTTTAAAACCTACAGCCAGGGATGGCCATTTCCGAATACTAAACTATTCCGAATACATTCTAAAATAATGTTTTCGAATCTGGAATTCCGAATACATTCTAAAATCGAAAATAACACATTTTTGTTTTAGTCGATTAAAACCCAGAAAATTAGGAAATAAGCTTCAATAGAAATATCAGAATGAAGCCACAAACCAACAGTATATGTACACAAAGTAATTGATAGTTTATAGCTATCAATAAAAAATAATAGCAACTTGTGACACAGTCAGTTTATTAACATTATTCACTTTGTACAAATGACCATATGAAATAATAGCCAAGGAGTTGTCTGACGCTTTCTATCATTGGTACCATGATATTACGATAATAGTCAAGTCTATTGACAAAAATACTACTTGTATTCAGATAATTGTGTATATTTTCTGAGAGTAATAAAATTTATTGGCAATACAGGCAACAACAATCGAAAATCCATTATGCCTTTAAAAATTCTAATATTTAGGCCTGAGGTATTAGGCCTGGGGTATACTACCTACCAGTATATTGTTATTATGTGTAACATAATGTTGTGTTTGGAATTAGAAATAAATTAGTAGAGAATAGCTGACCACCACTGCCAGCGCGCAGCCAGGATTTTCGAAATCGGAAATTCCGATTGCCGCCTGTAACACCCACCGCCGTCTTTTCAGTGTATAATGATCATTCTGTTACGTAAAATATTCCATCCATGACAACTACGAGATTCTAAAATATCTTTATATATTAATTTAATATGTCCAACGTAACTCACGGTTACTTCTTCTTACGCCAAAAAAAAAACATTACTATTTGGTCCACGGCGATCTGTGACCTAAAATTACGAGATAAACTGCCTGATGTATTTAATTTTAATACGTATTTTTGCAATCTTGCCAACTCGTTATCGCCGTTAGAAAAATCTCAAATAATTATATAAAATCCTGTTAAGTGTAGAGTATAATTCATTTGATACAATGAATATACATATAAAGTTTAGCAGTAAATTAAAAATACATATTCATCGCCGCGATTATGCCACCTCGACTTTTAACAACAAATAATATAACAACGAATATATATTTTTCTGTTGTGCAAAGTGATGAATTCGTGACCGACACGGGCATATTTAAAATGTCTTGCTTTATTAATTTAATTGTCTTCAATTTAACCTGCGGTTGCGTCAACAAAATAAAATCCTCACCACTCTTATATACCATTGCAATCCGCGGTCATAAAAATAAAAACGTGAGGTAAACTGTCCGATTAAATATTGTTTTGATCCGTATTTTGCGAATTCGTCAAATATTTAGATGTACTTGTTAACAGTGACTCCGCTCGATCGAAATACTGCCACTCTGTGATTATTTTTAGATAAAACTGTTCGAGAAATCCATAAATATGCTGTAATATCTCAGAGTAAAATTTATTTCATCACAATAAAATTGATTGAATATACTTTAGATTAATTATATTATATACATCCTCACAACCCGGGAAAAGTCGCGTTTCAAACCTTGTATCGTGTTAACATGAAAATATTCGACGGCAATTTAAAGTAGTGGATAATCAGGCAAACCCCGCCCTCAATTAGTGACGATATGTTTCTAAACGCCGACCAAACATGTGTGCCAGAGGCACACGATATTTTGCGATTTTCACTGCCTAGAAAAGAGTTTTTTAAATTTTCGCGGGCCTCAATAAAACTTATATTGTTTACGGTTTTATTTTCAGTATTCCAAATTGCCGCTTTTCAATCAAAAAGTTGCGTTGTCTTTAGAAACTCGCCGCCGATGAACGTATTTACCAGATTCACAATTCCGTGCGCGTACAAAAATAAAATAAATGTTATCGTTATCGTGGAACAAATTTGTGGAAAATTTTCGTTTTAGAGTAAATAACACAATCGTAAAGGCGTTTACGGGCCTAAATAACACGTTACGCTGATGAGTGATGAAAACAATCACGCGCAAGTTTCTATCGAGAATGTTTTCATTCAACGGAAACGTCTTGAAAGCGGCGTCGAAAATGTGTGACGTCACACAAATATCCGATATTCTTATGAACGTGAATTCAGATATTCGAATGACGAGATATTCGAATACATTCGAATACTTTATTCGAATTGGCCATCCCTGCCTACAGCACTGAGAAAAGGAGCGGTAGAAGACGCCGTCAAGCGGCAAGTTCTGAATCTGATCGAAGTTCCAGGAGTCAATCAGATCACGGATCAAATTCAGATTAAAATTTCGAAAAAAAAATAATGCTATATATCGCAGAAATGCTGTTATTTTTATTTTTTCAAAGGGGTGGAGTAGTAGGCGGAAATTAACAATTGGGGTCTATGAAAAAGGAATAGAGGAAAACGTTCATCGCCGTCATGAGGTTGTTCCAACACTTATATTTCGCATAATATATATGTGTATTATCAACACAACAGTTTTCCTGGTGGCAATCATGCATTATATATGTGTGTTTTACATATTATGTTGTCACCAACAAAAACAATATATCGACTTTGTTTAGTTAGACTTGATAATTAGTACAAAAATAGTTAAAAATTCGACCACGACTTCAGACATTGTATGAGCGAGGCAATAGTTTAAGACCAAGACACCAAAAAAACAGTACGAATGTGGTGATGTCACAAAGGGCTCTGGTTCCAAGGAATCGTTCGAGCATTTTTTAGTTAGAATAGATTTGAGCGTATGGCCATTGGTCAAAGTAAACGTAAGCATGAAAAAAAAACTCACTCCGTCGTAGCTCCATGCAAACGGCAGAGAAGCTGCTCAACAGTGATCAAGCCAATTTATTGATCACGGCAACAAAATCAAAATTTTCTTCAGAAACAAAATGACCGCTTTGTACCTCAATTTCGACACATTAGCTAAAACTGACAACAACGTTCAGAACTACGAAAACGACGCAAAGTTTATTTCCGCACTTGAAACTGTCGGACTAGTTAAATGTCTGATCGGATGTTAAATATCAATTGTTACGTCGCAATTGTATTATTGCTGATTGGCCATCGATTCGAAGATATTCAATGAAATGATATTAGTGGAAACATCTACAGCTCAGTGGATGTTTCCTCGACCTCAAAAAAATCATAAATTTTTTAACGTATATTTTGAGTGTTTTGGACAGTTGGTGCTTAGAACCCGGTTTACATACACGAAACCATCGTAATTTTTTGATAAAAATATCCAACCACTGTTACTAGTTTTAGTTCTGTTAGCTAGTTTTAGCCTAGTCTATCGCAGCTTTTCCAGGATTATTTTTCGAATATTGCGACTAACTAAAGCTTCTAGGAAGACATAATACGAACTAAGTTATTTGATTTGCAACCTATTTTGGGGTAAACAACTGAAAAGTGATAAATAACACTCAAAATCACGAGGACGAGGCAATTTTTGAAACCGTGCTTAAAATCTGTCTGAGCGAAAGAAGTGGCCGAAACTTGAACAGTCCCATCCTAATAGAATTCGTGGTCCGAAGACGTCCGAACACCGATAGCATTTTTGCAAATTAGCAAAAAACTAAAAGTGAACAGCGAAATACAATTTGCCACCACGACAACACAATATCCAATACGCAATATCGCTTTACATCGGACGGAAAACTTCTCCAGCTAGGTTGGATTTTGTTCAATTCCAGCTTCAAGAAGATGAGAATTCGAATGTATGAAAACAGTATATTTGGAAGTACCAAGTACGTAACTACTGACTAAAAGTGCAAGATAGTTAAATATGCTTCAGAATATATAGTTAATATTATACCAGTAATGACATAATGTTATATTTCAAAGTATCAAACTAGAAAATATCTAAATACTATAGCACTCGTAGCAGTAATGAAAAATGAGACACGATGCTTGGAAAAGCATTATATCGGATGACAAACAACTCGACTACCAAGAGAACTGACAAGTTGTCCGTTTTGTTGTATTTGCGGTAGCCGAGTTGTCCGCCTCCCATTATATTGCATTGCATTTCCACAATAAGACAGAAAAAAAAATAGAGATTTATCTAAAATATAGCTGATGTTAGAGAAGCACCAAAATGTTTTTATGGTTGTTTGATGACAAAATTGGAATAATATCAGAAGGTAGGATAGGATTCACATATTCACTCCCGGTGGAGAGGAAAGTTATAAGACCGCTTAATTCGAACCACTGCCTCTAGTCCGTTTACCAGTCCATGTCGGGTATGGGATTAGTTAGCCAGTTAGGTAACAAAGAATAACGCAAGCGAGGTTGTTTTGTTGCAAACATACAGAAATATGGTTGGCTACTAATTAATCGTTGTCGAAAACTAAACATTAGACATTGATATACTTGTAATTTTATGCACAAAAAAAAGAGAGCAAAATTCTTTTACCAAGTCATGGTCGCATTGCAGACTATTTAACAATTCATTTAAAATAATAAATAGATAATTAATCAGCTATTGCTGATAAAGAGAAAAGTCTACTGCAATTTACCACATGTACTATTTGGCATTTTATAATATTGCTATATTTGTACACACCCACAAAACAAACAATTGCCCTGTCAGACAAGGGAAATAAATCAAACAATGACTATAACACCAGGGGTTGGAATATAAACTGAAGATCAGAACCAAATTCTTGCAACGTTTCAAATAAGACAATCATTTTAAGTTTTTTTGAGATGAACAAAATTTAGCAAAATAATGTTTATTCTCTAAGTTTCTAAAGGAAAATGGGGCAAATTTGATAAACTAAACATAATTTAGGATTTTAGAAAGTTTGTTCAAAAATCTGATAGATTTTGTGTTATTGTAAGTTTTAATTCAATGCATGGATGTGTAATGTATGTAAAAAAATTATTTTTATGCATAACCTAATTTTTGCAAATATTGTTCATGATTATGTAGTGCGGCGAGGAGGCCGCCATCATTTTTAGGGTCGCCAGATCTAGAATAGTCTATCCGAGACCCAGATAAAGTTGTCATTTTACCACCTGATGTATTTAGAATAGCATTGCCAGCACAAATGTCCCACTTCTTTATTAAAGTGGTATGAAGATACACTGATGCTTGACCATTATATAACGCTAAACTCTTGTATCCTGAAAAAGGTTTATATATGATATTAGAAATCGGGCAATAATTTCATGTGCAATATTACAAAGGGAAAATGTATATGAACAATATTAGAGGTAAATTTTGAATTCTATTTCGAGTATATAACTAGAGTACTGAACAATAAGTCATATTCATGACAACGAGTTACTTCAACTTGGTTAATTTTTAAAATGTTCCACGAAGCAGAAACATTCACTTGGTTGAAAATAATCTTACCATACGGCAATTCGTTTTCACCTAAATAATTATATAGCTGCCACCAGAATGGCTGAATTTGACATAACAAATATGGATAAAAATTCAAAATAATGCTTACCAGCGCCACCTGCAGGTACAACGACCACATCCTCTCCAAATGCTTTTTGTGCAGTTTCTTTTACTGTGCCTGCATGTGATCGAGAAACAATGATTCTATGTTCTCCTTCATTCCCAACATCTTTCTTCTCTTTGACGTTTGTACCGTGATCAAACCAGGCCCAATCTTAACAAAAAAGCAATTTATGAAAAATATTCTATTCGCCATAAGAATAATGAATGTTTGGCGGCGCTCCAGAAGTGTGTGTACCAATAAGGAGGTAACTAATTTTGTTCGCCTACTTTACATCAAGTTGTGTAAAGGGACCGAAACCTATGGGCGTATATTCACTTGGCTAACACAGACAGTCCCTGAACTCGTAATAGAACTAAAATAAGAAAAATCGGAATAACCCTAAACTGGTACACACACTACAGAAGTGCCTGTTTGTCTATATACTTACAAGTCTCATTAGAAAACGGTTTATGTATAACTCCGATAATTGGTTGACCTTTTACGGCAATGCACACCATTGTTGTTACATACTGAAGCAAATCCTCTGTAAAAATAAATGCATCAAAATATAGGATAGGATTTACATCTTTATCCCGGGAGTGGGTAAAGACAATGAGTCGGTCACAGAAGGGTGTGGGATTAGTTAGGCAGTTATTTATTTTCAGGTGCATGGACTTGGAGGAAGCCATAACTATAAACCTGCGAACCCACGTAGGGTAATCTAAGGTGAGGTGTCGAGCGTATTCCAAACAGACTTTTAAAAACTGGTCCCAGCAAATTGACTCTAAAAATTTGGCTTTATCAAAGCTAGAACAGTACCCCACACCCCAACGTTTTCAGCAAAATGAAAAACCACGAATAAAAAATAAAACCAATACCAATCAGGATTAACAAAATTCAGCAAATAATGTCAGCCCTACCAGTATACTCCTTTGTGGCATCCAGAGGATCGATCCAAATTGTAATGTCTTCTGCTTGCACTACTTCATCACTTGAGCCAACTATTTTATCGACTTCTGAATTTGTCGTTGGAAGTGGTGGCAGATTCATAGCAAAAGGCTTGCCGTCATTTTCTTCAGAGATGAGCTAATAAAAGACAATGATTTATAAAGTAATGCATCTTTTTCTTGATGAGACAGGGCACGAAAATGCATCAGGCCTCAGATATAGACTTGTTGTAATATAACTTGCAATTGAATGTAATTTTTTGTTTACACAGTTGCAGTCCAGCGATTATTGTTGTGTAGAGTGTCTAAAAACAGACGGCAATATATGCTGAACTATTGTGTGTTGTTGATTCACTCAACATTACTCATTTTACTGTTGACAGAGTCCTATAATCGCTGACACGATTCGCTAAAACGCAACATAAATCGCTGTGTTTTACCTTAAAGTCTTTCTAAATATGCTTCGATTTCAAGTTGACTAAAGCCCTATATCAAGGCACTCAAGTTTTTAATACATTCACTTATTCACATAAAACCAGAAATGTATTTGTTTGAAATTCAAGATTGACGTCATTGTTGAAGTTGGTTTACAAAAAAACACACAAATAATTGTAATTTTATTTTTTCCTTTGAAGATCTGGCATACATTATTTTGCAGGCATTCAGCCTGCAGAATATACGTCGACGCTCCATAAGTGTGTGTGCCAATATGGAGGTAACTAATTTTGTTTGCCTACTTCACATCAAGTTGTGTGAAGGGACCGAAACCTATGGGCAGAGGGTATATTCACTTGGCTAACACAGTCTCGAACTTGTAAGAGAACTAAAATAACTATTACACACACTACAGGAGTACCTATATGACAGTGATATTTGATTCTACTATAGTCTAATTATATCGCAAACATGATTATATCCTAAGTTTGCAATAAAAATCATGTAATACCGGAACATTTGGGAATCCTCTTGCAAATGATGTTGACATAGCCTGATGAGATAATTTATCTCCCATTGTCAGTGGATCATTCACTCCTTCCTTTGTTTCTCCTTTACTTTCTTCGCCAAGATCTGCTGATTCTTTTACTTCCTTCACCTTTTATAAAAATGACATTTTTTATTTTTGAAGGTGACAATAATATTTCAAGTTTGAGTTTGTCAGAAGGTTGTTCAAATTCAACCCATTAACTTCTTTGCGCATAATTATCCCCTACATCAGTGGTCGGCAACCACCGGGCCGCGGCCCATCGCCGGTCCGCGAAAAAGTTACTGCCGGTCCGCAGAGAGGTGACACAAAAACAGACGAGGCCGTAATAAAACCTCTACAATCTAACCACAAGCCCTACGACTAAAAAACAGCACCCAACAGTAAACCAGACAAACACAACATTGAGAGTCGGCAAACTGCGGGCCAAATGCGGCCTGCGAGCTAATTTGTTGAGACTCTCGAACCACTCGACATTCAATACATAAAACAAAAATTGATCCCAAATTTATTATTGTCTCTACACGAATTTATGTGGCGACAAGTGCTGCTGTACGGCGCTTTTTATGAAACAAGTGGCTTCAGTTGTATGTCGTTCGAGTTAATTTAGATTTTTAAAATTTAAAAATGTCCGGGAAACAGAGCGACAAGGGTCGAGCATTCCAAAGTGCTTGAACGGAAAAGTATTTTCTTTCTTGGGCATTACAAAACCAGTTTGCTCGATATGCCCAGTCAGCATTGCAGTTATTAAGAGTTTCAATGTTTTAATTAAACTCGTTACAAAACGAGTCGTCGAAATTTCGATCCCGAAACCCGGGACTGTGCCACAGCTCATCTGTGCGTTAGGGCAAAAGATGTAAAGCCCACGTTCGGAAGAACATATGGCCTTGAGCAGCTTTATCTGAAATGCATTAAACTTAGATTAAATTTCGTACTCGCTTGTCAGATCATCACTTGGACGACGAGTTGCCATAAAAACATCATCTTTCACATTAATAATAGATAAATAGAAACAATGTATTGTTGGATAATATATTACAAAAACGCCACATACACATCTCCTTGGGACAGGCTTTCAACACAGCAATAGAAGGGCAGCAATGCAAATGCGCCATAAATTGAAGTTTAATTAATGTAGCGATTGTTCGAAGGCGGAAATATTGCGGCCCGTGCGCTACCGGAAACGTGTATATTTGGCCCGCAAGAACATGAAGGTTGCCGACCCCCGCACAACACTATTGAGCAGCAAGTCTGACTTCATAAACAATTGCCATGTCAGTATGTTGCAATAATGCTGGGCCAATTATTTTCTCTACGCCCGTATAAGAATGTCTCTCATCAGTCCGAATAAGATCTCCCCAACAATATGACGCAAGCATTGGTAACCCGAAATCTTAATGTGAGGCCTGGTTATCAATATTGATAACTACAAAAACGATATAATATCGAAGTAGGTTAGATGTAAGAAACATGTTACGTGTGTCAATGTCTCGAATATGGGAACAGTTAATGGCCATCAAACAAATACAGATATCGCATTAAATAGCATAACCGTCGTTTTTAGTAAATTTCCTAATGCGTATGATTTATTGCATAGGCTTAGTTTATTTGTATAAAGGTGGTCCGCCAAAAGTTTTGTCAGGCTTTACCGGTCCGTCAACTGAAAAAGGTTGCCGACCACTGCCCTACATGGTAAAATAGAGGCGATTGCAAGCGTATTTCTAATGCTTAGTATGATGCACAACATTTGCCTTTAAATAAGAACTAACCATTTTTCCTCCTCTCATAGCAACGTCGATGCTTGCTATCAGCAAGGCTTTCATGCTGACATGGTTGTCTTGTACAGAAATTGAAACATCATTTTTTCCAAAATGGTTGAATGTTAAATAAAACACGACAACAACAATGAAGACAAAAAATCCAATGCCAACTGGAGAAACTTTGACACCTGAAAATTATGACATATTTTACGCCAAATAGACTCGCTAGACATAGTTTACTTTGAAAGCTTCTCAATTGAATATAAAACCCCTAAATCCAGGCAATTTCTATTAGTCAAATTCAATACGGGACAATTAATTTTGAACTCAAGACATAAACAAATTACAATACACCAAACAAAAGTGACAAGATAGTCAACTCTCTAAATGGACTTTGATTTTTGTGATAATACATGACGATGACATACTGTACTCAGGCGAATTGGAAATGCATACAATAGATAACAAGATAAATATATTAATGTGGGCACATATTATCCCGGTCATTCAAGGTTAGATTTTCCTTAAAACCAAACTAAAATATCACGTAAGAGGTTTATAGGTACCTTTTTATAGTGATACGGTAACACTGTACCAATACCATAACCAAACAAGCACCGAAATTGACGAAATATAATTCAGGACTTTGCATATTTCCAGTATTTCTGTATTTATTCCCAACGAGAGAAAAACTGATGAGAGTTATTCGGTTACCAGTCAATGTCAGACGGTGTGCTGGTATGATAATATTTAACCCAGTACCGTAACCAGGTATTTTTTTCATATGCAACCACCTTCTGACTTGAAAATATCACATAAATTTCCTACCTCGAAATAGGGGAAACATAAAAAACACCATGAATTTGCCACTGTACCGGTATTGTATTGTGACCCTCTGGTTAAAATTCAATATAATAGCAATATAAATATACCAGTAATTGCAACTTACCGCTGGGTGACATTTTTTCCTGCTTCAAAACTAAAACTCCTCCCTCTGAAATTACGGACTTGACGTTGTTTGACGTTGAGCGACAACCATTTTCTCGAACGTGGATAGTTTACTCACGCGTGACCAAACAGGTTTTCCATTTTAGAACGTCAATTTGCGTGTGGATAATCATGTTCTCTGCAGCTGGCTGCAATATTTAGAAATACGGTTTGTTAATTTGTTGATACACTTGGGTATGGTGGGCATTACATATTTAATCGGCTACATGGAAAACTCCGATAGACATTTTGATTTTATTGTGTACATAGGACCAGAAAATGTCTCTCATACTCAAAATCAGAAAATATGTGGAGAGAGTATGCGCAACGATATTACAAAATCAAAAAGATTTGATGTCGTAAAGAAGGTTACGGAAAATGAAAAATAACTGCTATATAAATATAAAATATTATCATTTATTTAATCGTGTTGAAGTTTACCTATACTCCTATTTCCGACATAACCAATTTAAAATTATCTTCTCCCGACCGACTGGGAGATTTTGAGAGGTATTCAATCATTGTACGTAAGTAGCGATCGGCTTTTACATGATCGTAAACTGCGAGCCAGTGCTGGATTCACCCTCCAGGGCCCTAGGCAGAATGAGCCTGTGCTTGGGGCACCAAGAGAAAAGGGGCACCAGTGGAGCAACTTTCCTCTCCCTTGGGATAATATGGAAATTATATCCTAATTTGCCAAATTATTCACCTTTTATTTCTGACTCAAGAGCTTTTCAAAATGAGCGATTGTGCTTCTCTGAATCTTCTCATTGCCTCCGCAATTTCTTTCGTTTCCTGAGTTTTTTCTTGTGCTTTAGCAATAGCATTTTTGAGTGAGTCTCTGCAAAAAATATCAATAAGATATGCTGCGAAGATAACAAGTTGAAGTAAAAGGTTAAAAATTTTATGTCAAAACTCATCATGTAAATTCCACATAGTCAGTTATTAACTTTTCTATATGAAGCCATCTAGACGAGTGAAAAGTCTGAATCACCAGTGATCAGACGAAACAAACCTCAGCATTGGCCCGGTTGAAGTAAAGTTCTTAAGTGTTATCTTAAACTTCTCTATCAATCATATATGATCGAGTATGAGAGCTGTTTCCAAAAAAATCATGCAAATTAATCGTAACTTGGCTCTCAATTATCAATGAATACTAAAAATTACTTATTCAATTACAGATCAAACACTACCAGTTTCCTTATTACTATACATACAAAATCTTTGAAAAAGTGAGACTGTCGTAAGCACTCGAAGTACGGACAGCTATGTTTCGTGGCTCCGGGCGGAGGAGGTGAAATTCCACTATTGTGTTGGTTCCATGGCTATTTATGCCTCTTCGTGATTTGGGCGTGTTCGATACGACTGCTGCGGCGGTCTCCAGTTATCTTCACAAATTGACGCTCAGCGAGGGACTTGAAGGCCAAATTTATATATATAATAGTTCCATGCCATTCGCCTACAATATCCCAATTTGATTTGCAGTCTTTTATCAATTTTATCACAATATAACATTATTTGATTGAATAACTTTACTGCTCAATTAATAATGTTTTTTACAATATTCATCTAATATAACTTATAACCTAGACTTTCTCACTGGCTGATAATATTCAATTATGTATTCCACATGTTCGTGAACCACCGCCGAGTTGACAACCCCATTGCAACTGCTTTATATATATGAGTTAATTTTTTATGTGTGTCTTGGTCTTGGTTTTGATACTAATGTCCCATTACCGTATTTTATTATATTTTTGTAAATACTGTTTGAACACATTGATGCGAGAGAGATCTGGGTTGTCAACAAAAATGTGCCCTATTTTTTCACAAAGGGCATGAATAATATTTACGGAAAAACACCAAATTTTACCGAGTTAGGGACTATGTATTCAACGATTTATTTGACTTTGAATGGCGTTCGGTTAAGTCAGCCTGCGTGAACAAATGTATTGTTTTTTTGCTCATAGACAGCGCTTTGTTTTGACGACTTAGTCGAAAATACCTTCTTGTTTTTTTTTAACTTTTGGAAAAAGTGTAATTGGCTTCGTGCAGTGTAGTTATGTTTCATGAATTGACATGACCGATCTGTATCTCAATTTTATATAGAAGCAAAAACTGTGTCAGGGATGTCGCGCCACGGTGAACATAGCAGTGACAAGTGTCTTTCAAAGTAGAGCTATTACACTATTTGCTCGCCAATAGGAATGCTCTTCGCTGAATATTAATTACTGACTACTTGAGTGCAGTTAATTAAAATAGCTCCGCTATTGAAGTCAAAGCTAAATTTTGCCGAGAGGTACTCAAGTGGTGTCTGTCGTGGCATTGAAAATCCAAAAACATAGATTTTAGTTGTATTTTGTGGCCTTAAAATATCGATTATGCGAACTAGTATTTGTGTCATGCCACTCGCCTTGCTGTACAACAAGGGCTATCGACACGCCCTCAACGGGAGAAAAAATCGTCCTTCAAATGAAAATGTAAAGCATACGGTATCTATTGTTTTATAAGAGCTTATAATTCTTAATTACTTTACTATTAGCAAGCACGGCGCACATATAAAGCACGGTTTTTATACGAGATTCATCCATATTCCGTAGTTGACAAAAAATCTAATAAAATCAAAACTTCATCCCAACATAAAACCGCACCACTAGCGCGATCGATTTTTATTTTGGTGACGGCATCAGGGAAACCGATTACCAAAATGAATATACATCTCAAAGCTTGTCAAGTGTCATGGAGACAAGATAATCCGACGTTTAACTAAACTTAGTAGTTAGGACGAATCCACATCAATGCTTAAGACTTTGGACTCAAAATGGCGATTGCAGTCAAGAACACTAGCCCAACGCAAGTGAGAAGCAGTGGAGGCGTAAGACACTTGCAGCCAAAAATGAGAGTTTATACTTGTATGTTCAAGTTCATGTGTCTACAATGGGTTTTTGTGATGTTTTGTGGACACCACGTATCTTCTTCGTGCCCAGATGCTTTTCTCTCAAGTTCGAATATGTTTGCCCTTAAACGTCCAGATAGATTTAAATGGGAATCAAAGAACGCTACCACCACAAACAATGTAAATGTAGCACGGTCAAGGTAAGACATTTCATATTGCCTTTTCAAAAGTATTTGATTTAGTTCTCCAGCATAAAACGAAAAAGCTTACTAGAAATCTTAAATTTTACCCCAATACGGTATCATCTATATAACTCCGATGTGCCATTTTATTTAGTCAATCCTAAATAAAAACCGCTTCTCCAGCAACGCAACACTAAATACTAATTGGTATATGTGCAATTCTCGTCTTAAAGATAAATCTACTATAAAAAATAATTATGGGCTATATATAATTTCAATTTTGCAATGATTTATTGAGCAAAACATCAACATGAGCTTAATAAAACGTGGGATAGGCTACTCCCGTAGTATATGCAACAAGATGGCGGACACCGAAACGTAGAATGTGTATCAGGTTAGGGTTGGGCCATAATTTCAGGTACAGATGCTACGGGAGTCACTTGGCTAGTTCCCGAACCCCGAATAAATGATATATACCCATTAATATGATTACCAATTTTGTGGGTTTCATTTATTTTGGGACACCCTGTATATATAACCCAATGTCGCTACGATTGCTTGCCAATAACATTAAATAATAGTAATATGTCGATCTTCTGAATTTTAATTAGACAGCAGTACCTTGAGTGCCGCTGCTAGATAGCCAGCTTTGGATTCCCTTTCCAAGGAACAATATTTTCTTGACTATTTTGCATTGTATCTGTTTATTATTTTGCTGGTTGGAAATAATAAACTTGACTATCTATGACTAAATTCCACACGTTTAAGGAAGAGTCTATTTAGAAATTGGAGTATTTTTTTTGCAGCAAAGACAATTCTTCAAGATTGAACCTAAGTTTAGACGCACTTCAGGAATAGAATTGTTATATATACGTCATTTCATCATAAGTTCCTTAGGTAGCCAAGGACCTCATCTTTAACCCTTTTTGTTAGTAATTCACGATATTCATCTGATAGAAAATACTGCTTTTAGACGAAAAAGATCTTTACCGAATTTGGAAGACTCAAAATTGGCAGTTGATGCACACAATGGTCACCGAGCTACAATCGGCGACGAAGGAGAGGAGCCCATACCATCGAATATGTTGTACATGGTGAATAGGAATGAAATTAGTATTTATAGACAGATGCTTTTAGTACTTATAAATGATGCAGTATGCAAATTGTAAAATAAAAATAAAAACAAAGAGAAATCCGCATATATATAAGAAAACCGTTATACTGTCGACCAGTAGTGATCGGAAAGGTTATCCTTGTTCTAGCAAGAAAAACTCCGTTAGATTTTCCATAATACCTATATCAGCAAGTTTGATAGCTAGTTTTAGAATAACTAATACAGTGTTTCCCAAAGTATTGGTCGCGTGTTTTTTCAACAAAAGTAATTGTTTTGCACGGGTAGTTTAATTTTCCACCATAAAGTGACTATGACGTTTAGGATTCAAAAATATCCTTCGTTAGCCAGATTCTACAAACATCATTATTTAAAAAACTTGGGTCGCTCGATAAAAAGTTCGGAATTGAATTGTATACATAGACATGCGATCATGATATTCGGTTTGTGGTTCGATAATCCTATTATTATGCCACTATATACTACTATTATACTGTACTATTTAATGTCATGACGTCTACAGCACTAACTTTGAACGCAAATTTTGGATTGATGTTTTTTGAAAATAATTTAAAAAGTTTTTAGGGCTATGCTTGCTTCGTTGATTTCTTGTTGAATTCCCAAATATATAGATTTTGTTATAGCTTCAATTTCAACGGGTTTGCAATGGTCATTAAATCATATTTTAAAAAAAGAGGGAAATTACTTTTGATTTACCCGAGCCAATTTGCGCTATATATATAAGAATAATTATGAATATGTTCGGAATTACATATTTGTCCTGGGGTAAGAAAAGCCGATAAAACGACCTAATTATATGGCGGCCGACGGACTCGCGTCCAATTACCAGTCCATGTCGGATGTGGGATGAGTTAGCCAGTTAATTGTTTCAGAAGCATGGACTTAGTGGTGGAGAAAAGCCCAACCGACCAGCGGTTACGTGAACCACCCTACCGCGGCGAGGAGTCCAGCAATCCTCAATTCGCACATAATTATCCCCATGGGATTCGTACCCACGAGCCCACGCAGGGTGATCAGAGGTGCGGTGGCTAGCGTATTTTCAACGCTTAGCACGATACATGCACCATGCCGACGAGTCACTATTAAGATTACAAGATGTTACGTCATCCATTTTTCAATTATATAATCTTGCAATATCGAATATGTAACAAATCTTCATTTTTCAGACTTGGGATCCAACTCTTGCGATTACAGCGATGATTTATGCCAGAAAATGTATATTCGAACATAGCGTTGAATCTGAAAGATCGACATCTCATTTTCCAGTAAGTAGCCTATAAAACATGGGAGTGCAAGGTTCTGGGACTACAGACCAAACATTCTGCCCACCTGGACTAGCGGGCCTTGCAAGTGTGTCGTAATAAATTTGAAATGAACAACATTTACAGTGTTACAAAAGCCTCGTGCCAAAACTAAATTTAATCGCAATCTCAACAAATTCTAAACTAAAATCATCTAAATTTGTCTTTAGTTTGATTGTGGCAGCATCGGGCGGGCCAGATTGAATTACCCAACGGGCCAGATTTGACCCACGGGCCGTAGTTTACCCCTGTCAGCTACGAGGGTAATTATATTTATTCAAAAACGTGTTTTAATACCAAATATATTACGATTTTATTTGTAGGGGTGGAATGGAGAAAACTTGTGGGCAGGGAAAGGAAAGTTTGCTGGACCTTATTTCAATCCTGCTTATGGAATTAACTCGTGGTTTATGGAATATAAGGACTGGGATTTTGACACCCTTTTCTGTGAACCTGGGAAGTTATGCGGACACTACACACAGGTTCCTTAATATTAACGTTGTTCTGAACTGTAAAGTGTTGTGAGTTTATTTCGACTCAATAATCCGCATAACAGGCAACAAATTGATTGATAAAAACAAATAAATAAAAACTGATTTAAGAAATCAAAACCTCAAATAAGGTTTAAAACGTACAGAATATAAGATGGAAGTTTGCCAAGAAGAAGTACGTGTTTACTCACCTAAATTATGACATTAGTTTACACACATTCAAGTCACAATGTAATTGCTTCACTTGCTTGTAATGTTTGATCGGATTATTACGGTAATATAATAGATTAGCTAGATACATTTTTTGCTGAGAGAGATTTATTGTTTCGTCAAACAGAAAACGAGAATATCGGTCAGAGACTAAAGACTTATCGATCGAAAGTTAGGGGATCCCAAAACAGCGCTCTTACTCCATAGTAACACCTTGCGTCCCATCACTAATTAATTAATAACTCGCTAATTATACGACATAATTCGCCCAAAATCAATAGGCTTCTGGTCCGAGATAAGATGAATGCACATGCAAAATCTGGAGCAGATTCGCTTTCGTGAGATATCGCGTGCATCTAGCAGACATACAGACAGACAAATACCTATCAACATACTTACCGATTAAAATCGATAAGTAATTAACGAATAAAATCGATAAGTAACAAGCATTGCAACAATAAAAAATATACAAAACATACAAAGATATTCGGTATGGTTCCAGGGAAATTCGGCGTAAGAAATCTCGTCGCATGAAAAATCGCCGCAAGAGCACTTTGATGTAAAACAATTATTTGTGTTAAAAACAGTTGGGTTTTTGAAGTACCTTTTTCTAAAAATTAACGTTGTTCAAGAGTATACCTTAACCCTATAAATCTAACTGTTTTTATCACAAATACTTGTTTTACAGCAAAATGCTCTTGCGTCGATTTTTCGTGCGGCGAATTTTCCAATGCGGCGAATTTTCCGGACACGATTCGGTATAAACTTGGGGGAGCGATACAACCATACGATCATCAGAGTTAGCTCCTTCATGTTGTTACTATATTATGTACTAAAGTTGAGCATCCAAACTCGAAGTTGCATCTACATTACAGATTGTGTGGGCAGAGACCTACAAAGTTGGATGTGCGTGGTTGAATTGCAGTACATTTGACACAGCGATGGGTGAAATATGGCAGGATACGGCCTACATGGTTTGTCATTACGCTCCTGGGTGAGTACACTGTTTTTAACCCATTGCTAGCTCCAGGATTCTTTAGAAATAGCAGTTTTTTCCAATTGCTATTTGGTTAATTAATCACTCATGAGTAATACTCATACGGTCCTGTCACTTTGAATATGAGGCGTTAGTTGCGAGAAGGTCGCCTCGATAACATGATCGAATCGAAAGATTTCGTCAAATATTATACCAAACATTACTCAATTCATGATGAAATTAAATTCATGATGAATAAGCATTTTAGTTATCGCTTTGCTTCGACTATCGGACTGAATTCCGCGTTCGCTTTTGTTGCTTTTTAGTGGTCAAGCAAAGTCGTGCAGACTGCGGCGCTGGTAGTCTATATGGAATATTGCATAACCATCCTGCTTTGTTTAGCATTCGTGTCCATATATTTGAGCATTACTATCTTGTTTATATTTACAGAGGTAACACAGAAGGGGAAAAACTTTATAAAGTTGGCCCAAGGTGTTCCGAGTGTCCAGTTAATGACACGTGTCCGGATGGAAGGCTCTGCAGTAAGATTTGTAATCACTTTATCTGTTTTATAAATATTCTGCTACAATACATTTTAATGTCAATACACTGAGATTCGAATATTTGTATGGATATTTATTATTCTTCAGATGCTTCGTTATGTTTCAATGCGTGCCCGGAAAATTCGCCGCATATAGGCAAAATCATAAGAGCATTTTGCTGTAAAACAAGTTTTTGTAATTAAAACAGTTAGGTTTATAGGGTTAGGGCTCTTAAATAACGAATCTTTTTTTAAATAAGACGATTTTTTAAACGGCGATTTTTCCTATGCGGCAAAATTTGCGGCGAATTTTCTTACAACCGTTTCAAAGGTGCTATGTTAAATTCAGCCAAATCCTATTTCAAAGTGTTGTTTGAAACGCATTATTGAAACCACATAATATATATATATATATATAACTCCGCGTAAAGCTTGTCCAAATTTCTGATTTGAAAAAACGCTACACCCAGCTTGTCATTTAAAATACTGTTTGGCGCAACTAATGTATAGCCAACATATTCATATTTATTCAAAAACGAACGAGTATACAAATTCGTAATTCTAAATTTTGTTGCAAAAAGAACAATATTTTTTTACACATTCCTATATGAAGGACTGGTTAAAAAAAGTTAAAGACATTGACATTGAATTGTCGGTGCTCCCGAAGTATTCGTACCAAGATGGCGCACAACCTGAACATAGTATGGGTACCAGGTTAGGGTTATTCAGGTTGTGCGTCATCTTGGTACGAATACTTCCGGAGCGCCTAATTGTCGACTCTGTATATTTCAGGAAATCCTATCCGAGATGAGATTCTGCCGGCGCCATCCGATGGAGGTTTGTATAACCAAATTCGTTCTATATTTCATAAACCGGTAAATGGCGCGAATTTGTATATTTTAGGTTTTATTTCGAAGAGAAATAATTGAATTCGATGACTTCAATGGTTAAATAAAAATTATTTCTAAATTGCTATAGCAACCGCTTTTTCAAATGTAAATTGAAGATTGTCAAACGATATTTTGTGCAACAGACTTTGACGATCCCCAGATATATAGGTTGGAGTAATTTGATTTTTGACACAAGAAGTGTGATAGTACGCCGATTTTTTTAAATTTTATAACGAAGTGCCATTTTCGTCGTTACCTTTCTCTCAAAGCATTGTTTTGTATTTGCTAGGCCATATTTTCTCACTTCTGCTTGCTGTACTGGTGATTGTACTGCTAGTTGGAGCTGGAGGGTACTATGCGTACACACACAAGAAAGATTTCCTTGCGACGTGGAGAAAAAGGCGGAAAATTGGGCATAAGTATGAATTAGCAGTCGTGTTAGTGACCTAGAGCCTTCAAAGCGTTTTCTAATAGTCTATGTTTATGTAACCGACTAATCTTAACTTAATTTTGTTTAAAAAAAAGTAACATATAATACCAAAACATCGCACTAGGCCCTTAAGATACAATATTGTGCTGTCCTTTTGCGTATATCTAACATCAGATATAAATACTGTTGATATGACTCAGGAGTGGCCAACCTGCTTTCGACCGCGATCGACTAAAATCTTCAAAATAGCTCGCGATTGACTGATCGGTGATAACTAGGTCATGAACAAAAATGTATCAATACTGAATACGCAGATAACCTCACACACGCATACAAAAATTCCACCGCTGCCAATAAGCTCGGCTCTGCGGGCGCATTCTCAATGAAATTGCCACAAAAATTAGCTTTTTATATACTCTATTCAGTTTGTTAGTTTGATTATATAATTGTAAAAACTTTTTCATCCCTAGCAAAGAAATGGCTGGACGCCGATGCAGAACTACGTTTTCAGAAACTTCTTTGATGCCTCGTTTGCATCTTATATTGGAAACGAAACAACAGCTAAATTCAAACATAGCTCTGCATCGGCGCCAAAACATTTCTTTGCTTCGTTTTGATTAAACCTAAGGATGATGATAATTTGAATTGCAATGAATTGAACTAAAGTTAAAATAGAGTTTATGTCGGTTACTCAGTGTTGAATCAGGCCAAAATCACACACATGTCTACCACTGAGCTACTAGGCTGATGCCACTGCTACCGTCGTGAATATAATTTATCACACTACTCTTGAAGTGAGACAATAACTTTCGCACAGTGCAGAAATTGTTGTAGGATCGTTTGCCAGTCAAGACACACGATATTCTGCAAGTTCATTTCTAAAACTTGGCAGTAGGGAAACTTGCATTTGTTACGTGATAATATGCTCTATCGGGTTTGTCCATACCCAATTACTGCATGTGTATATCGTATTTTGCTTGTAGACGTGGAGATCGACCGGTCGATCGCGATCGACGTGTTGGCCACGTCTGATATATCTGATAACATTGCAATTTATTGATATAGAACCTTCTAGAAGTCGTACAAAAACGTCATTCTATTTCAATCCGCTTGTTAGACAGACATACTTTTAGACTGGCCGATTAAACGGGGCGGTAGAGATACGAATGCCCAAAAAGCGCGGATCGTCACTACATTATGGTGGCCCATCGTTGTCACGCGTAAAATTGAAAAAAAAAATTAAAAATAAAATAAAAAACTGAAAATAAAAGTAAAATAAAAAAAAATAGTGGTGAAAAAAAATAAAAAAAATAAAATAAAAATGTAAAATAATAAATTAAAAATAAAAACGAAAATAAAATAAAAACGAAATAAAAAAAAGCAAAAAAAAAAGTAAAAAAAAAAATTTGAATAAAAGAAAATAAAAAGGTTGACAACGTCGGTCCGCCTCGTGGTCCATCGTTGTCACACGTTTTTATTTTGAGAAAATTTGCTTCTGCTTGGGACCAACGTTGTCAGGAAAAATCCTACGCGCACAAACGGTGTACCATGGGGTTCTAACTTACTTCGAATTTTCTTGAGCAATATTCAATATGAAAATCTTTTATAAATTCTCCATGCTACAAGTTCAACTACAGGTAATATAATTATAATAATTATAAGAGAATATAGAATTGGATAAGAAAATTCGGAAAATTTGTTTTTACGTGTAGAAGGTAATTGAATTGGAGAATGCTGCTCAACTGCTAGGTTGTCCGGACACACGTGCGATGCCGGTACCGTCTGACCAAAGGTGTTATAGTCGCTTTGCGCCTGACCCTATCGATGAAACGAATGGGAGATACGGATAGTCTAGTAGAATATAGACTACTGAAACACTCTCTGCGCCTGCCCCATACCGTACAGCCGTAACATACCGATCCAGACCAATGATCCATCCATATTCTACAAGACTATCCGTATCTCCCATTCGTTTCATGAGGGATTGCATGGGTACCGTTACGGTCAGACGCAAAGCGACTATAACCCCTTTGTTGAGACGGTAGCGGCATCGCATTAGTGTCCGGACAACTGAGCAGTTAAGAGCAGCATTCTCTAATTCAATTACCTTCTACACGTAAAAACAAATTTTCAGAATTTTCGTATTCAATTCTATATTCTTTTGACATTATTATAAATATATTACTTCTGGTTGAACTTGTAGCATGGAAAATTTATAAAACATTCTCATATTTAATTTATTAGATATTGCTCAAGAAAATCAGTAGTGAGTTAGAAACCCAGGGAACACATTTGTGCGCGTAGGATTATTCCTGACAACGTTGGTCCCAAGCAGCAGCAAATTTTCTCAAATTAAAAACGCGTGACAACGATGGGCCACGAGGCGGACCATCGTTGTCAACCTTTTTATTTTTTTTTATTCGAGTTTTTTTTTTCCTTTTTTTTTTTTTTGCATTTTTTATTTCGTTTTTATTTTATTTTCGTTTTTATTTTTAAATTTTTTTTTTTAATTTTTTTTTTTCATGTTTTTCACCCCTATTTTTTTATTTTGCTTTTATTTTCAGTGTTTTTTTTATTTTTTTTTTCAATTTTACGCGTGACAACGATGGGCCACCATACTACATAACACACGTATTCTTTTACAGACCAGAAAACAAATCACCGCCGCCGCCACCAGCTCCGGTTGAAAATCCGGATTCTAACGGAAACTGCACTGCGTTGCCTGGCATGCCATAGCAAACCAAACATGAAGTATAAGTATTTGAACTCTTTACTTGGCTGCATAAACGGCGATGAAAACTTGCAAAATAACAATTGAACCAACTTTCAAAGAACGTTTATGATATATTTTTCAGTATTATTTTATCTCGCTTCGCTTTTGTATGAAATTAAGTTCCATCTACTGCCTATGCGTTAGTTAAACAATGTGTATGAAATTTATCAAATGTACCATATTGAATAAATATTTTCAACTCCACAGCACAGGACTGTAAACAATTGTAATATATACAGGAAGTTTGATCCGTATAGGTCAGCTACACAAGATGTGTACCGCGATGTGATATAGTAACCATGAGTTAGAATATTCCGCTGGAATTAACTTCTATTCTATGATGTGACTCTGAAGGCAACCGTGTCTGAAAAAGCACTTCAATTTAAACGCATAGGTACCAAGTTTAAAGTTGGGTGTAATGTTACGTTGTGCTATTTTGCCGCTTAAACAGGTCTAACAAACACGGGCGATATTTGATACAAGTCTCTTTAGGTAATGCTTAATTTTTAGCACATTCACGCACGCAACTATAAAATCCGCCCACCCTCTCGGCAACAATGCGGGACAACGTCTATCAAATTTCACAACTGAGAAGGTGGCGTACTTAGGTATGTCTGTGTCCGTCGTATATTATCAACCAGAGGAAGAACATTCTCGCACATGTGATCATATTGCGATGCTTATTTGAGAGAGAAAAAAATTCAAAACAAAACAGATGATAACTGTTACGAACATATATTTTGATTGGATTCTAAGTTCAGTTTTAGCTTCAGCAAGTTTATTTTATTCAATCGGGCTGGCTGTTCAGCCCTTCACTACATTTTAAATGTAATAAACTTTTACATAAATAAATCTACGTGCGTCCAAGTATATACCAATAAATTGAATGAACGGATTTTCTACAATATTTTGAAATGATCTATTATTCTATTTCATTGGTCCGCAACGTTAGGGATCGGCAAACATTGATCTGTTGTAAATCCCTACATGGGCGTATAATCTGTGTCTTCTTTTAATAAAATCATTTAGTTTTCTCTCGTTCATACAAACCTTGTGACGCAATAAATAATTCCGTGAGTCACTATTATTCACACATCTAGATTCTATTTGGGGGGAGAACCGAAACAGAGAAAGTTGTGGCGTAATAATGATAGGTTTGAAATCAGGTAAATTTCACACTTATGAACAATATGGCAGATTCATTGGCAAATATGGAGTGATCTATAGGTATTTAGTTTATTCTCATTGGTTTCTATACTATGTTCAAGACAAGTACAAATTGCCAATCGAGTTATTAAATATCAAACAGTCGCTGACAACACACGACGTTGAATTTGTGGATTTCATAAAAAGCATAACGTTAAAGATGATATTAGTTTATTTAACGTAAAACCACAACAGGTAAATATTTTGTGGAGGCGTGTCAGTAAACTGAGATAAACGTTTCGATTGTTTTGATCAACGACTTTGTATTATTTAATATAGAGAAGACGGCAACCGTGCGCTCGCTTGGTTACGAAACTCTATATTCTGTGCTTGTTTTGCTTTGATGGTGGTACGATGTCAGTGGAAAACTACTGGACTTGTTTTTATTTGACTAACAGTACCGATAACGTTGACTAACGGTAAATATAAATAAATAAAATATAAATAAATAAAAGCAAGCCACGTAGTTTTCCACTGACATCGTACCACCACCAAAGCAAAACAAGCACAGAATATAGAGTATTGTAACCAAGCGATACCGATAACGTTGACTAATGATACCGTCTAAATCCCACTAAATACTCTGAACCTTCCTGGCATATGCCTTACTGTAGTTTCTTCAACATTGAATACAGTTTACTATTGTCTGAGTTTTATTCAATTTATCCGAATGACAGTGAAATCAAAATTTAGTTACCAAAATATACAGACAAAAGCAATCAGAATGAAAACGAAATTAAAGAGTTTTCTCATTCTTCCAAAACGTAATCATCCTTTTCCAGTAGAAAACTACTTCTTTCCCTGGTAACTGAAGCAAAAATGAAAATTTATGAAATAACCCCAAGACGGAAAAAAACACTGTGTTCACATTATCTTTATTGGACTCAACAAAAGTCGTGTTGTCAAAATAAGAACTACAAGGGTATTCCTTCATCTCCCTTGATTTATAGTTAATGCTCCTTGGTATATTACAACGAAAAGATTATACCTTTTTAACAAAATTATACCAACTTTGTTTACATTAAATATTTATCCATAATAAACGAAGTCATAAGAAATGAAACCATTTCATTTACCCCAAGTCAATCCCGGTGGCCACCACCACGTTTTGTCCAGGTTATGTAGCAAAAAAAAAGTCAGTGGGTGGTAGAATAAACACGGAGATATTTTTAACGCAGCTGTCAAGTGCCGCAAGTTGTATATATACACCAAATTATATTCTTATTCGCTTGAGAACAGTGGAATAAAATCACGTCGAGACGTGTAGAACGCTACAAAAACCAACCAATCGACAAACAGTTTATGATATGGTTTACATTTTTATTCTAATACCTATCGTTATTCGGGTTCAACTGATTTGAATGGTTATCCAAGTCAGCTTTATCCCCAGTTCCAGTGTACCCAGACTCATGCCCTTGATACCTGAAAAAAATTAAGGTAAAGTACTTCAGCTATCTGGACTCGATAGGGTGGGATCAGTAATTGAGACCCCCCCCCCCTAAAATTTTGAACACCCCCCTTATTTTCAGGTGTGGCACAATACTTTAATTTTTAACGTAAATAAAAAATGTTTGAATATTTAAAAAGTTGCTCATATTCCGGTGAAAATGCTCAGTCAAATAAATAACACATTTTAATAAGTAACAAATAGTTTTATCACTAATAACAAAATATCAACAATCTACTAAATTTGAAAACACCCCCTTAAAATGAGAAGATGGGAAACAAACTAGGTAGGATGCAATGTTGTCGAGCGATTTTGAATGTGAACAAAGGTGACACATTTGAGTACGTTCGCTGAGTTTTCATCTGCAGCCATGGCCTCCTCAAGTTTTACACTGGAGAGCTTGATTTAAGATGAATGATGAAATCTGTAATTAATCTTACTCTGCGTTGTTTGGGTTGCACTGATCCGCATGATTGTCATTGTCGGCTTGTTGCTGTGGATCCATTTTCAATTTTTTTTTTTTTTCTGAAATAAATATTTGCATAAATACATAATTTTGTAGATGCCCCACACTATTCAATACAATGGCGCAGTATACATACCAAGATTTTCAAACTACAAGAGACCTTAAGCGCAGAAAACAGCAGAGTTACCTCGTAACGGTTGTCATAACTTTTACTGCGATATATACAGTACTATAACAATTATCCGCTACAAATTACGCCATAAATCTTTCAAATATCAGCCCAATTTAATAGTTAAACATTGAAAATACATCGCTCTTACCGATAATTAACAGTGAATCTTTTTCTTGAGCGTGTGAAGCAGCTTCCTTATTCGACAGTGTAGTTCTCGAAGTGGGACGCAATATGCACGCGGCCAAGGTTTATAGAATCGAAAACGAAATTTTCTCTTCAGGGAAATAACCGCAACAGATGCAATGCTCACAAAACAAGAAGTAATGCCAAGAGAAAAGGGAAATAGTAAGTATAACGCGATTTTCGCTACGACAATGCTACAACCACAGACTGCACAGATATATGTATATGTCTAGTTCAGTGGCCACAGCCAACTCAGAAACATAAATCTGTTCATCAATGTTCCCTCATTTAAAAAAATAAAATCCATACGATCACGAAATCATCACGATCTAAGCAGCTTGTACTTGTCCATATATCAATGCGAATCAGTACCGTATTAGAGATGTAAGTTTGACGTCTTGTCTGTCACTTCGCAATTTTCAATATTTGTAATTAGGAGGGCCAGTGTCTTTCTCACCACTATTCCAACCTCGTTAAAAATTGTTTGTAATATTTAGATTTCAGTGTTCTTATTTTTAGCTTTCCATTCCTAAGTGGCTCAGTAGGAATCCATTGTATAACGCCACCCCCTGATAAAAATATGGAATATGGGACCTCCTGAGGGATGCGCACCAAGATGGCGCACAGCCTGAACTCAGGTTGTGTACAAGGTTAGGGTTCAGGTTGTGCGACATCTTGGTGCGCATACTTTAGGAATATTGGAATATGTTTTCTAGGCATCCGTAGATTTCAATTTGTTACATTGAAATCATCTAAGTCACATTATTCATATTTTCACTTTTGAATAGAAACGCCGCGGGCGATAAAATCAATTTTAGCTGTATGAATATATGTATAGAAGATTGATTGATATAACAATGAAATCTGATATCCTGTGCCCATAAAGAAGTAAACACAAATATATAAACAATTTTACTCAATTGTATTCTCAAAAATTGATCATTTTGTAAGCTGATAATTATTATAAAAATCAAATTAATGTTTCTTCAATTTCCATTCATTCATCTTTTGTTACAAGTTCACTTCTTTCCTTGCGGGTATCTGTAAAAAAATGACAATACACTCTAAGAAATATTTACCGGCAATCGCCTGGCATTACATATTACTGGAATGTAGTTGTGAAATTTTAATGCGATTTTAAGGTAAATATCACAAGAATTTTCGGTAAAATCGCTGTTGAACACCTGTGAATTTTACAGGATTTTCCTAGTAATCCTTACAATTATTTTCTAGTAATTTTCACCGGCAATGCGTAGTAATATTTACCGACGCTAGCCTGTGAATTTACATTACAAATTCGGTGAATTTACATTCAGAACCCGGTAAAAAGTACCGTAAATCTCCTGGCATTACATTTTACAGGATATGATCAGTAAAAATCACAGACTATTCTATGAAACAAGGTTTATTCAAAAAATAAAAGTAAACGTGAAATAAATGATTGAAAACTTGGAAAAATGAGAAATTGTATAGTGAAAAGTTAGAAATGCGAGGTAAACAGAAACTTCTCGTTGAAGAAGTTTATGCTCGCAGGGTATCCGTTCACATAGTCACTTTAAACAAGTCTCTATAGACAGCCTCTAAGAGAGAATAGTCTATGGCAGAGGGGGAGTCTTTCCGGGTTAGTGTTGCCCATGCTGATTGTATTGCATTATCCATTTGCTTTGAGGAACTCATGGTATTTTCTTCTCCATAACTTCAAGTTATCTGAAATGGAATGTACAAAGAGTTTTACCCAAACAACTCCAAAATTTAAAAATATTACTTAATTTTCGAATAAGATTTAACATTTTGTAGTATTCAATCAATCAATCTAATTCTTTTGCAAGTTGGAAATATCTGAAATTATTCAATTGCATATACTAGCCTTCATTACAATATCCCACCTTTCTATAAATTTTCATATTTTCTTTTCCTCTTGGAGTTCAAGGACAAAAATCTGTGGGCAATCAATCGATACAGACTTTTCCAGTATTACCAAACTTTGTAGATGAGATGGAAGAGGTAGGCTACCTGAAATAGTATTGAAATGGAATAAATTATTCAGAAGTCCCTAAATAATAAAAATTACACTCCTAATACTTTATTGTCAGAGCAGATGACAAAGTTTCTCTTTTAACAATTTAGAATTAACATTATAACTAACCTCAAATTCTTCTTCCTTGAAATAACATGTTAGTAAGAATCTCAAATATTATGAAGCCTTAGACATTGACATTTTCATAGTTCAGAGTTTGGGGCAGACAATTTGTTCATGCCTGCATAATCAGATTCTTCAGTTTCTAAAAAGAAAACACTGTTAAAAGGATTGTATTCATTCCCCACCATCATTATATGTAATATGTTCAAATTCGGTCTTATTCAAAAGAGAAATTCAACAAATTTATAGAATTGGTTTTGGTAAATATGCAGAATAAGGTGGATAAATGTTGTTTTGATTAATTTTCTATTTATAGTGTCATAAGTTAAAAGAAAATCTAGTGTTTTTATGACAGTTAAATGTGAATTGCCTAAAATTGCTCTTTTTCAAATTAAACTGTTCTGAATTAGTCCTAGAATCAATAACTTAAAATATCATAATCAAATACAAGTCTGTCTGTCTGTAGATGATTTTCAATCACTGAATCAGTATATAATTATATGAGTAGGCCTATATAATTTATTGATACCTGTTTCTTTTAATGCCACATTCTTCAAGTCACGGTTTCTGGGTGTAGAGCAACGTCACCCCCTCCCCTGTCTGCCTGTTCATGTGTTTCTTGTAGTCCAGCCTGCCAGTAGTCTGAGTTTGCGATCATCATAAAGCTGTTGATAATTTTGACGGTTTACAGGTTTATCTTGATTCAGTAATTAGATGCTAACATTTCATAGTCTAGAGCTGTAAAATGGGCATATTCAGATATTGTATTGCCGTTTCGGCATTTTAACATTTGCCAGTCTACTGACAAAAAAATTCAGATTTGGAAATACGAATCAAGCTCTGGCTGTGTTAAGTATCGACAGGCGTAACATGGATCTGCGGATGTACTGATGTAAGCTAGTCCAATCAACCTTATACCAGTACCGTATACTGCTGTACTGTTATAGCCAGTATGTATTCATATTATCATATATATATATATTACAGTATTAATTCAGTAATTGAAACGATAGATCTTACTCTACTTCCCGACTGCCCCATACTGCCATAATCCCACTGAACAATACATTAATACCCAGCACTAAACAACACAACACCTACACTGACATTATTGAATCCAAGATGGCTTACAGAAATACTGCCAACGCAATACTGCAGTAATTACAAAAGCGACCAAGATATGACTGTCGGCCGACCAAATATCAAAATCCAAAAGTCTGGAATTCGTCAAATCAAACGGACAAATTAAGGAGTAAAGCAACAAAAAAACGCGCGTGATTAATTACGCGTTTGAAATATAGCGTCTGATTGGCTGCTCTCCTTAACCAGTGTGCGCGCGCAACATTGACTAATGCCACGCCTCCCATGTCGGTGATTATTACCGACATTTGTCGGTGAATCATTTTACCGACCTCATTTTTTAATTTTTTACCCCTAAAATGACGGTAAAATTTACCGAACATTTCTTAGAGTGTATGCTGAGTGAAATAAGTAGCAATGATGGCCAAGAATACGTAGTCTGAACAGAAACAGACTGTTTCATATATATACATCTAGTCACTAAAGTGTGAAGAGCCAGTTTCACGGCTGACTCGCTATGAATTTTTTCCGATAATCAACTTTTTTGTTAATATTTGTAATATTAGCAAAAATAGCAATGATTTAACTGCATGCGTATCGGCCATTTTGTCTGATAAATCAAATTTTCAGTTTTCAGTCTATCGAAGTCAGTACCAAACTACAGTCAAACACGGAATAAGGTTGTTGAGACGATCATACAATCACGAATTCACAATATTAATAACTCGAAGGCGAATAAAATTTGGACGCTGACATATGATTTCAAGAATAAATATGTTTAGATTACCTCGGGTTATTCGGATTCATCTGATTCGAGTGATTATTCAGGTCCGATCCTGTTTTATTTCCGCCGAATCCTGGTTCATATCCTTGGTGTCTAAAAGGAACAACATACAACAAATAATAACAGGAGCGCTGGTTGCATACTGGCCTATATTTGGTCTCTGGTCCCCAATACTCATGCATTACGGTAGATTTTTACAAATAATTTTATTACCGTGTGTTGTTCGGATTACACTGATTTGAACGATTATCGTTGTTGGCTTTTTGTTGTTGATCCATTATCTACAAAAACAAAAATATACAGAATAAATTTATAAATCTCTTAAAGTATTTCATTTACAATGCGAAAGACTCATTTACTGTTAACGAAAAATACGATACTACTGCTAACATTAATGAAAGTCACGGCGATACTATCAAGCGTTAGGGATTAATAACTCCCAAAATGTTCACAATCAAAATGACTTTTTGACAATACGATGTCTTCATACAAAGAAACAGGGATTATGAAATACAAACGAGTATTCGGATGTATTGTTGGCATTCAAAACATTCACCGGCATTTTTGTAATTAAGATGTTTAATTGCTGAAAGTAGATGACTGAATCACAAGGACTCGTCAGTCTGTCCATTAGAGCGATCTGCTTTTCTGAATCGGATTCTAACTTAGCCATGACCCACCTTTGTCAGTCTTCGATTTTACTCTTCGATTATAATCAGCAACTTGTCTCCCCTCAAATGTGATCAGGCAGTAAGATTCTTTGATATATACCCCCATTATACCGAGAAATTAGTTTAAATTTATGGAGAAAACTTAAATTGAGACAATCGTTACAAAGTTAATAATTAAACCCGTGGTGAAATATACCGCATTTGTGTCATCTTCGGCGAGCTGGTATCAGGTGTGCAAATACAAATAAAAATAATTACGTGCGCCATAAAATTTCATCATCTTATACCATTATGAATAAATTCGTTTTCGACATGTGCACAAATAGTTCAAACAAACCAGAATACGTCATGGAAAGTTTTGAATATTTTATGATTGTCAGAAAGTAAGATTGTAATTAAAATAATTAATTGTAGTTGAACGACAAAAATAAATGCAAGTTTCCTGATGTTAGTAGTTACCAACAGGCAACAATACATCCTAGGTCTTTCCGTATTCCCTACCAAGTTTGATGAAAGGCTTGTCACAACATCATCGTTTTGAAAGACAACAAAATCTTGTTTTATCATGCTTTCATTTAGTTTATTCTTATTGCTCTGAAGCTGACATGCGCAAACTACGGCCCGCAGGCCTAATCTGGCCTGTTGAGTAATTTAATCTGGCCCGCCTGACGCTGCCACAACCAAACTAAAACCAAGCTTTAATGTTTTAGCTAATAAATAGCTTAAGAATTTGTTGAGATTGGGATTAAATTCAGTTTTGGCACGAGGCTTATTGTTTTCCACTTTTGATTTTGTAACACTGTAAATATTGTTCATAAAATGTATCTTTTTACGTCATAATTACATTGGCCGCCAGTTCAGATGGGCAAAATTTTTGGCCCCTGATCCAAAAACCTTGCCCACCTCTGCTCTAAAGTCTAAACGGGTGAATAAAAACAATTAGCGCATCATGATATTTAATCTCCATATTTATTTTTATCACATCAATTCACTATATCTGAATCTATTGACAGACGAGATGAATCTATCTATTGCGGGTCAAATAATCAATTTAAACTAACATACACAAAATATCCAACATAAATATCTGCGGCCCGGCTTATTTTTCTTGCGGCTATGACTTGACCGAAAATAAACCGAGAGACATTGTGGCACTTTTATATTTTTTTGTAAAATTCTCAATCTTCATTACTATATATATTATGCAGTGAAAAAATATTAAAGTCAGAAATTAAACTTGAAGTCAATCTTAAGCGCAAGGGACAAAGATATCTCAAGTTCGGTCACCTGAAGGATCGGACTGTTAAAAATAATGGAACTTGCGCATTAGCGCCAAACTTTGGCGACTCACCGAATCACTCTAAAACCAATCTACAAATGTAATCAAACGATGTTAAAAAGTCGAGCAACTCGATGGTCGGTTCCAATATTTGCGCGCTTTGTCGTCACTAAGCGGTGACGGAAACCAACAAATACTCGTTGTCAGCTCGCGAACTGAATAATATTTGTACTTCGTATATATATTCGTGATTCACGTGTCAATAAATACTCAAATCCTGAACAATACTGTTCCTTTATATAAATTATCTATTTTCATTATCAATTCAGATCTGAAATATTTCTTTGATAATAATGGCTGTTAATATTTTGTATTTTCACACATATACTTATATATAATTTCCCACTCCTCTCGTGTATAGTCAGAAATATAAGACCTCAAACTTTCTCGCTGAGTTCAAGTATGATCTGTAGTTTAAGTTGATTAATGTGCAAGTATGTCTGCAAACAACTTTTGGCATATTCACGTTGTTTCCTTTAATCGGAAGAACCTTCAACGTCTTCCGCATCGAGGGGAATCAATAAGCTTGGGAGTTTAAATGCAATTTTATTATAATGCTCATATCTCAACGGAATGCGAGTAGGCATAAAGCAAGACAGCGAATTAGGTAGTTATGAAGTACATTTACCACTCTGTATATTCAGTATGAGGTTTTTTTTTATCTCGCAAATGGACTTCTATCTACTAATAACATAAAATATTATTGAGGAAAGTAGGAGAATTTGCATTGAATTACGCAGCTTGTTGAGGAGGTCGCAGGCACGGCGCAGTCGGTGAAATATATTGCTGAATTCATAAAACATACTCAAGATATAGATGCCTAAAAATAATATTTTTTTGGGTGATCTATTTTTTTCCAGAAAACATTGTAGTAATTTTGCAGAAAAATCCGTTTGGTTTCTTTGATTTTTCCTGAAGCTTGAGAGAATTCATTGCTTTACTTTCAGTCAGCTATCTCAATGAGGTGGTATCTTCTTTCCTATCAATGACGAGAGAGTCACCAACTTTTTTTGGGTAGCATTCATTAAAGTTCGTTCGTTGCAAAATAAGAAACTCCTTACGCATCAGGGGTCGTTTGTATCGAGGTCATCCAGTTAGAACAGGGGTCACCAAACTTTTTTGACCGCGGGCCAGGTATGACTCAAACTGTGTTGAAATGGGCAGGACAAATATTTTATCAATGCAATACAATAAATTCCCAAAAGTTGGAAAATCCATTAAATTTATTCAACAATATAAATTCTACATTTCTGAAGTCTTGAATATTAATTCTATATCGCAGAATATAAAAGATTTCTAGACAACTATTCTGAGATTAGCTGTTAGCAAAACAATTGCTGTCATGAATATCCGCATGTAAGCTAGTACAAAAGTTGACGTGACTACAACTCCAAAGAAGTCAAAATAATGATCGACCTATTTGATGCATATTATACTTAAATTTTGGAATCACGACCAAAAACTAACGAGTAGCATTGAAAATCGCGAAAACAAGGTATTGTTTGAAACCACGACTGAAAATCCGCCCGAGTGACAAAAGTGTCTGAGCGGATGCAAAAGGGTCTAATGTTACGAAATGAACAAAATTAACAAGTTCATGTTATTGCGGGTCAGTTGAGAGGACGCCACGAGCCGGGTCGGGCTCGCGGGCCGTAGTTTGGTGTCCCCTGAGTTAGAAGATGTGAAAACGATTTTCAAATATGCCAATATATAGTAGTTGACATATATATTGACAGTAGTTGACAATTTGACATATATATACCACATTTGCAGTTTAGCAGGATAAGTGTTAATGTGATGAGTTTAGGCCTCTAGATTCAATGTTAGCGTGTTCCATTTTTATTGACTGCTCTGCATAAGAAAGGTCTCGGCCATTTCGTAGTATCCTTGGCGTAAATCTCACGATCGGAACACTCGGCAGAACCGTGGTAAACCCTTCAAGTCACAATGTCCTGATTTACTTGGATTACGTCAAGAAATAGTATACTTTTACTAGTAATCTTTTTTGTTTAGCGTCTTTAGCATTACAAGTTAATGATAGTTTTTTTGCAAATATGTACTTGAAGTATGTAGATTAGAATGATGTGATCAAAATAGGAACTATAAGATAGGAATACACTGTGTGAGCGTGTTGTTTTGCTTGACGAGCTTTACAAGAACTGACAAGAAATTTTCTTCCCGCAATATACATATATATATTTCTTGTATTTTTGTGTTTATTTTCAAAAAATAAAATTTTAATCCATCGACTTTTACCAATGGTTCGTTTGGATTGCGAACAAGGCCCAATGAGTCAATGACGTTTGTATGTTGTAGTTTTGAAGAGTCATTCTCTATTGAATCATTGTCTATATTAATCTAAGCAATTAGAATTCTGTTATTGATAAAAACAAGTTTAATCTGTACTCCAGTTCAATATTCCCAATATTCCCAGTTCAATATTCCCAGACAGAAAACAAAGAAGAAATTCATCAACAAAATCGATTATTTTAATTATCGCCACATTTGTCATTCGTCGATATAAATCTGCAGACAACTTGTCTCATATTTTTCTGCCTCCTGCGCAGGAAACAATTGCAACGTTTTCTGTGCCTTTAAAATTAATCGATTAGCCTAGGCAATCGTGTCTGTCACCTTTAAATGGATAAGATTTCACTCGAACAGCGACAGTGCGACTCGCCAGGCAAGGCATTCGCCCCTAGATCGTGTTTTCATCAGAATTTGTATATGGAAACATGTTTCTACAAGAGTGTAATTCGGCATGAGCAGATTTCTACTAAGATTAGTAATATTGATCGAATTTAGTTGTACGAAACTATCCCGCCAGTTGTTGTATTAAAACTAATTCTTTTTGAAGCTATAGGATGTATAATAAAAAGTTGAAAATTAGAGATTTCTTTTTGAGAGGTGGCCAGTTTTTTGCTTATACAGTATTGTTTACAATGTTTATACGGATATGTTATTCTATTTTCCATTTGTATTTAAAGACAGATCAACAACTTTGATGTGCCGTATCAGGGAAACGTCAACGCCCTCGGACCTAAATACCCCCTTCCTCCAATTATCTAAACCTGACTAATTAATTACGAATGGCATAATCTATGGCCGCAGGTTGTTCAATCCTGTTTGTAGGTGATTTTCAGAGAGAAAACAAAAGAATTCATTAATGTAAATCGATTATTTTTATTGTCATCGCGTTCGTTACAATTGAAAAACTCATTCGTCATTTTAATCGATGTATATGCACCATTTCATAATGTCCCGTTAGGTTGAAATCTTATTGTATTTTAAATCTTTTCGATTTTACAGTATAATCTGTAAGGATAAGTTTTGTACCATAGGTGTACCCGGATACATCTTCTCAGGAAACGAAGGATTTCCGTGTGACTTTTAAATCGATAAGATTTAAGCGCAGCTTTCGTCAGGCAATGCAGTCAGTTAAGGTTCCTAGTTAAGGTTGTCTTTTCGTCAGAATGTAATACTAGGCATATAGGAACATACTTTTATAAAATGTACTTCAGACTGGGCAGATTTCACTAAGTATATATAAAATATTAGACAAATATAGATTTAGAATAACGCACCACCGCGGTTACTTAGTTCAATTTACTGATGAAATAAATCATTTATATACTAAGGATCTGCGTAAATAAAAAGTTCAAATGTATTTTTAATTTTTATTTTATTCATTTCAAATTATATACAGAAATCTTTTAGCAATCGTGCAAGAAAAATCCTTTCTTCTTCTATCTTCTTGTGAGAATCTACTTCTTCATCTGCAGTGAGCTCTCTCAGTGAAATTTTTTTCTTTGTGTCGAAACTGGTGGTGCTATTTTCATTTGGTTCAAACCAAAAGTTTCCTCAAAACTTGTCTGGTTATTTTCTCGGCTTGAAAATTCATGAGTTTCGTGAAAAGAATTCGATAGAATTATTGCGTCCTTTCCAACCTATAGGATGACCACTAACATTTTTAGTGGCATCCGTAAAGTGTCTGTATTTTCAAATGTCCGAATTCTTGATGTTACTTTTACACCTGATATCTATAATCGTATTGGATACTTGGCTTTGTCATTACATTGTTTAAAATTTCATTATTACTTGGCCTTTTGTTGATCGAGTTATTATGTTTACTCGTATTATTCAACATAGTATTTAATTCGATAACGGCATTTTAAAAATCAAACTACTGTCGCGGTTTTCGTTTGATTTCTGGGTTTTTCGAATCCTAACCACAATATAGAATCAAAATATCTCTAGGCATCTATAACTTTACCCAGAACATAACGTAAAATTACAATCTACCGAAAACTTCTAAAAAATGCGATTAAATTGAAGAAGGAGTCTGAATTCGGTAGCCATTATATTTTATGTATGCTGCTGAAAGACTGTACCCTACTGGACGGCGTTTATCGAAAACAGAAAGGGACAGAGAGCAGAAATGCCTTCACTGTGATAAACATGAAAATTTGAGTCACTAGAATAAAGCCCAGCAACTATGCATTTTCTACGTCACAATTATAAAATTAGAATTCAGTCTCCAGAAGTTAGTGTAGGCTTCTGCTATTGCTTTGTCCAGCCAGTTTCCCCCTAAACAGTGGTGCTTATTCGTTGATTCGGGATATTAATACAGTAAAACCTACAGTATGATAAAATTGATGAATGTTGTAGTTTTGTGTATAGCAGCGGGAGAGATTTAAAAAAGGAAAACTGTTTCATGTTTTCTTGACTACCGGTAACGTTTTATAGTCTTATGTTGTCCTGTTGGCTCCTTTCGCAGAGAAAGATCATGTTACGACGGTATTCGCTAACTCGGCATTCGCTAACTCCGTGTATTTTTGAAACTTTCTTTCGGAAGTTACTCTATTCCTCCGCTTACCAAATATCGATGAAACGTTTAGGCCTGATCCTGATGGCGAGATACCAATACCGTTATTTTATGATTCAGTAACAGCTAGGTTAGGATGAGAGCAATCTTTTCTAAAGTGGAAGAGACCGGTATTAAAAATACGAGTTCAATACAGTATAAGATTTTGTAATTCACGCAGTCAATTTGGCTTCTAAAACGTCAATTATTATCTGGTTTGAGACCTTAGTTTCTTTTATGCAATGTATAGGAACATGGGACAAAAATAAGATTAATCCCGATAACTTCTTTGAGAAACCACGGCTAGATAACATTACTAGAGGCAGACTTGGGTATTTCATTGCGTAATATAGAGTTACAGCGCATTGAAACCCCTGCGCTAGAATGTGATCCTCACGAGTACACGACGAAGCAGCGAACTGGCATATTAGTCTAACTTTTTCGGTTCTATTTTATCTCAAAATGCCGATGGCGCATCTTTCAAAAGTAAAACTCAAATCTTTCATGTTAGTATTACTTCCAAGTATGAAAATAACTAATTATTTTTGTTGTATATTTGCAGACAAATTTGTAAACATACTTGGTTAAAATTTTAACATCATGGCTGTTGAAAACTACGACATTATCAGCAAATTGCATAGCAATAAAGCAATTATGTTAGCCGTTGCAATACCTCTAGTTCTTTGCAAACTTTTGTGGAAAAAATGGAAAAATTATCCTCGCAATCCATTTCGAGATGAATTTGTACGAAAACCAGAGCCGGTGGAACTTAATCAAACGAAACGAGACAAGGTTTTGAAAGTTGGATTCAAAAAAGAGAGAATACCCGAAGATCTAGATGCCATTGTGATTGGGAGCGGAATTGGAGGTTTAACTTGTGCCGGATGTTTATCGAGATCGGGAAAGAAGGTCCTTGTCCTTGAACAACATGACAGAGCTGGAGGAAGTTCCCACACGTACGAAGAAAAAGGTTTTGAATTCGACGTAGGAATTCATTATGTTGGGGAACTAGAACCTGGATCGATGAATCATATCATTTTTGATGTACTTACTGATGGACAACTCGTCTGGGAAGAAATGAATAAAGAATTCGACGCTGTTGTTTTACGCAAAAATGACAAATTACATAAGATGTACAGCTATTGTGCTGGTGCAGGTGACTACGAAAAGAGACTAATGAAGTATTTTCCTAAAGAGGAGAAGGCGATTAAAAAGTTTATTTCTCTAGCTGAAAGGTGCAAGAAGTCCATACTCGGATATTCTATTATGAAGATGCTCCCAATAGGACTGGTCAAATTTCTGATGAAGATTGGCGTGTTTGACATTTTTTTCAGTGGGTATAATGAGATGGTTGAAACTAGTGTCAAAGAAGTTCTAGATGAAATCACTGAGAATGAGGAATTGAAGTTTGTACTTGGATATGCGTTTGGTGATTACGGCACGTTCCCTTCAAAAGCGCCTTTCCTACTGCAAGGAGTTCTAACCAAACACTTCTACGATGGAGCTTATTATCCAAGAGGTGGATCCAGTGAAATAGCTTATCAAATGATCCCAGGAATTGTTAGGAATGGTGGAGCCGTCTTAGTGAGGGCGCCAGTTAATCAAATCATCGTCGAAGAGGGAAAAGCAACAGGAGTGAAAGTTTTTAAAAATGGGATCGAACACGAAATTCGTGCTCCAGTGGTAGTTTCAACTGCTGGTTTTTACAACACATACCAAAGTCTTTTAGGAAAATCGATCATAGCTCAGTTCGGCCTTACCAATATATGTGAGAAGGTAGACAGAGGCTTAGCATGTTTCCAGACATTAGTTGGCCTGAACGGCACTACAGCGGATTTGGGATTAAAAAGTTGCAACTATTGGACATACGGAAAACTTGACGGTGAAAAGCACATGGTGGAATATTTGTCTTTGCCCAGAGAAGAAGCTGTCAATACCGATATACCCGCAGCATTCGTATCTTTTCCATCCTCAAAAGATTCCACTTGGGACTCCAGGCACCCCGGAAAATCGGTTTGTGTTATTGTAACCTTGCTAAACTGGGAGTGGTTTGAAGAATGGGAACATGAAAGGGTTAAGAAAAGAGGACCAGTATATGAAAATTTGAAAAAGTCATTCCAAGACAAAATGCTGAAACTCATGCTAAACATCCATCCCCACCTCGAAGATAAAATAGAATACATTGACAGCGGTACTCCGCTCAGTCATAAATATTATATTGGATCACCGACAGGAGATATTTATGGCATTGATCACACAAGAAAACGATTTAAGCCTGAGTTGGGTATGGAGTTGAGGCCGGAGACAAAAATTCCCGGACTTTATCTCTCTGGCCAAGATATATTTTCTTGTGGAGTTATAGCGGCTTCAGCAGCGGGGATGATGACATCGGGAGCTATATTAGGACGAAATCATTTCATTGACTTGTTTGCATTGATGGCAAAAAGAAAATTTAATCACGCGTTCAAAGGCATTTAGAATTATGGGAGATTAATACCATTTTAATTAAAGTCTATAATTATTTAGAACTATTTTTTTGATGAACATAGACCAAATACAAACCATGTACCCTCAAGTCACGGTTCATGCAAATAGAAACTATACTTTCTGAGATTTGTTTTATGTTTTATGCATTACAGGTGTTAGTCTTCTGATTTTAAAAAATTTTATGAACTTCAATGTTTTGTGTGTTATTGAATGTTTATTTTTTATTTATTGAACAAAAAATGATGATTGATACATCCAAATAAAACCATTTATGGACGTGATTTGGTTATATGTGATAAAGGAAAGAATACGAACAGCAGTTTGAACTCCTGTGGTGGAGTATACTAGTCCATTTTCTTCGCGACTACACTTGAAATCTTCAACCAAATTTGGATAGATGACCAGTTAAAAATATGATTAGTCTATTGCTAACATCGGGCTTGTAAAGTCTCATCAACAAATTGTAGCCCCGTTAGCTCATTTTATCAAAAATATCACTGAAAAAAATATTCCTGTCTAATATGTCTTTTGGCACTTCTTTTACAGATATAATTTTTTAGAAACTCTTCGAACAGTAGTTTTACGAAATCCTTTCGGGGTCTGGCACACAAGTTCAAAATATTAATTTATTTCATTGCAATTTATAAAATTAAAGGAACGGCGAATACGGATCATGTTCAGGATTTAAAAGTTATTGTTTTCAAAATGTTTTAAAAGATACCTCTCATTTTTAACTTTAAAATCAGAATGAAAGTTGCTTCTACAATTTATTTTTAAAATTAAACCAAGTCATCCTCCAGAAGCTTTAACATTTTATTCATTCACTATTTGAAAAACGACCTACAGTTTGAAACCACTGATCTTGTGGATTCTCGGTTGCACGTCTTGTGTAAAACCAAAGCCGTCATCGAAGTAGGCTACGCCATTTTGATAATAGTTAACTTCTGGCACAGTGCATTGCTCAAAGATTCCCAGATTAGTTGACCACATGGCTTTTTGATGGGAATAATAATAGATTAAGGCAGTCAGTACGCTTTATCATGACTTTGTGCGCTGAGGAAATGCTTCCCAACTAAAATTTGTAAGTAACAGGTCCACAAGCTGATGCTGTATTTTGTTATATGGTTGACATTTGCCAACTTTATGCAGTATACAGTAATCTCATTGCTCACGTATTTTTGGTGATAACGTAAATTTAAACCTAAGAAGGTTAAGGTATCAATATAATGCCATAGTATTAGAAACGTGACATCATTATATTATTTTCTGGTCGTGACAGAGTCCATGAGATAATGTAGGTACGATAGTGATTAGGCTATACTCGTACATGGGCTACGTGAGATTCAGACTTCGGTATGCTTAAGTAGAAGCAAATAGATATCGATTTGTATTTCACTTATTATCACTATGGAGCATAACAAATAAATATTTATATATCCTACATAATAATGTAACAGAACTTTAAACTATTCGGAATTTGAGAGTTCATGTTACAATTCAAAAGTTTTGTAATTGAACCAAATAAATATTATATAAAACATTGATAAACTTTTCATAACGTCGTGAATATTGTTCGATGTAAAAATTCAAATTCAAGAACATTCTAAATATATTCTGCAACGATCCCAAACTCATAATTACCTCAACCCGTAGACATAAAATCTCCCAGAGTACTTGTTTCAAGCTCGTAGCGATTTCCTTCTATGACGTCATAATGTTCGGTATTAATTCTGAAATTCATTTCAAATCGACAATAGTCAAAATGGGTTATGATGCGGCAACGTTTAATTTCCCGTTCTGTAATATGCTGTGTAAATCAGCCATAAATGAGGCAAAATAAAGTCGGAATTGGGGATTCCGAGCGAGTTGTGAGCAACTCAATCAAACGAATTTCTTGTGGAAGGAAGAAAAGAAGCAGAAAAAACAAACAGCAGGTGAGATTATATGTTGTTAAAAAAACTTTCGACACTTGAAATTACATTTAGAAAAACAACAACAATTTAGAAATAAACTTCCGGAAAGCAGTTTTTACTACGTGGTGTTAAGCAATGCTGTTGGGTTAACATTCTTTGTGATTGTAAAGAGGGGGGAGGGCTGTGAAGGATGGAGGGGGTTGATGTTTTGTAAGGATTGTCTGCAGATCTTCATTTCTCCGCGTGGGATTGGAATACTTATGGGTTACACCTTATGCTTGAATGTGAATCATGATGCAGATTGACATTGTATCATGCATGCACAGTTGATCAACGTACGAGAGCGTTGTGGGGGAGGGAGGGGGAGGGGTCAGTTGTTGGTGAATACTGTTAATGTAGTAATGTGTTACAGTTATGTGAAAGGCTAGAAATTAGAAATACGTATCTGAATACATGAGTATGGTGCGCTGGTACCGGTACTTGATTTGCAGCATATCGGCACTGTAAATGAGGTTTACAGCCAGGGATGTTCGAATTTAATATTCGATTATGACGACCTCCGAATAGCGTTTTAGTGTTTATAAGCATATCGAAGATTGTACGCAAAATTTTTCACGGGGACACACGGCTGTCCCCCGTTTTGATGGAAAACATTTTCCAGTTATCTTATATTTTATCGTGCTGGTAATTGAAAATAGTCGTGTGCGCCGTGGCAATAAATCTTAGCCGACGTGAAAGGATTTAAATCACCACCTATTTCGGGTACTTATAACACGTTGATGACGTTTTTGATTAAAAATATTTTACAATTATTATCATACATTTCTTTCATTATGGTCATTTGTTTCTTATCGCCCTATCGCCGATTTCTATCGTGACCGTGCATTACAGAAAAATTTTGCATTTCTTGCAATTTACATCGTCTGAAATAGCGCTTAAATATTATTTAGTATCCATAACGGATTTTATCGTTCTGCCGGTATCGTTGATGAAGTTGACGGGATTAATTTATGATAAAAGATAATAGCATGACAAACTGATAAGAAATAGACTAGGCCTAGGCTATTTAACTTATTTGAATCAGCGACTTGAAAAATAAAACAGGATTTTCTGTTCTCATTGTCAGATTTTATTTTGGAATAGGGTTCACTCCCTTAAGTTTTATTTTCATCGTTGACAATGATTGGGTAACAACATCTGCATTTTTCTAAATGACTTACATGTTACACCATAATCAATAGGCATTAATACTACAATATTTATTAGAAGAAGCAAAAAAAAAAGTTGCAATCATACCACAATGCCATTTGTTTTATTTATATCTGTTTCATTATGATAATATTACTCAAGTAAAATCCCCATGTCCTTGGATTCTCGAAATGTGAATAAGAAATATGCTTTGTGGGATTTTATAATGTATTTGAAATTCAAGATTTAAAAATTTTTTCAGAATATATTCGGAATAGTCCAGTATTCGGTTATGGCCATCTCTGTTACAGCTCCAGTGACATGGTAATATGGCCCAGTGGTCTGAGTTGTGTTTGGCAACAGGCAATAGCCAGAATATGATTAACCGCTGTTTTCAGCGACGCTTTCTCTCTCTCATATCCTAGACTTGTGAACAATTTTTCAGGAGTTAGAGAAGAAGAAAACATCTGACTCTCAGGGGTGTGCAGACTCTGAGGGGTCTGCCACCTCTGGGAGCTCCTCAGCGTTTCACTGCTTCCTGGCAGGTCTAGCATGGATCTTTGCAGTTCTTCACTTCAACAAGAAAAATAAAGTAAGATAATTTATTAATAGGCATTTCTTAGTGATGACTATTACTTGGCGCAGGATAACTTAAGATTTAATAATATCGTCTTGGTCATGAATTGTCTATCAGGCAACTGTCCGACAAAGGTTAGATTGGCATAATCCACTTCGAAATCGGACCAAATATTAAAATAGAGTTATTAAATATTGAGTTTATATCGCTCATACTGAAACTTAATTTAGGTTTCGACAGAATATGATGTAATTCCAAATTCTGCTCCGAAACTAATTAAAGTGGAACCAACAGCAGAAAATAAACCAATTCCGTCTGTTGGGGAGTCATCTTCACAGGATGATGTCTTGGAGGTATGTTGCATAACTTCATCCTTATTCATCTCCTCGATGGAAACTTTCAACATCAGTGCGAGTTAAATTTTATTTTTATAGGCATGGTGCAATGATACTTTATCTCAAAATGTTGGCAATGTATGTCCCAATAGCTCTGTTACTTAGGTATGTAAATGGCCACTGGTGTACAGCCTTGTTTAGAGGAAAACTCATAATCTTTTATCACGACCTGAGGTATATTGCTGTTTCCTATGCTATCAAAATTAACCCAATCTCTGGAAAATATTTGGCAACTTGTAAATTCTTTCAGGCGAAGCCCGCAATGTATAGAAATGGTTGTGAGTGGAAGAAGCAAAATTCCATTCCTAAAGTGGATTCTGGGAATTCACAACCTTCTTCATTGGACCGATCTTTCATGCCAGAAAATGTTCTGAATCGAACATCAAATGTATGTGATTTTAACTAGTGAAAGTTTCGTAAAGTATATTTCTAAAGAGTTCAACCTATCATGTCTTAATTTAGTCACCAGCAAAATCTGGGCAAGGAAACATCGAGAAGGTTAAGATCAACATAGAAAGTCCAACCCGTGATGATGAGAAATCCCTTACTTCTGAGAGATCAAAATCAATCCAGAAGAAAGAAAAGCAGGTAGTTGGTCTCAAATTACCATATAAGGTACATTTTGCTTTGACCAAAATGTTCAGAATTTTGTCGACAGTCAGGATTCCAGGCTCGGGGGTATGGTGAATTGTGTTTATCTTTGGATGATAATTATGTAGGAGATGCTGTTAGATTCCTTGTTCTGGTAGGGTGGTTTACGTTAACGCTGGTTCATGATGGTTACTTCCACTATTAAGTTCTTGCATCTGAAACTGGTAACTGGCTAACTTATGCCATACCTGACTGGTAACCAGACGAGAGGTTTGGTTTGTCATATGTTAAAACCGTCTTATCGACTTTCCTCCCCGCAGGATAAATATATAAACCCTATCCTATATTGTGTTCGCATATTGATCTAAATTTTTCCTAACTCAAACAATCCCTACTTGCGTTATTTTTTAAGGTTCAAGCAAAACCTCAGACAGATTGCACCGATCTAAAAGAAAAGAGCTCGATTGGTGTGGTTGAATCTCCATCTCCACATTCTGCTTCTGCCTCCACCATTAAAAATAATGGTCAAAGTGTGACAACAAAAAAAGCAGAAGATAGCAAACAAATATCTTCTGAAGTATGTTTTTGCAGCTTTTTTTATAAGATTGGTTCAAGTGATAAAAACACGGTGGCAATATAAACAAGATAGCGATCAGAGACCTCCGACTTATCAATCTAGCGGCGTGTATCCTTCGCTTTGACTCAATAGCGACACCACGTGTCCCATCACTAATTGATTATTAAATCACTAATTATACGACATACTTCATCCAAAATCAATAGGCTTCTGGTCCTAGATATGATGAATGCACATGCAAAATTTGGAGCAGATTCAACCTCGCTTTAGTGAGATATCGCGTGTATGTAACAGACAAACAAACATGCAGACAAATACCTATCAACACACTTACCGATCAAGATCGATAAGTAATCAATAATAGTCATTGAATTGTCAGCATGCCCAAGAAAAATTACTATCAGATATAAAAATTTAATTTTTTTTATCACATATTTGTACCAGATTCCAGTCAAAACCGGAAACAATTCAGAGGATTCACGAGGAAAGACATCCAGCTCTGTGATTGGTTCTCCAGCTTCTGAGCCACTTTCACTGGATAGTGAACAGGATGAGTCAGTCAAGGAGGATGGGAACGACAACAAATTGTCTTTGGAAGTAAGTTTTGATATACACTGTACATTGATCGAAAATTAATGATGAATAGTATGGAGATCTTATCGAACATTGTTGTGTATTTTAATGGCACACAACCTCTAGCACAATTCTGTGATTATATGTTACTGCGCTGTTGTTTTTCCATTAGATTAGATCTAACTATTTAGGTCCACCATCGACCACTTTTGCGGTAGTTTAGTTCTGTACTTATGTGTGAGTGATATTGAATTTAACCTTACTTGGTGATGCGATGGAGTGACGTTTAACAACTATTCATCTAACATTGTCAATTGAGATACTGCATTTTTTGGTACTGCCGTAGTGTGTGTACCAGGTTATGGTTGGGCCATAATTTTAACTCGATTTTCTATATTTTAGTTCTATCACGAGTTCGAGACTGTTTGTGTTAGCCAAGTGAATATACCCCCTGCCCATGGCTTCCGTCCCTTGTGTAAAGAAGGCGAACAAAATTTGTTACCTCCATATTGATACGCATACTTCTGAAGCGCCCGTTTTTGCGAGTGTACACTGTAACTTATGACAATGAATGATCCATTTTTATATTGATTTAGCATCAAGCAAAACCTGAAAAGATTTTGGATGATTTGCAAGAAAAGGCTTCAGTGTTTGTGAAAGATCTTCTGACTTCGGATTCCTTGAAAATCAAACTGTCCGCAATGGTTGAGCAGTGTATGGATAGTGGAAAAATACTTTCAAAGGTTTTTATATTTTTTTTCTTAAATTTTGGAATACTTTTCTGATCTTTTTATTACTTTTCATGCTTGTCTTGGAATAGAAATCGTTATGAGAAAAATTTTTTTTAATGTAGTTGCCAGCACAAGAGGAAACAATCAGTGATAACTTGAATGGACAATCTCAAGTTAACAACTCGGATTTGACAAAATTCATCAAGTCTGAGGAAAAAGTGCAAAACACTTTGAAAACATCTTCCCAGGTAAAATTCCAAGCAAATTTATCTTGACAGTTTGACACAACATGTTACAATGGTAAATTTAGTGTTCTTAATTACAGTACAATTCACCTTGCAATGAAAATTTACCACTTCAATTAATATATAGGTTTCAGCAACTTGCGAGAACAACGGAGTCAATGAGGGACATGAGAAAATCTTGAGCAATAGAGTTGAATCTCTCGCATCAGATGTTTCTGTCTCTGACGTTAACTCCACAGGAGAACAAGTGCTCGGTCTGAAAGTGCCAGTTCAGGTATCTATTAGATCACCGCTTCGAGAGACCCTTATTCGCAGTCGTTCTGTTTGTCTGTCGAGCTTTAGCATCTAAACGGCTGCGACTGACAAATCTGGATAAAAAATTTTACGTGGAGTAACCTGACACTCTAGTCATAGGCGTTTCACCGAAAATCTGGATTGCTGTTTTGTTTCCATGGTAGCAATGAAAAAACGCACCAATCGTTGGGAAATATCCTATTTTCTTTCATGTTTTCAGAAATTTTCTAGTTAACAAATTCAAAAATTAAAATTTCGAGAACGCCGCTCTCCGGGGAAGGAAATACTCTTTTAACAAGCGATTTTCCATTTTAATAATTCATAACTGGGGAAGCCTGAAGCATTTTATTGAAAATTATTAATCATTATCTCCAGTATACCGCTCACTCGAGGATACAAATGTGTATCAGAAAAATTCCTAGGCGCTTACTGGCATGTGAAGATTGTAGGTCATCGCTAGATGCTGAAATGAATTATGTATGATCATACCAAAAAAGACGATCCAGCATTTCATCTTTTTGTAGAAAAGTTAGTTGGGATGGTAATTTACTTATAAGGTGTTTTGAAATTCTACCATAATATGTTTTTTAGACTGAATCTGCATTTGAATGCAAATTGACCGATTTACAAGAAAAGAACTCAGAGTTCGAGATCGATTCTCCAATATCCGATGCTCTTTTCTTTGATGGCAAACCTGAGGAATCAAAGGATATTGACACTGGCAAGAAGTTACATTCTGAGGTGAGTTTTTATGAACATACTTGATAGTCATGTGACAAAGAATTGAGTTCGAAAATCGTGTTTGGTGACAATTTTTCTGAAATTAAAAAACAGGAATGATTATTTTGTCAGCATGCACAATGAACATTTTCTATTTCCATTCAATCAAACTATATATTTTTTGGTCTGTTTCATTCAGAGTCAAGCAAGATCTGAAAAGGTATTGGATAATTTGCAAGGAAACACTTCAGTTTCTACAAATGATCCTCAAACTTTTGATTCTCTCAAAATGGAACAGGATGCGGTGATCAAGGAAATTGGGAATGGCGATAAAATACCATTAAAGGTTTGTTTGTTTTTTCAAAGTTTCAATCTTTCTGAATCAAAAAGCAGTGAGTGAGAATTACGCATCTAGTGATGATAATAGGATAGGATTTCATGTATTTATCATGGGAGAGAGGAAAGTCGATAAGACGACTTAATCATATGGCGAACCACGGCCTCTCGTCCGTTTATCAGTCCATGTCAATTATGGGATTAGTTAGCAATTATTTGTTTTAGGAGTCATCGACTTGATGGTGGAGGAAGCCGTGACCGATTGTCGGTTACGTGAACCACCCTACCGCAGAGAGGAGTTCGGCAATTCTCTCACATATAACCATCCCCTCATGGGATTTGAACCTGCAAATGGATGCAGGGTAACCAGAGATGCTGTGGCGAGCGCATTCCTAACGCTTAGCACGATGCGCCACAACGCCGAGCTGATATTTTTACTGAATAGTATATCTCTTCTGCGAGTAGAGATTTGATTATTTTTTCTGGTTGTTTAATATTTATTTTTTATTTTTCTGATTCAGTTACCAGCACAGGATGAATCAATCAGTGATAACTTGAATGAACAATCTCAAGTTAACAATTCGGATTTGACAAAATTCATCAAGTCTGAGGGAAAAGTGCAAGACACTTTGAAAACATCTTCCCCGGTAAAAATTCAAGTAAATTCAACTTGAAAAAACATGTTACAATGGTAAATTTGATAACACCGTAGTGTGTGTACAAGGTTAGGGTTAGGCCATTATTTTATTCCGATTTTCCTTATTTTAGTTCTATTACGAGTATGGGGACTGTCTGTGTTATCCAAGTGGATATACCTCTGCCCACAAGCTTACGTTTCATTCAGACAACTTGATGTAAAGTAGGCGAACAAAATTAGTTACCTCCATATTGGTACACACTTCTGGGTTACCATTTCCTCGTCTGCAAGTAGAGTTTCCAATTGTTTAAAATCTTTTTCATTTTTCTGATTTAGTTACCAGCACAGGATGAAACAATCAGTGATAACTTGAATGAACAATCTCAAGTTAACAATTCGGATTTGACAAAATTCATCAAGTCTGAGGAAAAAGTGCAAAACACTTTAAAAACATCTTCCCAGGTAAAAATCCGAGTAAATTCAACTTGAAAAAACATGTTACTATGGTAAAATTGGTACTCCCGTAGTGTGTGTACCAGGTTAGGGTTAGGTCATAACTTTATTACGATTTTTCTTATTTTAGTTCTATTACGAGTTGGGGCACTGTCTGTGTTAGCCAAATGAACGTACCACCTGCCCATAGGTTTCAATCCATTCACACAACTAGATGTAAAACAGGTGAACAAAATTAGTTACCTCCATATTGGTACACACGTCTGGAGCACCGTTTCCTCGTCTTCAGGTAGAAATAGGAATCTTTTTTCAGGTTTTTCAGAATCTTTTTATTTTTCTGATTTAGTTACCAACACAGGGTGAAACAATCAGTGATAACTTGAATGAACAATCCCAAGTTAACAATTCGGATTTGTCAAAATTCATCAAGTCTGAGGAAAAAGTGCAAGACACTTTGGAAACATCTTCCCAGGTAAAAATTCCAAGTGAATTTAAAATGATATGTGAAATTATAAGTTATTATGAAGTTTTATGACATTTTGCCATAATATTTTATTTAGACTGGATCTGTACTTGAATGCAAATTAACTGATTTGCAAGAAAAGAACTCAGAATCCAAGATTGGTTCTCCAATATCCGATGCTCTTTTCTTTGATGACAAACATGAGGAATCCAAGGATATTGACGCTGGCAAGAAGTTACAGTCTGAGGTGAGTTTTATAAACATACTTGATGGTCTTGCGACAAAGAATTGATTTCGAAAATCGTGTTTTGTGACAATTTCACCAAAATTAATAAACAGGAATGATTATTTTGCCAGCATGCACATTGAACATTTTGTATTTCCTTTCAATCAAACTAATTATTCTTTTATCTGTTTTATTCAGAGTCAAGCAAGATCTGAAAAGAGTTTGGATAATTTGCAAGGAAACTCTTCAGTTTCTACAAATGATCCTCAAACTTTTGATTCTCTCAAAATGGAGCAGGATGCGGCGATCACGGAATTCGGGAATGGGGATAAAATGTCACTGAAGGTTTGTTTGTTTTTTCAAAGTTCTAATCTTTCTGAATCAAAAAAACAGTGAGTGAGAATTACGCAACTAGTGATGATAATATATGTTTTCTCGGTACTCCCGTAGTGTGTGTACCAGGTTAGGGTTAGCTAGGCCATAATTTTATTCCGATTTTCCTTATTTCAGTTCTATTACGAGTTCGGGGACTGTCTGTGTTAGCCAAGTGAATATATCCCCTGTTAATAGGTTTCAGTTCCTTTACACAACTTGATGTAAAGTAGGCAAACAAAATTAGTTACCTCCATATTGGTACACACTTCTGGGGCACCATTTCCTCGTCTGCAAGTAGAGGTATAATTATTTTCTCTAATTGTTTGAAATCTTTTTTATTTTTCAGATTCAGTTACCAACACAGGATGAAACAATCAGTGATAACTTGAATGAACAATCTCAAGTTAATAATTCGGATTTGACAAAATTCATCAAGTCTGAGGAAAAAGTGCAAGACACTTTGAAAACATCTTCCCAGGTAAAATATCAAGTAAATTTAACATATAACAACATGTTACAATGGTAAATTCAATGTTCTAAATACAGTACAATTTACCTTGTAATGAAAAAGTTGCGTTTCAATTCATATATAGGTTTCAGCAACTTGTGAAATCAATGGGGCCGTTGAGGGACATGAGAACATCTTGAGCGATAGAGTTGAATCTCTTGCATCAGATATTTCCGTCTCTAACGTAAACTCCTCAGGAGAACAAGTGCTTGGTCTGAAATTACCAGTTCAGGTATCATAATTCATAACAAAGTCAAAACGCAGAATTTATCATTTAGTTCCATGATATATGATGAATATGAGTTATTATAAGGTATTATGATATTTTACCATAATATTTGATTTAGACTGGATCTGTACTTGAATGCAAATTGACTGATTTGCAAGAAAAGAACTCAGAATGTGAGATTGATTCTCCAATATCCGATGCGCTTTTCTTTGATGACAAGCATGAGGAATCCAAGGATATTGACGCTGGCAAGGAGTTACATTCTGAGGTGAGTTTTATGAACATACTTGATGATCTTGCGACAAAGAATTGAGTTCGAAAATCGTGTTTGGAGACAATTTTTCTAAAATTAAGAAACAGGAATGAATATTTTGTTAGCATGCACAATGAACAATTTGTATTCCTTTTAATCAAACCAAATATTCTTTTGTCTGTTTTATTCAGAGTCAAGCAAGATCGGACAAGAGTTTGGATAATTTGCAAGGAAACACTTCAGTTTCTACGAATGATCCTCGAACTTTGGATTCTCTCAAAATGGAACAGGATGCGGCGATCAAGGAAATTGGGAATGGGGATAAAATACCATTGAAGGTTTGTTTATTTTTTCAAACTTTCGATATTTCTGAATCAAAAACAAACTGAGTGAGAATTACGCAACTAGTGATGGTAATATATGTTTACTAAATAGTATACACTTTCTGAAGGTATAGATTTGATTATTTTTTCTGGTCGTTAAATTTTTTTTCATTTTTCTGATTTAGTTACCAACACAGGATGAAACAATCAGTGATAACTTGAATGAACAATCTCGAGTTAACAATTCGGATTTGACAAAATCCATCAAGTCTGAGGAAAAAGTACAAGACACTTTGGAAACATCTTCCCTGGTAAAATTTTTAGTAAATTCAACTTGAAATAACAAGTTACAATGTTCATATTCAATATCTTGATTTCTGTCCACTTCGGCCATTCTGATTGGAATCTATGTTTCAATTGAAATTCAGATTTCAGCAGCTCGAGAAATCAATGGGGCCGTTGAGGGACATGAGAACATCTTGAGCGATAGAGTTGAATCTCTCACATCAGATATTTCTGTCTCTAACCTAAACTCCACGGGAGAACAAGTGCTTGGTCTGAAATTGCCAATTCAGGTATCATAATTTATAATAAAGTCAAAACGCAGAATTTAACATTCACTTCCATGATATGTGAAAATTATAAGTTATTATAGGGTCTTATGATATTTTACCATAATATTTGATTTAGACTGGAGATGCACTTGAATGCAAATTGACTGATTTGCAAGAAAAGAACTCAGAATCCAAGATTGGTTCTCCAATATCCGATGCTCTTTTCTTTGATGGCAAACATGAGGAATCCAAGGATATTGACGCTGGCAAGAAGTTACATTCTGAGGTGAGTTTTTCTAAACACTCTTGATGGTCGTGCGACAAAGAGTTGGGCGCTCCAGAAGTGTGTGTACCAATATGGAGGTAACTAATTTTGTTCGCTTACTTTATGTCAAGTTGTGTAAAGGGACTGAAACCTATGGGCGTATATTCACTTGGCTAACACAGATAGTCCCTGAACTTGTAATAGAACTAAAATAAGGAAATTCGAATAAAATTATGGCCTAACCCTAATCTGGTACACACACTTCAGAGTACCGATTATTTTGCCAGCATGCACATTGAACATTCTGCATTTCCTTTTTATCAAACCATTTATTCTTTTGTCTGTTTTATTCAGAGTCAAGCAAGATCTGAAAAGAGTTTGGATAATTTGCAAGGAAACACTCCAGTTTCTACAAATGATCCTCAAACTTTTGATTCTCTCAAAATGGAACAGGATGCGGTGATCAAGGAAATTGGGAATAGCGATAGAATACCATTAAAGGTTTGTTTGTTTTTTCTAGCTTCCGATCTTTCTGAATCAAAACCACAGTGAGTGAGAATTACGCAACTAGTGATGATAGAATATGTTTAGTTAATAGTATACAACTTCTGTAAGCATAGATTTGATTATTTTTTCTGGTTGTTGAATTTTGTTTAATTTTTCTCTGATTCAGTTACCAGCGCAGGATGAAACAATCAGTGATAACTTGAATGAACAATCTCAAGTTAACAATTCGGATTTGACAAAATTCATCAAGTCTAAGGAAAAAGTGCAAGACACTTTGAAAACATCTTCCCAGGTAAAAATTTAAGTAAATTTAACTTGGAAAAACATGTTACTATGAGAAATTCAGTACGCCCGTAGTGTGTGTTCTTTTACACAACTTGATGTAAAGTGGGCGAACAAAATTAGTTACCTCCATATTGGTACACACACTTCTGGAGCGTCAGAAATTTACTGGTCTAAATTTACATACAATTTACCTTTTGATAGAAATTTAACGTTTCAACTCATAAATAGGTACCAGCAGCTTGCGAAAGCAATGGAGCTGATGAGAGACATGAGAAAATCTGGAGCGATAGAGTTGAATCTCTCGCATCAGATATTTCTGTCTGTAACGTAAACTCCACAGAAGAACAAGTGCTTGGTCTGAAATTGCCAGTTCAGATTGAAGATAAACCTGAGCACAGATTGGCTGATGTTCAGGAAATGACCTCAGTCATTGTGACTAAACCTTCAACTTCCTCTTCCATCTCTCTGAACAGAGAGCTACAGGAATCAGGCAGAAAAGTTGAAGAGGTGAGATTTGAATTTCATTGATAATGATTCCTCAAATCGAGGTACAAGATGCACTCAGAAGCAGAAAACATTCTCAACTCGAGCCAAATTTGCAAGCTCAAATGCAATTTTTGATGTAGATTATATGTCCCTAGCACTCAATGCAAAAACTCCACTCAAATGCAATTTTTGATGTAAATTAGATGTTTTAAGCCCTCTTGGATATGAAATTTTGAACAATAATTTAACATTACACGATGAAACTTCTTTCATTTAGACTGATAACCAACTCCATTGCAAATTAGATGGTGCAAAAAAAAAGGTTTCGGTTTACGAGACAAATTCTTCATCGTTTATTAATACAAAGAAAGACCAAACAGTTGGAATTGATTCGGTTAGTTGTAAGAATCACTCAATTAGACATTTTTTATTTAAAGCATTTCCGATTTCTACAACCTATTTTTTGTTACGATTGCTAATTTAAGACTTTTTTAGTATAAAAATACACTGATAGCTACAGACAATTTATATTTTTCAGAAAATCATATTTCGAGACCGAAGACTTGCAAAAGTTAATGGAAATCCTTTCCAGAACTTTCCAAAAAGTAAGACTGTATGAAATACATTTATTTCTTCTGGTTTATTGATTACAGGTCACTTATTAGTGCAGTGGTCAGCAAACAGCGGCCCGCTAACATGTTTTTTGTGGCCCTCAAACCACCTCACTTAAATGCATAAAACAAGAATTATTCATGATATTATTATTTTCTCTTCATGGATGTATATCGTAACAATGGCTGTTGCGTGGCGGTTGAAAAACCAAAATTGGGTTAGGGCAATTCGGTAGGTGGGTAAGCATTGGTTTATTACACACATGGATGGTGAACAGGGGTTTATTACACTCATGGGGGGTGAGCATTGGGTTTGATCAATACAGTTGTGAATGACGTCTTTCTTATGATCAGGAATAATTTTGATTTCAGATTTATTTTAAATTATAGACAATAATCTGTTAAAATATGCTGGTTAAATTATATTATTTTTATTCAAGTTTATGGAGACTACAGAATAAAACCGAAAGTTACCCTATTACCGAAAGTTACGGAAACTCTCCCTATTCCAATTCGGAGATGTGAAGGTAACACTTATATATATATATATATTATACACACACACACAGATACAGTAGTTAAGGCCACTTTAGTATGCAATCTCAATCACAGACACATCACACCATAATTGGTGCCACTTGTTATGTGTTTAAACTCATAAAGACATTTTCACAGAATTCAGTTTCAGAATTCAGCAACAGGTTAGGATCAGGTTAATAGTAAAATCACTAAGATCACACCGAAACGCTGGGAGTGTATGCCAAAGTGTCATCTAATAAATATACGCATTACATGCATTTGCTCTAGAAGAGGCTTTGCATAAGCAGTTTCTGATATTTACATAGCAAAGGTAATTATGACCATTCTGGTCCACATACCAACTGCACTTGCGGTGAATTGAAATTTGAAGGGCGTGGAGTTTAAACAGGTTATCTTCAGCAAAGAGACATTAGCACCAATGCTCTACCAATTAACTAATTATGTGGTTCTTGAGTTGAGAGACTAATCAAAAAAATTGTTCTTTTTTATCTGCTTTTTCTATAATATTGCCAAATAATATTGTTTTTATTTTCAGTAAAATTTGACAATAAACTGAAGACTTTGAGCAGACAGATCCCATTCTTTGGTGATAAGCGCGTAAAGTTTCAGGAATCAAATTCGGACGACGACGGCGAAGAATATTTCGCCATAAATGAGGATGTTGACAGTGGTAATTGGTCTTTTTAAATTGTTGGAATTATTTGTAGTTTAGCCTCATCTGACGAAAAATTTTTTTTGTTTTGTAAGATGATTCGGACACTCAAAATAATGACAGAAAAATAGAAAAGTTGGACGGACCAATGGAAGAGAATCGTCATGGTAACACTGAGTTTTTAGAAATATTTTCCTAAAGGAAATACTCGTTAAAGTACAAAAGTGTGAAATAGGATTAGGAAATAGGAATTTCATATTCAATTTCTAAATGTTTTCATGATTTTACTAAGAAAACTTGATTTAAAACATTGAATAAATCAAACGAAATTGATACATTTTAATATGTTTTGTTTTTATTGAACAGCAAATTTTTATTTTATAAGATGGTGCAGAGTCTTGTATCAGCAACGGAAAGGAAGAAAATATCTCTCTGCAGCTCGAAGGCTTTTGTATCGAAGGCACAAAGTTCGCTCCAAAGCTTCCTCCAGAAGAGGAAGAAATAATGGAAGAGATTGATGCCGGTAACTCATGTTCATTCAATTGATTAAACTAAATCGAAAACAATTTAGGTTGCAAATCATTTTTTTCAGGCTGTGATGAAGATGCCATTGAGCCAAGCCGAGTGAAAACCAACAGACGACTAAAGACAGCAAGAAGAAGACCAATGGGTATGCATGCTCTTTATTGGAATTGGATTGATAATTATTGGTAAAACCAAATTCTAAAATAACTAATTGAATGTTTTTTGAAATATTTACATTACAAATTAAATAATGTTTTTATGCAGCCCATTAACATGATTGTACGGCTAATGTATGGACCAGGTAGTGTTTTATTTTTTACAAATGAAAATGGATGTGGGCCATATTGGGCCAAGGCCAATGAAAAAACAGGAGCAAAGAAGTGGCTGGAAGCATCTGGTACCCATCAACAGCCCAAACCTAAAAAAAATTAACAAAATTGACGATACCTTCAATGAGGCTGATGTGCATATTGTCGCAAAAAAGATCGAAACTTTACTCTATTCTGTTCTTTTATTTTCTAAGGAGACTTTAACAACACACTCCAAGTATTGAGCAGAGAAATTCCACATTATGGTGGTTTCAGAAAACACATGGATTATGGAATTGAATTGGATGAAAATAAGACAGATGAAGAAGATATGGAAAGCATTGAAGAATTCATAATAAATGGTAACGATATTTCTAATCACTGCGATTTTGCGATTTGCAATAGTTCCAATTACTGTGTTTTTATATCTATTTTGATCTATTTTTTCATAAAAATATTAAATTGTCAGGTGATTCGGATTCTTCTATCGGAAGCAAAAATAAATATTGTGAAAACATCAGTTCAAATGAATTATTGGAAGAAATTGAAGAAAAGATTGATAAAGGTAACTTTAATATAAGTTGCAGGGCTCTTGAAACTGGGTGTCCTGACTCCTGACCCCCTTCCTTTGGATTGCACCCAATAGGGGTTACGGTATGTTTCGAAAACATAATTAAAGCATTGACAACAAAACTTTCTAAACTGATGAGAAAAACAGATTATGACTTGACGTGATGAAGATGAACATTACACGCTTGAGTGGGCTGAGAAAATTTTATTTAAAGAAAGTCCAGAAGTACGCCTTTCCCAGCCAGAACAAAAAACCAAGATCAAAGAATACTGTCTCAATGCATAGAATAGTTGACAATGATTTGTATAAACGCAATAACTCACGTTCATTCCGTTGATTAAACTAAATCGAAAATGCAAATCATTTTTTTCAGGCTGCAATGAAGATGCCATTGAGCCAAGCCGAGTGAAAACCAACAGACGACTAAAGACAGCAAGAAGAAGACTAATGGGTATGCATGCTCTTTATTGAAATTGTATTAAAAATGGTATAACCAAATTCTAAGAATATAATTGACTGTGTTTTTAAAATCTTTACATTACAAAATGAATAATGTTTCTATGCAGCACAATAACATGATTGTGCAGCTAATGTATGAACCAGTTAGTGCTTTATATTCGACAAATGAAAATGGATGTGGGCCATATGAGATTTGTTTTCAGTGCGTTTGAAAAATTGCGCATCTTGTGGCGGTTCTACGAACTTTTTTCATCACAACTCACTTACGAGAACCAAATTTTTTTGCAGCTCCCAGGAACTAAAACATAAATAAAGTAAAATTCAATCTTTCTTTTTGTGTACCATGTCTGTTACAGACATCGGCGATCATGGCCTTCCATTCCAATCTGTTGTTAGTTCTCTTAAAATTTATTAATTCAGCAAAAATACAAAAAAAAATAACCCCTGATTAACCCACTTTCTTGATCTGCTGCGTGGAACATATTTCTATTTTTTTATTTCATAAGGAGACTTCAACAACACACTCCAAGTATTGAGCAGAGAAATTCCACATTATGGTGGTTTCAGAAAACCCAGTAATTATGGAATTGAATTGGACGAAAACAAGAAATATGATGAAGATATGGAAAGCATTGAAGAATTCATAATAAATGGTATCGATATTTACAATCACTGCGATTTTTTCGATTTATTTTAATATAATTTTACAATAAAAATATTGAATTGTCAGGTGATTCGGATTCTTCTATCGGAAGCAAAAATAAATATTGTGAAAACATCAGTTCAAATGAATTATTGGAAGAAATTGAAGAAAAAATTGATAAAGGTAACTTTATTATAGGTTGCAGGGCTCTTGAAACTAGGTGTCCTGACCTAAACTAAATTGAAAACAATTTAGGTTGCAAATCATTTTTTTCAGGCTGCAATGAAGATGCCATTGAGCCAAGCCGAGTGAAAACCAACAGGCGACTAAAGACAGCAAGAAGAAGACCAATGGGTATGCATGCTCTTTATTGGAATTGGATAAATAATTATGGGTATATCCAAATTCTAAAATAAATAATTGAATGTGTTTTTGAAATATTTACATTACAAATTAAATGATGTTTCTATGCTGCACAATAACATGATTGTGCGGCTAATGTATGGACCAGGTAGTGCTTTATATTTTTAACAAATGAAAATGGATGTGGGCCATATGGGATTTGTTTTTAGTTCGTGTGTTATCATCGAAATTAAAAATTGCGCATCTTGTGGCGGTTGCACGATTTTTTTTCATTGCAACTCACTTGCGACGACCAAATTTTTTCGCATCCACCGGGAACCTAAACAAAAATAAAGTGAAGTTTGATAACACACCAAAAATTTAAAAAAAATTGATGATACCTACAATCAGGCCAATGTGCCTGATTGACCCCTTTCGCGACTCACTTTTTTGATCTACAGCAAGGAACATAAACCTGTTTTTGGGCGTGCTACGTCGGTCGTGATGAAAATAATATAAAGAACAATGCTTTAATGAATATAATAATTGACAATGACTTGTTTAAACAAGCTATAACACCCAATATGGACTTGGCCTCGGTTACCTGGAGTTGAACCATTGTTTTTAGAAGATGACAAACTTTTTTCAAATCGGAAAGTAAACTCATCAGCAATTAAAACACTTCTGGATAAGGAGATTGTTTTAGGTGGCAAGAAGACAAATCAGAAGCAAGATGCAACAATACAATCTGCAACTGCAAATAAGTCTTGTCCATCTGACAACAAAAAGAAGGGTACGTTGAGTTACAAACAGGTTCCTAACATTTCAAGCTTTTTACTTTATTTTACAAATAAATTATTTTTCCCAAAGGTGCTGGAAAACCTACAAAACAACCCAAAGACAGTACAGGAGAATCAACCTCTGGTAAAAAGCCAATGGGTATGTATGCTTTCGAATATAGTATTGAACGTCACACAACCAGCCAATTTGAACCAGAATGTTTGGGTTTTTATAGGATTATATTATTTATAACAATCTGCAAAATAGAACATAAACATTTTGTGGTTGTTGAGTTTTGTTGTGTCAGATAAATATTTGTTTCTCATCTCTTTTATAAACTAATCAATTTAAAATTGTTCTTTTTTATCTCAGTCAGCTGACGTTAATTTTAAATTTTCTATATTATTGTAAAAAATATTGGTTTTATTTTTAGTAAAATTTGGCAATGGACTGAAGACTTTAAGCAGACAGATCCCATTCTTTGGTGATAAACGCGTAAAGTTTCAGGAATCAAATTCGGACGAAGAAGGCGAAGAATATTTCGCCATAAATGAAGATGTTGACAGTGGTAATTCGTCTTTTTAAATTATTGGAATTATTTGTAGTTTCGCCTCATCTGACAAATAATAAATTTTTGTTTTATAAGATGATTCGGACACTCAAAATGATGAAACAAAAATAGAAAAGTTGGACGGATCAATGGATGAAAATTATCACGGTAACTAAGTTTTTGAAAATATTTTCTCAAAGGAAACACTCATTAAAGTACAAAGAAGTGAAATAGGATCGGATTCGAATTTCATATTTATTTAGGGGGAGAGGAAAGCCAACAAGACAGCTTAATCCTATAGCGAATGTAAACACAATCTGTCGCGATGTCAATAGAATAAGTAAAGCCATATTTTTCCAATTTTCATTATTTTGTTAAGATAACTCGATTATAAACATTAAAATGAATCAAATCGTACAATTAAATCTGTTATAGTTATATTAAACGACAATTTTTTATTTTAAAAGATGATGCAGGATCTCCCATTAGCAACGGAAAGGAAGAAAATCTTTCGCTGCAGCTCAAAGGCTTTTGTATCGAAGGCACAAAGGTTGCTCCGAAGCTTCCTCCAGAAGTGGAAGAAATAATGGAAGAGATCGTTGCCGGTAACTCTTGTTCATTCAATTGATTAATTCAATTAAATCAAAGACTATTTAGGTTGCAAATCATTTTTTCAGGCTGTGATGAAGATGTCATTGAGCCAAGCCGAGTGAAAACCAACAGACGAATAAAGACAGCAAGAAGAAGACCAATGGGTATGCATGCTCTTTATTGAAATTGGATTAATAATTATTGGTAAAACCAAATTCTAAAATAAATAATTGAATGTGTTTTTGAAATATTTACATTACAAATTAAATAATGTTTCTATGCAGCACAATAACATGATTGTGCGGCTAATGTATGGACCAGGTAGTGCTTTATTTTTCACAAATGAAAATGGATGTGGGCCATATTGGGCCAAGGCCGATAAAAAAACAGGCGCAAAGAAGTGGCTGGAAGCATCTGGCGCCCATCAACAGCCTAAACCTAAAAAAAATAAAAAATAAATTAATAAAATCGACAGTACCCTTAATGAGGCTGATGTGCATATTGTCGCAAAAAAGATCGAAACTTTACTCTATTCTGTTCTAAACTGATGAGTAAAACAGATTATGACTTGACGTGATGAAGATGAACATTACACGCTTGAGTGGGCTGAGAAAATTTTATTTAAAGAAAGTCCAGAAGTACGTCTTTCCCAGCCAGAACAAAAAACCAAGATCGAAGAACACTGCTTTAATGAATAGAATAGTTGACAATGATTTGTATAAACGTAATAACTCACGTTCATGCCGTTGATTAAACTAAATCGAAAACAATTTAGGTTGCAAATCATTTTTTTCAGGCTGCAATGAAGATGCCATTGAGCCAAGCCGAGTGAAAACCAACAGGCGACTAAAGACAGCAAGAAGAAGACCAATGGGTATGCATGCTCTTTATTGGAATTGGATAAATAATTATTGGTATAACCGAGTTCTAAAATAAATATTTGAATGTGTTTTTGAAATATTTACATTACAAATTAAATAATGTTTCTATGCAGCACAATAACATGATTGTGCGGCTAATGTATGGACCAGGTAGTGCTTTATTTTTAACAAATGAAAATGGATGTGGGCCATATGAGATTTGTTTTTAGTTCGTGTTCTCATCGAAATTAAAAATTGCGCATCTTGTGGCGGTTGCATGATTTTTTTTCATTGCAACTCACTTGCGACGACCAAATTTTTTTCGCATCCACCGGGAACCTAAACAAAAATAAAGTGAAGTTTAATAACACACCAAAAATTTACAAAAAAAATTGATGATACCTTCAATCAGGCCAATGTGCCTGATTAACCCCTTTCGCGACTCACTTTTTTGATCTACAGCATGGAACATAAACATTTTGGGCGTGCTCCGTCCGTCGTGATGAAAATAATTTAAAGAACAATGCTTTAATGAATATAATAATTGACAATGACTTGTTTAAACAAGCTATAACACCCAATATGGACTTGGCCTCAGTTACCTGGAGTTGAACCATTGTTTTTAGAAGATGACAAACTTTTTTCAAATCGGAAAGTAAACTCATCCGCCATTAAAACACTTCTGGATAAGGAGATTGTTTTAGGTGGCAAGAAGACAAATCAGAAGCAAGATGCAACAATACAATCTGCAACTGCAAATAAATCTTGTCCACCTGACAACAAAAAGAAAGGTACGTTGAGTTACAAACAGGTTCCTAACATTTCAAGCTTTTTACTTTATTTTACAAATGAATTATTTTTCCCAAAGGTGCTGGAAAACCTACAAAACAACCCAAAGACAGTACAGGAGAATCAACCTCTGGTAAAAAGCCAATGGGTATGTATGCTTTCGAATATAGTATTGAACGTCACACAACCAGCCAATTTGAACCAGAATGTTTGGGTTTTTATAGGATTATATTATTTATAACAATCTGCAAAATAAAACATAAACATTTTGTGGTTGTTGAGTTTTGTTGTGTCAGATAAATATTTGTTTCTCAACTCTTTTATAAACTAATCAATTTAAAATTGTTCTTTTTTATCTCAGTCAGCTGACGTTAATTTAACATTTTCTATATTATCGTAAAAAATGTTGGTTTTATTTTTAGTAAAATTTGACAATGAACTGAAGACTTTAAGCAGACAGATCCCATTCTTTGGTGATAAGCGCGTAAAGTTTCAGGAATCAAATTCGGACGAAGAAGGCGAAGAATATTTCGCCATAAATGAAGATGTTGACAGTGGTAATTCGTCTTTTTAAATTATTGGAATTATTTGTAGTTTCGCCTCATCTGACAAATAATAAATTTTTGTTTTATAAGATGTTTCGGACACTCAAAATAATGAAAGAAAAATAGAAAAGTTGGACGGATCAATGGAAAAAATTATCACGGTAACTAAGTTTTTGAAAATATTTTCTCAAAGGAAATACTCATTAAAGTACAAAGAATTGAAATAGGATCGGATTCGAATTTCATATTTATTTAGGGGGAGAGGAAAGCCAACAAGACAGCTTAATCATATAGCGAATGTAAACACAATCTGTCGCGATGTCAATAGAATAAGTAAAGCCATATTTTTCCAATTTTCATGATTTTACTAAGATAACTCGATTATAAACATTGAAATGAATCAAATCGTACAAGTAAATCTGTTATAGTTATATTAAACAACAATTTTTTATTTTAAAAGATGATGCAGGATCTCCCATTAGCAACGGAAAGAAGGAAAATCTTTCGCTGCAGCTCAAAGGCTTTTGTATCGAAGGCACAAAGGTCGCTCTGAAGCTTCTACCAGAAGTGGAAGAAATAATGGAAGAGATTGTTGCCGGTAACTCACGTTCATTCAATTGATTAATTCAATTAAATCGAAGACTATTTAGGTTGCAAATCACTTTTTCAGGCTGTGATGAAGATGTCATTGTGCCAAGCCGAATGAAAACCAACAGACGACTAAAGACAGCAAGAAGAAGACCAATGGGTATGCATGCTCTTTATTGGAATTGGATTAATAATTATTGGTAAAACCAAATTCTAAAATAAATAATTGAATGTGTTTTTGAAATATTTACATTACAAATTAAATAATGTTTCTATGCAGCACAATAACATGATTGTGCGGCTAATGTATGGACCAGGTAGTGCTTTATTTTTTACAAATGAAAATAGATGTGGGCCATATTAGGCCAATCCCAATGAAAAAACAGGAGCAAAGTAGGGCCTGGAAGCATCTGGCGCCCATCAACAGCCCAAACCTAAAAAAAATAAAAAATAAATTAACAAAATCGACAGTATCCTTAATGAGGCTGATGTGCATATTGTCGCAAAAAAGATCGAAACTTTACTCTATTCTGTTCTAAACTGATGAGTAAAACAGATTATGACTTGACGTGATGAAGATGAACATTACACGCTTGAGTGGGCTGAGAAAATTTTGTTTAAAGAAAGTCCAGAAGTACGTCTTTCCCAGCCAGAACAAAAAACCAAGATCAAAGAACACTGTCTCAATGCATAGAATAGTTGACAATGATTTGTATAAACGCAATAACTCACGTTCATTCCGTTGATTGAACTAAATCGAAAACAATTTAGGTTGCAAATCATTTTTTTCAGGCTGCATTGAAGATGCCAATGAGCCAAGCCGAGTGAAAACCAACAGACGACTAAAGACAGCAAGAAGAAGACCAATGGGTATGCATGCTCTTTATTGGAATTGGATAAATAATTATTGGTAAAACCAAATTCTAAAATAAATAATTAAATGTGTTTTCAAAATCTTCACAATACAATTAAATAACTTTCTATGTTGCAAACTGACACAAATATATTCATGTTTGTCTTTCAGGCGCATGAGGCACATATTAAATCGTTTTGTCTCAAATCTGAGACGGTGCGCCTAATGTATGGATCAGATAGCACTTTATGTTTCATCGCAACACTCAAAACCTGCACATTTTACATTTTTTAGTCCGGTGCGCTCTATGCAGGAATAAAAACCCAATTTAGACAGTAATTGCATTGTTCAGAATATTAACTCCTCTTGCGACCCACTTCTTGATCTACTGTGTTAAACATATTTCTGTTCTTCTATTTTATAAGGAGACTCCAACAAAACACTCCAAGTATTGAGCGGAGAAATTCCACATTATGGTGGTTTCAGAAAACGCGGGAATTATAGAATTGAATTGGATGAAGTTAAGAAAGATGATGAAGTTATGAAAAGCATTGAGGAATTCATAATAAATGGTAACGATATTTCCAATCACTGTGTTTATTTTTGATCTATTTTTTAATAAAAATAATAAATTGTCAGGTGATTCGGATTCTTCTATCGGAAAAGAAAGCAAAAATAAATATTGTGAAAACATCAGTTCAAATGAATTGTTGGAAGAAATTGAAGAAAAAATTGATAAAGGTAACTTTATTATAGGTTTCAGGGCTCTTGGTTAGGTAGAAATAATGGAAGAGATTGATGCCTGTAACTCTCGTTCATTCAATTGTTTAAACTAAATCAAAAACAATTTAGGTTGCAAATCATTTTTTCAGGCTGTGATGAGGATGCCATTGAGCCAAGCAGAGTGAAAACCAACAGACGACTAAAACAGCAAGAAGAAGACCAATGGGTATGCATGCTCTTTATTGGAATTGTATTAAAAATGGTATAGCCAGATTCTAAAATAAAAAATTGAATGGGTATTTATAATCTTTACATTAGGAATTAAATACAGTTTCTATGTTGCACACTGACACAAATATTTTTCTGTACCATATTTTACAGACCGAAAGGTGCGCATTAAATCCCTTTTTCACAAAAAATCTATCAAGCGCCTATTGTATGACCCGGGTAGTGCTTTATTGCCTAGAATCAAAACCAGTACCAGTACCGGTTGTGTCTTATAGCCTGATGCGCCTTATGTATGAAAATGAAAATTATTTATTTATTTATTATTTTAATAAAAAATAAATAAAAAAATTGACGATACCTTCAATGAAGCTGACATGCTTGTGTATTCTTGCACAAGAGATCGAATTTTGACTCCATTTCGGTGATGGTGGGTCTCAGTACTGATGCCAAATCTTCTCAATTTTGTTTTAAGATAAGTTAGTGTTGAAAAACATTTTACAGGGAACCCCTTCCCCCTATCGCAACCCACCCACTTTCTTAGTCTACTGTGTTGAACATATTTATTTTATTTTATCAGGAGACTTTAACAACACACTCAACACGCAAGTATTAGGCAGAGAAATTCCACATTATGGTGGTTTCAGAAAACACATGAATTATGGAATTGAATTGAATGAAAATAAGAAAGATGATGAAGATATGGAAAGCATTGAGGAATTCATAATAAATGGTAACGATATTTCTAATCACTGTGTTTTTTGATTTATTTTGATCCAAGTTTTTAATAGAAAATATTAAATTGTCAGGTGATTCAGATTCTTCTATCGGAAAAGAAAGCGAAAATAAATATTGTGAAAACATCAGTTCAAATGAATTGTTGGAAGAAATTGAAGAAAAAATTGATAAAGGTAACTTTATTATAAGTTTTTTCTGATACGGGTCGCTGCCAACTGTGAGTCCCGACCCCCCATGTGGGTTGCGAAAAGACCCAAGGGCGGTTACAGTATCTGTCAGGAACATTAAAGTTGTGACAAGAAAACATTCTGAACTGATGAGAAAAATAGACTGACCTGAAGTTACGAAGCTGAATGTCACATACTAAATTTTATTTAAAAGAAATCAAAGCATACGCTATTTTCAGCCTGAACAAAACCAAACTTAGACGAGCCATCATGTGTGGCAGATTTATTGTTACGTCACAACTTCGCTTCTAGTTGTTTACGTTCTTTAGCCAAGCGAAAAAATTTGGCCCTGCCAAGTGGGTTGTGATGAAAACAGTTCAAATAACACTGCTTTAATGAGTAAAATAACTGACAATGATTTGGAATTTGCGATACAATGACTCAGTCTGAACCTCTGTTACCTGAAGTTGAACCATTGTTTTTAGGAGATAACAAACTTTCTTCGAATCAGAAAGTAAACTCATCAGCCATTAAATCACTTTTGAATAGGAAGCAAAAGGGTGAGTTTTATTTTCAAGCAGTTGATTTTGCTGCAGCAATGTTTGCTTTAATTAGGATTATGGTTTCGCTAATCCTATTTAATTTTTCACAATATGGAAGTGGAAAAGTTTTTAGAAATTTCAAAGTGTGATGATAAACTTAACTCTGCATTAATTTGTCAGTATGATATATTTTCACATTTTAGGTGGCAAGAAGAAAAATCAGAAGCGAATTGCACCAATGCCATCTGCAACTGCAAATAAGCCTTGCCCACCTGACAACGAAAAAAAGGGTACGTAAGGGCCAAAGTTGAGTTTTAAACGTGTTTTAACATTTCACAAAACTAATAAGCTTTTTACTTTATTTTACAAATAAATTATTTTTTCAAAGGTGCTGAAAAATCCACAAAACAACCTAAAGGCAGTACTGGAAAATCCTCTGGTAAAAAGCCAAAGGGTACCGGTATGTATGCTTTTAAATATAATATTACACGTCACACAACCAGCTAATTTAAAGCACTTAAAGCAAATGATTAGAGTAGACATATGAAGTGGAAATATAGAAAAATTAATGGATCATGTTGATGTCATCAACCCTGTTTAATCTAGTGTAGAAGGAACAGAGGGAACAGGAATACTATGATTATACTTCATAGGATAGAATACGAATTTTAAGACAACTTAATCATATTGCAAACCATGGCATATCGTTTGGTTACCAGTTCATGTCAGTTAACCAATCCATGCAGGATGATCAGATGTGCAATGGCAAGTATAATCCCAATGCGTAGTGTAATCTGCCAACTGTATAATTCTTTTGGACTATAAAAAATGGTATTTTAACGGAATCTGAAAACAACTCGTAATTGGTGTTTTTTGATTTAGAAAATCGTCACAGACTGACATATTAATAAACTTTCATCAGTTTTATTATTTTACGATACAATGCTGATCTTGTTACGATAAAAATTTTTTTTTAGCAAAAAGTGGAAATTTGGATGACACGTCAAAGAAAAAGACGACAGAACAACCAAATCTGGCACCCATAAAACGGAAAGGTATAATTGAATTCTTTTCAAAATCGCAGTCTGCCATTGTTCATTCCATGTTTATGAAACAAGAACTAGACTTTAAGATCAGTGAACACTTGGTTTAGGGAAAACCTTCTATCTTATATTCTGTACTTTGTACTACAAATTTTACTTAAGATTTTGTTTTCTTACCTGATTTTTTAATTATTTATTTGTTTTAATCAATCATTTTATCGCCTGTTTTGTTGGTTATGGAGTCTAAATAAACTTAAATACTTATTTTTTGCGATCAATATCGAAAAAATTTTCTGTCATCAAATATTTATTTTGAAGTTACATGATGAATAACGTTGTTAAAACAATCTTATTTCCAGGAAAATTCAAAGGTGTACTCAAGGCATTGAGCAGAATAATACCACACCAAGGTAATTCCAACATAAGATTTGAAAAGAAAACAGAGTAGATGTTTCTGTATTGTATATAGTTTATTTTTATTTGTCCAAAAATCACAAAGTATCAATTTAGCATTTTGTCGAATATTTTTAACGTACAATGTATTATATAATTATATACTATCGTATTATTTTCCAGATCATAGTGAGGATAATCCAAATGCCAAGATCAGAAATCTTCTGCGAGGCAATGGAAAAAGAAATAAAAAATGTGGGACGAAACAACTAAATTCCAACGACGAAATGGAAAAAAGTATGATCTGTTTTTTTATTTCCTTTTTTTACAAAATAGTTTCATCATTCATGTGTTGGATCAGATGATTCGATGGTCTCTTCACAAAACAAATCCAAATGACATTTTTTTCTATTTCTAGATTCATCATATGATGGAATGAATGCTGTGAAACAAGAGGGAATCGTGCCATTCGTAAGTGCTGGTGAAATGCAGTTTTATGATAGGCGGATTCCTGTTGAAAATGACAAGATGGCAAAAATGGACAGAAAGGATGGTAAGTTTAAATGATTCTAATAAAATGTCCAACACTTGTTGTGTATGATTATGTTCGGGAGGATTGCTGAACTCCTTGCCAACGTGAGGTTAACAAATTGTCATTCACGAATTCATCCACTATCAAGGTCATGCATCGGAAATGAATAACTGGCTAACTAATCTCATACCCAACTTGGACAGGTAACCATGGACGAAAGGCCGTGGTTTTCCATATGATTAAGCTGTTTTATCGACTTTACTCTACCGCAAGATAAATATTAAAATTCCATCCCTAAATAAAAAAAATTAATAATTTTCTTGAATTATTCCAGATAATGATTCGTCTTCTGGCGACGAAAGCATCATATTTCTGACCGAGCCACCTTCGAAAAAAGTTTCACGTGCAAAAAAATTCTTCCGTCGTATTAGAAGATTTTGATGGTTTCGCATTTGAGCGAAATTTCAACGAAGTCTTTTGATTTATTTTAATTGTGTGCTATTGTTTTGGTTTATTTCGCATTTTAGCGATATTCCAATACAATATTTTTTTACATAGGTTTCCAATTACTTTGAACGGGATCGAGCGCTCGAGCGGATATTTGATCTTGCTAACATATGCTAGTTACGGTCTATTTTTGGCATCCTTCAGCGATATATAATTGATTTCGTTACTTTTTACTGATTTGAGGTCCAGAACAAGAGTGAACAATCTAACATCCCCTTCCCTGCCGAATCATCATAAATCGCCCTTCGGTACGAATGTCCGCTCTGGTTGGGGCTCGCTTGAGAAGATGGCGGCATACTTCACCGCTGCAGCTGGGATATTCACAGAACTTCGTCGCTTTCCGTACCAATCTCTTCAGGATATGCCCAAAACTCAACGCTTTTTTCCCAATCTGCGATCAACCTGTATTGGTAACCGCAATAAGGCCGTGATGTCCCGTATGATTAATCCGTATCATATCAGATTACCTGTACCGTGGGAATAATATGAAGAATACAATCTTATCGTAGAACGACAAGTTTGCTTTTCGAATATCAAGTAGTTGTCCCAAAAATGTATGTATTTCGCTTGTTTTGTGTGTGATACTCGCTTCATTCTAGTTGATTGTAATATCCTGATTCTAGTTACAGTAATGTCAAAATCGATCGAAACGGACATAATATACGCTTTTCAAACATAAATGCTTGATGTCCGGAAATCTGAATGTTGGCAAGGGCCACACTTAATGACTTGTGGGTCGGGCTGTGGCCCGCGTGCCATCTGTTGCACACTTCTGGTATAAACCAATCTTTATGCGCTATTTGATTACGTTGGAAGAGTAGATCAACTGCCAATAAAGAAATTACATATGTTTCTCAAACTGTATCGTAAGTATCCGATTGAGATTCGGGGATTGGTGCAGTTCAGGCTCTACTGTGTATTGTCGAGAACTTCACCTTCACGATACAACAAATAATGAGTAAGTATGCATAGCATTGGTAGTAGGTTTAATACTCAATCATCTCATTCCAGTTCAAATGAGATATATAGGCTACAACAATTATAGTCGGATTCTCACTGAATAATTAACGACATAAAAAAGTTTAATATATAGTGAAGAAAATAGTATTGCGAGATTTTCTACGGAGAGTTACAATGCGAAGAAGACTTGTGGATTATTTCTTCAATTTGGGTTGTTCAGGTGCAATATAGTTTCTCTCGTGAAAACTTCTATAGGCGATTCTCGATAAATTGCATGATTTGGTAGCGAAATAAAGAAAGTTTGATACTATAAAATTGATAGCGCTGTATGTCAACATTTAAATGTGAGTGAATTACATACAAACCAAGGTGGGCTAAAGCAGACTATTTTAACACTGTTTTATAACTACCATATTTTACGAGCAATGGGCAGACTATCAATAAATTGCTTACATTGGATCTTTATTCGCGCATAATGCACCACTGTTAATGGTTTTGAGTGTAGCAATAAAGCACCACCTGATCCATACTTTAGGCGCACGATCGATTTTTTTCAAACATGGCCAAGTTGTCGCCTGCACCTAACAGCTTGTCTTGCAACTTGCTAAAGCAATCTTACATTTTTGATGGTCACAAAACACTCGCGCTTTATGCAATAGTCAGATAACGCACGGGAAAAGGGAAAATTAGTTCCGAGGCGCGAAATGCTTATTTCCACCATTTGACACATTCAAAATATTACGAGTGCAATAAGGTAGTCTGAGAAAGCAGTGTTTCACCTAGTTATTGCAAAACGCTCTAACTCGCTGACCGCCGTTCCGAGGAGTTATTACGAAATCATAAATTCATTTTAATTTCCGTTTTTAGAATAACCAGCAATGCAAGATGTTCGTAATTCATAAATACAGCCTTATGTGGCCAAGTCAATTACACGAGCGAAGAGGTTCTGAAAAATAGAATATGATTGTGTTTTTTAGATTCAAGAAAACTGCTGGTTTTAATACATTGGTATCTTCATATTAATTGAACTGCGAATCTTATAGGCTACTGTGGTAAAGCAATACCACGTTTATTAGTTGTAGTCATCCAACAGCTTGTTCGCAAAGGCAATGTGTTGTGGTTGATGTACGACTGGCATCAGCAATGAAATCATCTCTTCCGTCTCATTTCTCAAGTATTGTTCAATAGGTGTTTGTAATGCAAGTTGGAAAATTATTAATTTCCACTGATTTCAGCAGCTAACGTTACACGGAGCACTTTATTTTGTAAGAATGTGTAATAAAGCAATTACACTTTTAATGTTGTTCGGGTCGAAAGTTCGGAGATATTATTTGCGATGAGTTATTTTCGTGTTAGCGCTATGCGAGGAACATCGGGCCAACGGGACGTGTCAAAGATCTAAAAACTGTATTTACGCATAAATTGTTGTAAAATTAGATGTTTTATTCAGAAATTACACAAATAAACACGCGCGCACATGTTTAAATGTTGGTATTATACCAGTCGTTATTGTTCGTGGAACAGAAATTCTATTGATTTTTCGTTTAATATTCTTCCGCGGCTCGAGTTTATGGTACGAATGAAATATTTGCGTAGCATATAAGGTCGATAAAAACAACTGTTTTGTAACCTCAGGATCTATATGGGTTTTTAGTAAAAACGTCTTTTAAATTCAAAATACCGGTACGCGTTTCACATCTGTGCTTAGGTTAAAGCTCGTACTTTCGGTCGTCGCTTCACATCCGCCGTCACACATGGAAAATGAATGTCGGTTGCCTTTTGTTTACGTCTGAGGCGGAAAACAGCTGACTTCGTTCAGTCGCATATCAGTTTTCTCTTTGTATTAATCGAACGAGTTTGCTCGACAAATAAAGTTTTTCAGCAAACTCGAACGACAATTAGGTTTCTTTTTTTTTATAAAAAGGGGGCGGAACGTGGGCTCGTGTAGGCTTTCGTTGTCTGCATGAGAGAAAATGTAAAGAAAAACGCGGTCGCTCGTCCTCGCTGAACAAAGAAACGTTCAGTCGTTTCACATGGCAACTTAGGCTACGTGACGTAGTCGGTTCGCTGGTTTGACCACGTTTGTTTTGAACGCGAGGAAGTTTGTTATGAACTGACATCGCTCCATGCTTTCGTGTATCGCAGCGGTGTTAGAACTCCGACAGGTATTGTGGTCGTTTTGTAATAACCCAGATTGTATGTAAACAACTGGAAAGTTATCTTGTATTCAGTTTATGAGCAGAAAAGTAGACCTATATCAGTATATATATACCAGTATAAAATGTTATTGCGATGAATTTGCAATCGCGAATTTTTCCACGTTTTTTGTCGATTTTTCACAAAATGCTTTAATTATTTCCTTTATATGCTAATATTTCCATACGATAATAATTTAATTTTGACCGAAGCGATTTGAGATTACGAGTGGAATTCTCATTCCCGATTTGAAATAATAATATGACGGGATTTCCAAAGTAATGAAAGATTTTATTACTAGACGATAAACATCTGTATAATTTGGTGTAACTGCTTTTGTGTCATCATCAGTACGTAGAATTCAGCTGCCGACAACAGGCTGTTTACCAAGTTTACTGTTTTGCATCGTGTTAACCAGTGTTACAAATATTTGCTTACCTTTTAGTCAGTTAGTAGAGTGACGTTAAGGTAAAAACGGGAAGATAAATTTTATGATAACATGATGATTTAAAAAATTTATTGGTTGTGAATTCAAAGTTTTATAGTTTTTTTGTTTGAATGCAGCCAGTTTATTATTGTTCTTGTTCATAATTCTGAGTTGATGCATAGCAGTATAGGCTAGAGATACTGAAATCTAGGATTGTTACAGATGCTTTAGCCATGTAGGATCATAACTGCATAAAGTAATCCAGTATAAAATTCAATATAGACTATCAGACTATTGATTACCAACATATTGATCATTTATTTTTTTTAGATTTGTCTAAAATAACCTAGTACATTGGCATAATAACAACTTGCATTCAAAAGCAATAATATATGTTTCATAAAAGTCCACATATTCAACTTTTGAGAAAAAAATCAATTTATTATAGTTGAAAGATATTTATTGAATTTGTGTTCGAAATCAACATTCCATTATGGTGAAGACATTTCAAGCGTATTTGGGGCCAGAATGCCAACGAACCTACAGTTGTGTGCATTGCAGAGCTCATCTAGCTAAGCATGATGACCTTATTTCTAAGGTAGCTTGATTACAGAAAATTTTTCATTCAAACAAATATTGCTATTCTCTGTATAAGATTCTTTAGTATTTCTAATTGTCTTTGAGTGATGTTGCTTGAAATAGCAATTAATTAGCCAAATCTTACCATACTATATTGATGTTTCATATCTCAAATAATCCTTATTTTATTATGAGTTGTTACATTGAAAATATTACCCAGCATGAGACATTGAAAATTATTGGTATGTTCTGTCAAGTGCAGCTTCAAGTTGAATTGATTTTCTTCGTATTATGCTATATCTATGATTGAATATGACGAATACGCTACTAAATTCTTTGTAAAGCACGTCAAGTATTATCAATTATTGATCTATTTTGATTGCGTACGTGATGCCGATGTGAAACCAGTCCGAGGAATTACAACATTTATGCATTGAGCATGAGAAATTTAGTACAAAATTTGTTCTATTTGAAAATGAAAGCTTTATTCGGGAACTCAGACAATGAAAATCACTGTTCCAATGTAAAGTAACAAACTCATCTTTTATGTCAATTTTTCTGCATAAAATAAAGTTTACGAGGATTCACTGTGACCTCGCAAGTGTAATCCCCTAAGAATTGTTTGCTCACGCATACTCATGTAAAAATGTGAATTCTCCTTACAGTACTTTTATGAAAAGCAATTTATTGTTTAATTAAAGTTAGAAATGCCATTCTATCGCCTTGATTTAACTTGTATTTTAATAAATAAATTGAATACAAAGCATTTGATGAAATAATTTTTATAAATGGTAGTTTTAAATTACTATAATGTGTTGCAATTTATAAATATATGTGAATTTCAATGGTTAAAGATTGACAAATATAAAAAATAGAGTTTATTATTGTGTCTATTTACTCTCAATATGTTGAAAAAGTCAATATTTTCATTGTTATGCGACAGTACACAGGTACCCTCATGACACCAACTGACCTATCACAATCTATTCTATGTTATATCTGCGTCATTGCGTACATAGAGTTTTAAAATACGAAAGGGTGCCGTATATTAATTGGAAAAAGAATATTTTATTGATTTCATCAAACAACTATTCCTTTCCCTAAGCCATGCCTTTCCCTAAGCCATAACCTTGAAATTTAAATAGCTAAATTTAAATAGGCCAAGTCTACAAGTAATACTTACAATGCACACAGTATTGTAGTTTCACATCTTTGTGATATATTTCACCCTTGTGAATTTTTCTTATTTACTTTTGCAGTCATTCCAAGGCAGTCAAGGAAGAGCATATTTGTTCAATTCTGTGTGAGTAATTCTTAGCCTTTTTTCCACATATACATACATGAATTGTATTTAGTATGGCATCAAAATATTCTTTTTTTTTTGCAAAGATATCAAAAATTTTATCCACACAGATGATTTTTATCTGAAATGATTGGATATTTTGTAAAACTTGTAAAATTGTTTACACTTATTTATGGGCATTATAGTCTTCTACTTACATCATTCTTTTTGAAACCTTGACTTGAGTTGGTTCTTGGTTGTGTATTTATCAAAATTTATTGACAGTCTAAATTGCTTTAGTCAAATTTTTATTTTGATGTTATTATCATGTAATATTACATAATAAATATGGTAATATATGAATCATAAAGGTAAATTATCAAAAATATTCATCATTTTGTAACTCATCATTATAAATCCATACACAAATGATCCAAAAGCTATCATTCATATTAAAATATTCAGCAAGAACCATTTTTTGCAAAACGAGGAAATTACCTGTCACATTGCCGCAATGATGCATAATCAGCAACATTTAAATGGCCCTTTGTGATTATGCCCAAACATATATAACCGGATATTCATGTGCTATTACATATCATATTACCAGACTCTGGTGTGCAGTAAGTCTGCTAGTATGCTTACAGTTCAACCATATTGAATATCATGCATTTGGTTTCAAAATGGAATTATTGAGATATATATAAGTTGAAAATATTATCAGCAAATTGTGCAATATTACATTAACAATTTAAATTGTCATCCGTATGTATGTATATGACCTATACATACATGCAGACAAGGCATTACGTATAGTAAGTGTTGGCACTGTTTCTGGCTTCCAATATATAACTGTTGCCAATTGAATGCTAGCACTCAATTCAAGCCCAGTATATATGTATAAGGTTAAGCCCTAATTTGTGTATGAGATCTTATTTGATATTCCAATTTACAATCTGTACATTTATTGATATATGTTGGATAATGGATTTTGTTTAATGTCTTCATCAATCTTTATTAGGAATATAAAAAAATTTCTCTCCATGGCTTGGAATTTGCCTCAGACCCAATGAAATTTATATGTTTGTATAAGAATGTTTGCACAGGAATACATTGGTTTCACTGTGCTTTGTTGATGACAGTTATTACTGTGAAAGCACATATTTCACTGAAATTGAGGTTTTCAGTCATAAATGTGTAAATCACATTTCAGATCCAGTATTTCATATTTTGCATTATATTAAAATAACGTTTTATTGAATTGTCGGTGCTCCAGAAGTATGTGTACCAATATGGAGGTAACTAAATTTGTTCGCCTACTTTACATAAAGTTGTGTGAAAGGACTGGAACATATGGGCAGGGGGATATTCATTTGGTTAACACAGACAGTCCCAGAACTCGTAATAGAACTAAAATAAGGAAAATTATGGTCTAACTAGGGCCTGGTACACATACTACTGGAGTAATGAATTTTCTGCTTTGTTAATATCTTCCTTTGAGACACTGAATACTAAAACACCGATTTCCTCCTATTGTTTTTTACAGAGTAAACATCGGCTGCGGACCAGCTGAGGAAAGGGTGCTATTGACCGGTTTACATGCGGTGTCGGATATCTTCTGTGAATGCTGTAATACAACACTAGGGTGGAAATATGTAAGTGGTATATTGTCTTCAGTTTAAAGAAATCTGGCTCCATAATGAAGCCTCGAAGTCTGAGAATATTGCATTGTTTTGTTTTAAATACAACAGTGCTGCAATTTAGATCGTGTCATATCATGTTACAAAACATAATAATTGAGTTCATATACTGTAAAGGAGAAATTTTTTCTTCATAATATATAGGTTTTGAAATATTTTTACGGGTTATGGTAAAATTCTTCTGTAATTTTATAAAGAGTATATTTGCACACACCTTACCACATTCGCAATGGTTGGGTAATTTTCAATTCAGTTATGGTTGATTTTGTAAGAATAAATGGCCTTTTTGTGATATCATAAATGCTCTTCTCAAAACCTGTTCAGTTGGAATTGTAAAGTATAATTGTTTGATAATTAATCTTTTTACCTGAATTACGGCAGGTGTTCAATAATGCCTCGCTTATCCCACCAACACCTAGTTAAATAGTTCATATTATACAATGCCCAATAAAAGAATGTAATTATCATAATGTTTGTGGCGTATAGCCCAGCGCAGAAATTTTCTTTCTTTCTTTAAAATGTTTTAGCAACAGTTGCCAATATTTACATAATCATACCAATTGACTTCAATGGAATCAGCTTATTCAGCTTAGCCTGCTGTTAAATATCAATACTCAGCTGTTACAATATAATTCTATTAATATCTTAGGGAAAAAGTGAATGCAGTTTGAGCCTCCAGGCAAAGTATATTCAATTTTAACATGTATTGGTAACATGGCTTTGGTAATGACTCATTCTGTTAGTTGATAAAACAAGGCAGATAAAAATCACAGCTGTTTCAATCGCCGGTATTTGAGTCATATAAAATCATTGATCTGATTTCACAAACTTTGTGATGTTAATGTTACGAATGCATTATAAAAATTGTGTTAGATGTAAATATGAGGCATCTAATCTCTATATTTCCAATCAACTTTAAATTTTTACACCGATCGACATTTAATCCAATAAAAAATTGCATAGAAATTACTAATTTAGAATAGAATAGAATTAGAATTACATTCACATTTTGGACCAAACAAAAAATGAAAATTCATTCAAATATACAGTACGATCGCGTCATATCATGTTGCAAAACATAATAATTGAGTTCATTTACTCAATTAGGAATTTAGGACTAAACAAAAAGTGAAAATTCATTCAAATATACAGTACAGTACTCTGTGATACTAGGTGCCATACACTGCCATGACATGTTGTTGAAATCATCTATCTAAGCAAACTATGTTATTTTTAAATTTTACGGAAATAGACTATGAAAATAAGACCTTTATTTTGTTATTTAATCATGGGTAAGGCCGTCTATGAGTGGATTGTATCTTTTGTGAGTGGTCCTATTATATATGGATTCAAGGAGCATGACTTAACGAATATGACTTTCATTGTGGATATAAATCCTATGAAGTGTCACTTTAGTGTGGTGGGTCGACTTTACCGGTGTGATTTTGATACTGGCACGTTCATTTCATTGAACACTTAAGTCCTACGTCCTGGTATTGCTTGCTCAACTTACATACATAATAAGTCCTCTTGAATATGCCAGAATCACTAATCATAATGTGAATTGCACTATGCAACCTGTTAGTGAATGTTACCATGATTGGCTGGTTATTGTTTGAAAAATCATATATTGTTTCCCATATCTTTAAACATGCTATCATTAAAAAGTATATGATAATAAAAGTTCACCTAACTAGAACTTGAATTTCCTGCTTTTAAAATGAACTAAGTTTATAAGTTTATAAGCAGCTTTCTTAATTCCGGTTTTGTTTTGAATGTTTTTTATGTATCAAACTGTCATGTTCTTTGAAAAATACTAACAGTCTACCTCAATCCTTTTATATAAGAAGAAAACATTTTGGACGAGCCATTTATTAATGTCTGTCTAGCCATACTTCTATGAAATCTGTGTATCGTTTTGTGTTTTACACATTCAATTAAATACATCATTCATAAAACTTATTGCATCACGTTATGTAGAAAATCATGATCAACTTGGAATAATTGACATTTCCTTGCCCTTGTTGTTTAGAAGGACTATTGATTTTCCTCGAATTGATCTTCGCTATTCAAAGTTTAGCCATGATATTGGATTTGCTGCTGTTCAAGTGGGCTTGGTACAATTTCTTATCAAATTCTACTCAAACCAATGTTTGGGGTTCTCATTTATTGTGTTTCAGAATGACGTTTTGTAAATCAAAAACTTGTTGTAGAAAATTCTATTCTTTTTTTATTAGGATTCCCAATTAAAGAAAGATCATTTCTATGAATGTTATTATCAATTTAGGCTTTCTGAGAAACGACCATTATTATTGCCGTTTGTCATTCTCATTATTAGAAATTGTGTAGTTCACTTATGTATATTGTTTGCACTGCTGTGATATGGCAAACATTTCAATGCATCGGTCGCAAACAGCTGTGCAGTCATACTTCTCCATGCAATGACGCCATATACTGCACAGTGCAAATATGTGGCTAGTAGGAATTTTATGAATGATACATACAATTTCTCATTTCCTTAGCTTGACATGTCATAAATCATCCATCGGAAATGAGTTAAAAACACCAACATTGAGAAAAGTGTGTTCCCCATGTGAATGTGAAATACCTATGTTGCTTATCGAACAACTCAAAAAATTGATATTAACATTGAAATGCTGTTGCCACAGAATCAGTACTTTCTCAACACATATCGGAGTCTTTAGGGAATTAAATATATGAAATCAACATTACAGCAAGGACAATGTATTATTAGATTCAATGGTTGTTGATACCATTGTTTGATATGACATCACAATCAAGTTATGCCACTAGTCTTCAAAATATGATAAAAAATTTAGGAATTTTTTCGGATATGTGTTTTATGTGGATATGGTAATTATAGAACGGATTATTCTTTATTTAAAGTTTTTTCCTTGAGTCCATTTGTAAGTCTGCGTCAAATGAGTGATGGTGCTTTGCAATTTTGTTAATCCCAAGTTGGCGAGTTTGCAATGAATCAAACTCAAAACAGACACAACTACAAATACATATTATTGAAAGTATCTTAACTTCTATTACGCATCGTGACAGGATACAATTGAAAATAGATTCCCATTGACCGCAATTTTTTCACCAATACAAAATGTCTTTGTCATCATATCTTTCTCATTTGGTTGTTGTCTTCAGGGCATATTATGTGGTTATGTGTTTTTTAGTGAACTGACATTTGTTTAAATATCATCTGATAGATTTTATGGTTTCTAATATTTTCAATAATTATGGCGGAAGTATAATATACAAGGAAATGTTAAATATATCATTAAAATATCTATATATATATTGCTAAACATGAATTTAATAGCTGAATAGTTGTCTTATATGGCTGTAGTTGTGGTTCCTATATATTCAATATTACATTATATATATATTCCGATCCTAATGCAGATTAGAGTTTATTATTTTTTCATGACTCTGATTGTAGAGTTTGTACCACTTTTGAAGCTAACTCCTGTTACTCCAATTTAGTTTATGTTAAAATTGTATTGTAATTTTTAATTTTTTGTAAATAATATTCAATTAATAACTGAATCACAACTGAGGGCCCCAGCCTTGGTATAAATATATTTTACCATTCCATTGATCAGATTCAATTCAATTTATCAAGGGAAATGGATACCTTCATTTGATGCATGAATTCTGGCCAAATGGTTTGAATTTGTATCTAGCGGGTAATAAATTGAGTTGACCTAAAACATTGGATGATGTAGCTTTGTAGCACGCTTCTTGCATAGCAGTGACTTCATGCCAACAGCAAAGGCATAAAGTACCTGATGAAAGCAGGAACAATTATAATAGAGTGATCGGCATTCGAAAATGGAAGCTTTTCATTTTTGTGCCATTCATGTTGAACATAATCTAATGGACATTCATGTTTTGTAAGAAATTTCCAAGTGACTTGCATGGTCGGACATCACTGTTTATTTATATCTGTACATAGCGCTACTGCATTGGTCCTAAGATGATATTCTTATTCAATTGGGCTGAAATGCAGAAGTATCGTTGATAGTATTGGACCATGCTATACATATCTACTTGAATGAAACTGCAACTTAGCAATCGTGGCATGATGACTTCTTCAACTCTGTGTTTTCCATTTTGTTGGAAGTGACCTCACAGAATTGGTCCTAAGACAGCACTGTTTATTTATATCTGTACATAGCGCTACTGCATTGGTCCTAAGATGATATTCCTATTCAATTGGGCTGAAATGCAGAAGTATCGTTGATAGTATTGCACCATGCTATACATATCTACTTGAATGAAACTGCAACTTAGCAATCGTGGCATGATGACTTCTTCAACTCTGTGTTTTCCATTTTGTTGGAAGTGACCTCACAGTTCATTGAATGACTTTTTACATCTGTTTCACACATATGTTTCCATCTGTCTCCTCTGTTATGTCCATGTTTTTGTGACTAATTGTATGATATATTTCCTTTATCAGAGGGAATTTTCTGGGAATTATGATTAAGTATAATATGAACCAGAATCCTTATTACTCGCTGCCTGTATTTAGGTTAAATTTAAATTACAATAAAACTTACACAACACAGATATTCCTTTCTGGGCTTGATATGACATATCCATTGATTTATGATGTATTTTATGTGATACCTCTACAAGAACTCTAACACGTTCCTGTTGTGTGGGCAGTTCAATAATGCTAATGAAGTGTCTGTTCTTCATTATTCTATATTTATACATTTCAATAATATGCATCAATTTTTTATCAATTATAAAGGGGATGTGGGTTTATAAATAACTTTCTATATTCCTAAACATTTAATCAATAATTCTTTATTCTGTTTTTGGACATTATTGATTGAAATGTACCACTATTAATTACAATTGTTTTCGACATCATCTTGATAAAGTAAAGTGAGTGATATACTGTGATAAAAACAGGTTTCCCCTGTTCGTCTCTTTTCTTATCAGGGGGAATCTGTTACGAATTGAAATGATTCTTTGTGTGGAATAATGACACGCACAGTCTATTTTTTCAGCGGCGTTGTATGTGCCATAGCACGAAGTCGCAATCTATGCTTTACCCCACACTTGACTTAGTATAAGAGTGTGACGATTTCAAATATTACCAAGAAATTCCAGTAAATATGATGCAATTTCAAACAGCGATGTGAGAAAGGAAGTTGAGTGGTTGTTGACTCAAGTGAAACCGTCGCCGACAAGCTTATAACTAGAAACCGTGACTGTTGGTAGACCACGTTTTTTGAAGACTTAAAACCCGCCAATTTGACTACTAATTACGCCGTTGCACTTTATGAAATTAAAATTTCGGTGCCATATACAGGCGTACATAATCGGCAATATGCCGTTTTTGGTATAATTCGAAAAAAATGTCATTTAAGGCTACCGGATATTAAAATCGCTTATTTATTGATTGAATAAATGAACGATATCGGTAATTTGTCAAGTGGTTCTCAACGGAAATTGCGGTCTCTGAAAAATTTAAATTTTGTGTAATATTGGGACCACTTTGTATCGAATTTTCCCCCTTTTAAGGGAGTGTTACAATTGTATGATAAAGCCTATCCGATGTATATTTCTGCCAATTCGTCTTTTCATGTTTGTAACCGTTTTAAGAGCAATGAAACAACGTCATATTGTTGTCCGCTTCTCAATGGTATTGCGTTATTTTGTTCACTCGTGGAGATCGTAATTGCTTTGAATAGTTGTGTTTACACTTACAATCGTTATTACCAGTCAGCTGATATGCTCCAGCAGATGACAAAAACTTTCTTTGGCAAAGAATAGAAAACTTGCGTCAGATTTTTGCCGACATGAATTTGTCAAAATAGCGGGCGAGAAAAGCAGACGCCGTAAATTGCTCAGCCAGGAAATTGATGTCAAACAAGTCACGGCCTATTCCGCGATGTATTGTTGGTTGCCCACAACAAAAAGCATTCGTCATATATCTTTAAATTGCTTTTTAATAACTAACTATACTTAACAAACATTATACAATATGTAAATTTCCTTTACTTGCTTTTTATCCATTCCCCATACATGCCAAAGTAATAATGAAGTCAATAATACTTTACCTATAAATACTATTTGTAGTCAATGATAAGTAATTTTTGTTTCTGGAGACCACACTGGTTTATAATGGCCTCGAATATACCAATTAGATGGTATATTTGTTATGATTAAATCCACAATGTTTTATCGAAATGCGAAATAAGTTTTAATGAGGTTAATTTTTCAATTTTTTCGATTGAACATCTAAGTTTTGAAGGTTGGGTATCACACAGTTGATGACATTCCATATTTGTAAAAGCACGAAACATCAAAATCATGTTTTTTTTGCCACAGGAACACGCATTTGAAACAAGCCAAAAGTACAAGGAAGGGAAGTACATCATTGAGTTGATACATATGATCAAAGATAATGGATGGAGTTAGACTTTGGGAAAGTAAAAGTTTTGCTTCACTTTAAATTGACAATGTGTAACATAAAGTAGGGTATTTTTGGTAGTTTTCAGTGGAATTTGTTGAACTCAAGACCTCCATTTTGAAAACATTAATCTATAACGTCCTAGGATGCACATTTCACATCTGATTATCTCCAGTTGTGATGAACTCCAGTTCAACTTGTCGTAATCCGGATTAGCATGATTGTAGCCAGAGTTGTCATGGATTATCTTGAGGATATTTTGTGCTATGGATGGAGTGTCCACATCTCGCTGCTATTGATTATTTGATGTCGCATACTGAATTGGCCTAAAACTGTTGTTAATAAAAGCAGTGAATTCGGTTGAATATGTACATGAAAAATAGTGTCCGATCAAAGACGATAAATCTGTACATTGAACATTTTCGTGCTTGATCTATTAATAGGTGTGGTCGGGTCTGAGGATAAAGCCTAAAATATAGGTCCTGCTTTGTGATTTTTTTTTCTTATTCCGATTTTCTGTGAACTGTTTTTTTTTTTTTTCATTTTTTAATTTTCTGTTGTGCATTTTTCTCTGTTACTGTGAAGATACCAGCATTTCTCTGTCCTTTCTATCTTTCCTTTTTTCGCAACAATTGTAAAACTGTACTTGGTCCATATATAGTAGCTTCATTATATCTGAGTGGTTTATGAGACACATATTTTCCCCCAGGCAGATAATCAATGAAATATATCAAACTTTGTTTGGTATATCATATATATATATATATATTGTCTGTAATCCAACTTGTCAAGATTATAATTGAGACCACACATCCAATTTCATGCTCATTTGCCAATAAAATTTCAAAATTACTTGGCAACTCGTATATATACTAATTTGAACTAAAAAATGACATGGGAAATTAGTTTTCTCGTGTCCAGCAGGATTTTGCATTAATTAGGAGCAATTATTTTCGAATTATAAATTTTCTGGATAATACATTGTTAGATATATGGATCATCCTCTTTAATTAACTACCATGTTCTCATTAGCACTTTAATTCACCCCTGCCTAGACATATTCCTACCAATATTTTGTTGAAAAATATTCCATTTGTTTGGTGAATTTTTACAGTTCTGTTCAATTACAGACATGTAATTGAAGATCTGCTCGTGTAAAAACAGGACTAATTTGACCTATTTCATGATAATTGAAGATGCGCTTCTACCTTACCATATTTTAATAATAATAACCCTCTTGCTATTTTTTTTATTTCATTTTTTCCAGTATTCAACCCTTGGGGCATATTCATTGTACTTATAGTCAGTTCAGCGAAAACACTTTTTTGCTGAAATATGTATTTATTTCCAATTTACCTTACCCTGCATTGTTGATTGTTTTGTTGTTATTTTTCTCTCGATTTCTCTACTTAGTTATTTTGCACTGTAGCATTCCCCAAGGCAACCTTGGAGGCCCTTTTCTGTTTTTTCTCTTCTCTTTCTTGCTTGTGGGAATTTTTTGGTATTATTACTAATAGTAGTATTTGTCAATTTATACACATTTAAATATGAAACATTAATGAAATGTGTTGCAAAGGTGCAGTTTTTATATGTCCCATGCTTCCAATAAACAACCAATTGATTTAGCTTAGTTTCCGGGTCATATATTAATACCAAACATATTTTAATAATTTATGTGGATAGGAGTACAACACCACAGAGTCGTAATCAATCCCATCATTATATTATGGATATATGTATTCACCTTAATTCAGTTTACATGGAAAATTGTTACTGTTATATGTATGCATGATTTTGTATGAGCTATACGTGGAAAGGGTCGAATCAAAATATTACTCTTTCACAATTTGTATATTGAATTATAAAGAATTTAATTTATGATTCAGGTACAGTCACGCAAAATCAGCATATATTGAATTAGGAAACAATGTTACCTTTTCGAGTGAATACTGAAGAAACCTTTGCATTTTATCCATACCCACCAGATATTTTATTTATTGCTTTCAAACAAAGCAAGAAAATTTTTCCAAAAATGTAATTTTTTGAGCTTTTCGCCCATTCTCTCTTTCACACAATTTATTGTCCTTTATGTGTGGTATTTCCTTATTTGTATGTTCCTTCCATTTTTCACCAGGGTCGAACTTCTTTGAATTATCTATTATCAAGCACGAAAATTTTTCTCATGGTTGGTCGTAGATAAATCGAGTGTAAAGTTTGACAAGGAGCTCTTCTAGCTGGTCTATTGCTCTTTATTATTATTATTATTATCTGTAGTCATACAAGCTGTAATCATGAATTTCTGTTTTTTTTTCTTTGTCTAGTAGAAAAGACGTAGCCGAACGGCGGTTCGGGTGACATAGCAACGCGACGAACGGTTTTTAAAACAAACGGTCTGCTGGCTAGGCCCTTTTCTTATTCAACTGCGCTGTAACGATAAAAATCGATATATACAGAAATAAAGTACGATAAGCTAGCGTAAAGGCCAGCTTATTATGTGATAGACTGCGAATTTCGCTTCTTTCAATTATAATTAACGATAAAACGGTACGCATTTTTGTGTGGCGGTTAAATTATATTCATATACCTTGATGATATAATGAACCGAAATTCTCGTTTAATTGCAAACACTTTGAGTGTCGATTGTGACCAGGGATTTTCTGGTTTACAAAATTCGGGGTTTTTGATGGTTTTATTTTGGTCAAAATCCCAGACAACACTCTTTGCTTTCTCATTTTAAATCACGAACATTTTTATAACGTCATTATGTGACAAAAAAAAATCGAAACTGTCCAAGTTTGCGAATAGCACCCGATTTAATTCATATTACTGGCGTGGTGGAAAATTATCTGCGCTAGCAACTTGAACTTAATGGCAAAATGATGTCTCGCTCGAAGTGTTTTGGCTGTTTGCCATGAGCTTTCCAAAGTTGATTTCCTCCACGTTCACGTCAAAATTCTATGGTGTGTTGCTATGTAGATAAATTACATGGCTGGGTATTCATGACGTTTGAAGCCTTTATTAATGTGTTTTTGGAAATTTATCAAAAGATGACGAGGTCGGGTTTCGCTATATAGCTAACCAGTTTAACCAAGCCAAATAATATATTAAAGCTTTATAATAGAACATTTAAACCCAACAATTGAAAAATATTCGCAAGATTTCACAATGGCTCGTTTCTAGTTCTATGACGAAGACCAGTGAACAGCGAGGGCAACATAATACTCTTGTCAACAAACAGCCTTAAACCAAAATACAGGCTGGAATTTTCGATTCTTGTGTTTAGTTTCGATACTTCGTGTAACTGATTTACTAGCTTTACCTGCGGCTCGTTGTAAATTTCGAAAACCAGAACACGTCTGAGCATGTTTAACTCCGATGCGCCGTTCACACACCAAAGTCGTCCCTATACCCTTGGTTATGTATGACGAATCCTTCTTTTCATATTTTCTGTGTGCAGCCTATTTCTGAATAAATAATATCCACGCATTTTGTGTATTCCTACTTGAAAAGTAAGGATTTTGAGAGTAGGAATAATGAGTCGAGGGAAGTCACAATCATTAGTTATAGGATAAACAGAATTTGAATGCTTGTGTTGGTCTGTTGGGGCTGGACATTTGAATAGTGAATTATTCGAATCAGCTGAGACGAAAATTTTGAATCACCGCCATCTTGTTTTTTTTTGTACGCCAACGGTCGAAGTGAATTTTTTGGTGACTGTACATTTGAACCCATGTAAATATCCGCGGGCTCAATCTATATGCGGGTGCTAAAACCCATGGGTTAGGGTTGGTATGGGTTCAAATATCCGTAAAACAAAAAAATCCATAGGTGCAATTGTCGTGGGTTCAAATGTAATGGCACCGAATTTTTTTATTGTAGCCATTGCTTTACATATGACTCTTTCTTCCCATTGTGTTATTGATGAATGTGTCGTATGAATTGTTTCTTAATGTGACGTATTCCGAGTTTTAAGTAATTTATGTGTCTGGAGGACCATTACAATAAAAAAATAGCATACAATTACACATCTTCCAGGTATTCGATACTGAAACTACCAGGTATTCGAAAATGACCAGCCCTAGTTCAAACTGAATGTTGAACAGATTATCACCTCTGAATATGTCGTGTTTCATGTTCTTTAATGTCGATCAAATAAAAATTAGTGAAAAACTTATTCTAAGTTCGAATAAAGTTTTACCGAATTTTCACGCAGTAGTTTAGTTTTCACACCTGTGCCTACGCTACAGCACAAATATAAGTTTATTAATTTTAAGAGAAATTATTTTGTGAATAATATACTTCAACGTAGGTTTTACGTCACGTCCACTGTTCATATTCGAATATTCACAAGTATATATACAGGCAGGTCCCATTACATTTGAACCCACGTACATTTGAACCCATGACAATTGCACCTGTATGCTATTGCACCTATGGATTTTTTTTTGTTTCACGGATAGTTAAACCCATACTAGCCCTAACCCATGGGTTTTAGCACCCGCATATAGATTGAACCCGTGGATATACGCATGGGTTCAAATGTACATGGGTTCAAATGTACGGTCACCATACAGGCAGGATATTATATATTCCTATAATAATATAGATAATTGCGATCGAATATTATAATGTGCCTTTTCAATTCATGATTAAGTGATGTAATCCGGTCAGTTTCGAAATGTAATCTTTTAATCAAGATTTAAAAGCGTTCTAAGTATATACTAAGGGCTGTCGTATCATATTACTTTCGATGCCAGCTTACACCAGGCAAAGGCAGGTATCTTATCATCAGAAAATAAAATCACGATGACGCCGTGAATCGCGAGGGGTCAAATTCAGTTCGTTGAGCGTCGGGGTCAGAATCGCGGTTCCGCGAAGGTGTAATCGCAGGCCGAAAATGTCTGAGAAACAAAGCTTGTTGAACGGACATTTGCGTTTTCGATCGATGCGCGTTGTACTCGCGAAATAAGCCTCTGCTTCGCGCGAATACCGATGGCGACGAGTACAAGGGAGCTTCCGATTTTAGGGAAATAGAAACTTCTATTAAAATTCCATTCTGAGAAGGACAGCGAGTAATATACATCTGTTTTCTGTACAATTGATTCTCAAGCCAGGGGGACAGAATGAAGATGTCAGAGAGGTACTCTCATGCTCGGCAAATTTGAACTTCTTTTATTTTGGAGAGGTGTACAGACCTTTAGGACAATAAAAAGAACAGGTCCATATTACTTGAAACGTTTCTCAGGATTAGCAGTGTGCACGGTGTATGACTGCCCTGAAATCCAATCCGCTCTCTCTTTTGCAGCTCAATATTCCTCTACGTAGGGGTCATTCAAACAGCGATTGAGACGTGAGTCCTCCTCTAATGTATCAGTCTATTTCGACGTTAAAACCCTCTAATATATGTTTTGGTGAACGAGGGTTAAATAGTATCAAGGTATTCGTTAAGTTTACTTTGGTCTCTCATTTTGTGCGTTATTTTCGGGCGTGAATTTTATCAGTCCTTCAAAGATCTTAGAGAACTGGTTGGCAAAACTTCATGAGCTGTCGTTTTAGTTGTAATTTGTCGTTGTATATGCCAAACGCGACACGATTTCTTTCAACTAGAATGCCATAAAAATTTGTGAAAAAATGTTATTATATACAGTAGAATTTTCATCAGAATATTTTTATATATACTGCCTCAGACTTATTTTGATATTACAAAAATTAAAAAGGAACTGTACCCCGAACACTTATTTTGTATGGCAAAATATGGCAAGTGAAATATCGAGCCCAAAATAAAATCATCGATTAGACAACAACTCAAAGACATTTAATATCAGCAGATAAGAAACTTGAACCCTGAGGCCTAATTGCTTGAAACTCAAGGTCGCGAGGTTAAACGGTGTTATCAGTTGAACCCAAAACATTTTAAGACTTCCTCTCGGGTATTTCTATTAACGAAAAGATTTTCCCAAGACAACCTTTCCGGTATATGTCACTGTCGTCTGTCATGTAAAGGACATCAGTTTTGCCAGAAAAAAAACACGATTTTATAAAGTTGAACATTTCGGATATTTTGTTTATGCGCAATTTTTAACATTAGCTTTATTTATATTCCCCATTGTAAATAAAGGTTTGGTGCTCTCCTTACCTTTCAGCCGCACCGGAAATTTCTTCATGAGTTGTCGTCGATACGTATCGGCTTTTCTGGTTGGTTGCAACCAAGGTCAAAATTAAGACTTTAAAGAGATTGTTTTACGTCATTTGAAGATATTAAAGCGCTTTGATAGATATCGTAAAAATGAACTCACTGACTATAAAAGCTAAGAGAAATTCAAATTGTTCTACTTTGAATCGCAATGTGGTGATAGGTCGAATTTCGGTCGTTTATTTCCGAAGAAATGTAACACTATAATTCACATGGATAGGTCTGATGACCCCTACCGTGTGTCAAACCCTCGTGTCAATTATATGACGCACACTGTAGAAAGTTCCTTATTTAGATCGGCCACGCCTGTTGAAAGATTATTGTTTAGAGTTCAAAAAGCCTTATTATATAAATTTTGTGTGGACGAAAGAGAACATGGGGAGGTGTCGCTTCCGAATTCGGTGAGAAATGACTTGCAATCCCCGTTCCCACTTTACCCCAGAATTACAACATCCTATTATCCACGGACAGTGTACGTTTAACTCGTACACGCCCTCGTTTGAACCCACAAATATTCTCCCCCTGCTATATCTATCTCTTAGTCCTAACAATAGTATTACGGTTCAAGAGAAACGTTGGTTATGTATGGCCATTCGCAGATTTGATTGCCTAATAAAAAATGAAAATCTGCTTTGTTGAATTTGGTTGCTTTTACTAGAATTAACCCAGCTCATTTTAAGAGTGTTTAATTGTTCATAACAGATCGTAGATAGATTGATATACCAGCTAAAATAAGGAACTTGAAAATACTCACGCGAAGAAATAACTAGTTGAAGAGTGCGGACATCCGAAGATTTGCTAGCCAGCTTGTCAAAATAATGCCATTGACCGATTTTTTCATAAAAAAAAGGGTTAATTTTGTGCAGAATTGGATTCATCTTTTTGGTCCGGCCCTTCACAATATTTTCTGTTTTTCATGTGGCCCTGCTTAAAATTAATCTCCCACCCTGCTTTAATTAGTTCAATTTATGTTGCGTGTCGCATGCATAACGAAATTTGTTACTGTGTATTTTTACTATTTGGTTCTGAATTAAGAACATATTAGACATGAGTAAAATGTTCTGGAATCTAATACCGTGGTCCCTCGAAAATAAGACCTAGCCTGAATTTTGAAAACAATTTTAATATAAGCCATTCCTCATAAAATAAAACCTAGTCGATAGCAAGAAGTTAATGGACATCCGTTTTCCTGTTTTGTATAAATGAAATATCGTAATTCCCTACTTTGTAATTTCGTTTTTCATAAATGAAAATAAAAGACATCCACCAAAAAAGCCCTACTTCAAATAAAGAAAAATTGGAAATAAGACACTGTCTTATTTTTGGAGAAACGCGATTTTTTGTACAATATATGTTTCAAAATTCACATGTATACCATTTACAAGTTTCTCATATACGAGAATTAATTAATTTATTTGTAGGGCTATGACAGCAAACTATTATGAGAGGATAGTTTCCGTATGTTTGTGTGACAGGTTGTCAAATTTCAACACGGTGAAAATATATCGAATGGGAAAGTTTCTTGGCGTCTTCAAGTGTCACAAAATTTACTACTAAATCTAAATTTAGCCATTTATTCCTGGATTTAATTTTTCATACAAACTCGTGAACGTCCGTTCCGGTCACGGCTCCTTCAACCTATTGTTACAATGTTGCGTCATCATGAGATGACATCATGAACAATAATATTCTGAAAATAACCATTGGCACCGTTATGTGAAATTTCCATGTTGGCACAGCATAAGTGTCTGTGACTAAGATTTCGTGATAACACATATTCAATATAATATTAAAACTGAATTAGCTCGGGCCGTGACTTTTTAATATTATATAAAGAGATTAAAATCAAGTGCAGTACAGGTCCCATGACCTTAAATTTTGCTCATTATTTCAGGAATGATTTGAAACTGAAATACCAGGGCCGTGGCGGGTGTTGCTAATATTATAGAAATATTCAAATTAAAGTGAAATATGTGTCCAATGACCTCAAATTTTTCTCATTATTTCAGGAAAGATTTGCTATTCGCTTTTGAATGTAATCATAAACAATGACTAGGCAGATATTTTCGCACGTCATTCGTCGGTAAACGCAAAGCTATTTTTTGTTGAATTGCCTTTGAAATTCCATGCCGCGAGTAATTGCATTTAATGTTTAATGTGGTTTTGTCTGTGGATTTTCACATTTTAATACGATCTGATTTGACTGTTTATTTTCCACCGATGCCATTTTTTCGAGTTAGAATATTTTCATTGTATCAAAACTTTGGGTACTCCCGTAGTATGTGTACCTTTGAGTTAAGCCATAATTTTATTCTGATTTTCCTTATTTTAGTTCTATTACGAGTTCGGGGACTGTTTGTTTTAGCCAAGTGAATATAACTATTTTGTCAATTGCACCTATTTTAAACGGGAAATATTGAGTTTTCGACTTATCACGCTTTCAGTTTACTCGGATCATTTATTCTAAAAGTTACGAAAACCTAAAATTGCCAGCTTTTGTTCGCATTGGAAACAAATTTCAGAATTATTGATTTTGACACAAAATACTTGATTTTGTCAGCGGGACACATTTAGGTGACAAATTACGTACAATTAAAAAAAAAGGAAAATATATATTCATAAACATTTTCCGGCGCTCCAGAAGTATGTGTTCCAATATGGGCCTGTGGGCTGAGTGATATTCACTTGGCTAACACAGACCGTCCCCGAACTCGTAATAAAACTAAAATAGAGAAAAGCGCAATAAAATTATGGCCTAACCCTAACCTGGTACACATACTACGGGAGTACCCATTTTTACGATCAAAATCTGACCTCTGGCGAAAATATGAACTTGACCTGGTAGAAATATTTAATAATCTCGGTAAGGTAAACCATGCGTACCTTTTTGTGGCTAAACCTTATTCGTTTAAAATTGGGAGAAACATTTTTAATTGACATAATGGCGTATGGAAGGCTATTAAAATTGTCTATATGCAGTTTTAATCGAATTTAACCATATAATTTATTTCACTTGTCGCGCCGTCTCATTCGCAAATTACCGTGCTTTGGGGGTGGGGGCTTACATTGACTTGATGTATATACCATATTCAAGCATGATATATCATCGCACAGCAATTGTTTTCTTCGAAATCTAATTTTTGGCAAATTTGCATTTTAGCGTCAAATCTAATTGATCTGAAAATTTAAATTTCACACAACGAGTCTTTCAATAACGTCACACATTGTAACGTGCGTGAAAGGAAGAAGGCAACATTTGTTCACAATATTCAGAAATATAATATATATATTTACTAAACAAGTTCCTAACTTCATTTTGACTAGATTCAAGAAGATGAATATATAATTTCTGTACCGAAGGATATATAGTGAACTGGTTGACGACATTTTAGGAACGGGCTCGCTAATAATGACGACATTACAAGAACGGGTTCGCTAGTATGACGACCCTATAGGAACGACTCGCTGATTATGACGACATTATAAGAACGGGCTCGCTAATTATGACGACAATATAAAAACGGGCTCGTTGATTATGACGACTTTACAAGAACGGATTCGCTCAAACCTGAATCGCACCACAGTTACATTTTTTCTTTCCAACATGGCATTGGGTGCCGCGTTGGCAAACTAGTTGAACTATCTTTGCTGACAATTGGTTCTATTCCGCCGCTCATCAGATCAACTCGTCTATTAATTAGGTCTAGTTGAGAATGCGACATACAGCGCCATTCAAAAGTTCCAATCGAGCATCATATTATACTTTTGCAGCACATCGTTTCTCACGCGCTTTGATATAAAAAGGCATTTAAAAAATGAAGTCTCTAAAAACGGCTGTAAAATTATTGCTGTGAAAAGTGCTTATAAACCGCTATTTTTGCCATATGCATTTGTTTATGCAGCAGAATCCAGCGTTTTTGTAGATACCCAGGTGGTCCAAAAACACATGGGCATCAAGATCAAGCATCTAAAAAAAACGCCTCAACCGAACAAACTGATAACCGGACAGTATGATTAAACAGTCTCATTAACTTTCTTTTCACAGCAATACTGACCAAACATAAGTCTACTAGAACCAAATCACGATACATTCACAGACTCGACAACTGTATGTAGAAGATTCACGTTCAATGCATGGCTATACACAATTCTATTATGGTATTGTAATATATATTTATTACAATCTATATTGCACTTAATAAAAATAAAACTTGTGATTTTGTTCCTGAACTTTTCACCAAAGAGCATTCATTCAAATTCATTGCACGAAATTTCCAAAGCACCATTCACTTGAATTTGAAAAGTAATGAAAAATCTTGAACTTTTAACAAAACGGTCCATTTACCATAAAATGCAAACTTTAAAGGTTTGTCCCAACTACAGCATTCACATGAAAATCTTCTGAACGCTTAATAGGACAAGACAGCAATGATGCACACATGGCCACCACAGTGAATGCACATTTTCAGCCAAATGCAAAATAATTTAATGAAAGACAAAAGGAACTGTATCCACCATGAATGTGCACCCTTAATTATACAAAGCAGCAATTAGAAAAACTGATATCCTAGCCTTCTAGCGACTCTTTTCATTTTAGGTACTAAAAATTTAAACAAATCATCCATTATCTGGAAGAAAAGCGATTTTTAAAAAACAACGATAACCACCCAAAAATGGTCCAAAACCATCCAAAAAACATTTAATGTCCAATAAACTGCCATGACCATAGCTTCTGAGATGACGTCTGAAGTGCATTGTCATAATCTATAATTGTGACTATATTGCAATTTCAGATAAACTTGAGATTACATCTTTGAGCTCCGTCACGACAGCGTCAATGTCTTCCTTTGTTGTGCTACGTCCTGTGGATATCCTAATTGTGTTAGTTGCAATATCAAATGGAACATGGAAATTCAAAAGTACTTGTGACGGTTTACATTCATTTGAATGACACGCTGAACCAGTACTGCAGACGAATCCTTTGATATTTTGAAGTACTTTATATCCTGAAATAAAGAATCAATTAGAATGAATGGTATCGGCCCATATATACACTTTGTGTCATACTGATATATTGGTAATTTATAATGGGATGCTTTTTCAGCCTTTGTTAAGAATTTCACCTACCTTCCATATTTTTTCCTATAAACGAAACACTGGATGTGTTAGGTAACCTTGGTGCTAAAGAGCAATTCAATTTCACATTACTATCACCAAACTCTGCCTGAAAAAAAGTTTGTATAATAAAATGAAACATGTTTAATACATGATTCATGCTACGCCTATGAATAAAAAATACTGATACAAATTATAGTCTGATAAATACTCATGAGTAAGCAACATCACAAATACAGTTTGCCCTTTAATAAATGAAGGTAGGATTTTTTTATTTATCTTGGGGGGAGGGGGAGGGAAGCAGATAAAACATGGTAAAATCATACAGGAGAACAATGGTATCCATCTGGCTACCGGTCCATCTCAGGTTAGGTAATAGTTAAGATATGCTCTTTGGAGCTATAATAAAGTACAAGACATAAATAGTTCCACTTTATTCAAAAATGTAATTTCTCATCCAAACATCACAATTTACAGACATGGTGTTATTTCTTTAACAATATACAGAACAATTATATTGATAACTAAAAAAAATAATATACCAATAATCTTTTTTCCAAATAATCTCTGATTTCTCTCATGTGTTCAGAAATAGATTTCAGATCATCATTTGCTATCATGACTGCTTTACCAAGTCCGGCAATCATCGGAGTGTTCTCTGTGCCGGGGCGATAATTTCTTTCTTGAGCTCCACCAAAAAACAGTGGGTATAATGGGGCTCCACCCTCACCAAGTCCACGTACATACAAAGCACCAATTCTTGGCCCATAAAACTAAAAAAAATGATCCCCATTACAATATATGTTGTGATGCTGAGATCATGTTTAATAAAATTAAAAGTTTCATATTTAAATTAATAATTAATCAAAATTAAGCATTTAGAATAGGGCCTGTTATTGCCCTTCAACTAATTTTCTTATCTCCCTTACTAAAGCAACACAACACACAAACAACACAACAATATAATTAAATCTACCTTATGTCCAACTAGTGTTAAATAATCAACACCCAAGTCTTCTACGTCGACTAATATTTTTCCGAGAGCTTGCGCAGCGTCTGTATGTATTAATGGTCTCAATGATTCTGACTCCATAGCTGAAATTTTTTCACTTATTTCTTTGATTGGCTAGAAATTAAAAATGAAATAGTCCCTGATAACTCATAGGTAGTAGATGTGTTTAGTTAGTAAATTTGAAAAATAGAAAAAAAGATGGCTTAGCGGTTTGAAGCGTTAGACTTTACTGTGTTGGCATCGCATATTATTACACATCTCGAGTTCAAACCTCATGCACTCCACCTCACCCTGGAGTTGATAAATTGGTTAAGCAATGCCAAACTAGAAAGATTCTGGTCCTTGCAAATAATAGTAGCATATCCTTAGAAATAGATGGCTGCTATGCTATGGTGTATTGTTCGGATGAAAGGCATGGATAAGCGCCGCTTGAGAAAAAAAACACAGCACAGGGATTAACAAGTATATTTATTTTAATCGTATAATATTGATAAACTCAAGGGAAGATATCCAAAAGCTGACTGATACTGCAATTTCATCCCTCTTTTTGACCAATGAGTTTAATGTAGAGAACATTTTACAATATTTATAATGTAAGTGTAAGTAGACAGATTAAATGAAGTTTTTGCGGTCTAAATTTCAGATTATTATTATGGGCTAACAATTTTTATAAATCATAATTGAAACTGCAGTGGGAGAGAAAATTAATTTGTGTATAAATGTAGACCAATAATAATTTAAAAATGTTAAGATACGATTTGAACCAATCATCCCATAAATGAAGATTTCTTCCCAAGATCATAGTTGACAGAGCAAGAAAAGTCAAATTTCAATTATGAAGTCAATTCTGAATATTGTTGTTTTTTTATTCAGTAAATGTTTTTAAGTATTTTTACTTCATTCAATACATCTGTGAGGACCAAAACAATATATGATTTCAATGAGTTCCCTTTGCAATTTAAAAAAAAATTAAGACACTATGGACACCCTTATTTATATATATTAGGACCCACCATAATGACTCCAGTTTCATTATTGGCCATCATAATAGTCACTAGGCAAGTGTTGGGAAGAATTGCATCAACAATATAATCAACTGTTACACATCTACATTCTTTATCAACAGGCACAAACGTAACATCTGAAATAAATAACAATATTTCAATTTATAATTATAAAAGTGAAAGATTAAAAAAAAGAAAAAAAGATATATGTAACAATTTATCACTTCCACAGTTTTATATATGTATTTAACATGATGGCATAACAACTCGAGTAAAATACAAACGAGAATTATATAGCATTACTTGTTGTATAGAATTAACAGAGATCCCATCTAAACAACTCCAACCTTCTGATTTGTGGTGATTCATATAGTAAAAATTTTTAAAATTTGCATTGAATGAGCCAACTATGATTATCTACAATGAAACAAACTAGACAAAACCAACATTAAATCCCAAATTGTACTTCTAAATTTGTTGACAATTGCCAAGTTCAGAAGTTAAATCAGAAATATGCTAAGTATCAGTGGTTTTTTATATAGATTATATAGAGTAAATATTGTGATGCTATTCAAATAAGAATAATTCATGAATAACAAATACCGAGGCAGATGAAATACATCAGCGATTCCCAAATTTTTTGTCTGTGTCAGTTATGTTTAACACAATTCTGTTAATTTTTGCAGCGCACCTTTTGTGAACAGCTGACATATATGATGAATGTAGTATAACTCGGTAAAAATTGGATGAAAACCATTCTGCAGACTACCTATTTCTCCTTTGTCTTTAAGATTGATCAGAGGTAATGTCACAGCATCATGTTCAATGGTTGTCGTGACGATGTGAGGTTTGAGTCTCTGTTCTCCTTGGTGTTGAGATTTCACTTGAGTTATTTTAAAATGTTCAATTGCTGTAGTAATGACCCAATTGTTAGCTTCTGTCCCTCCAGATGTAAAAACAATATCTGATGATTGTGCATTGATTGATTTTGCAACTTGTTTTCTTGCTGTTGTAATCGTGGCTTTTGCTTTTCCACCTGCATGATTAGGAACAACAAGAAAGCTTAGACACAATTAGGGTCCGTTTAGTTTCGTACCTAAAGTACTTCTAGTGGGCGTAGCATAACAATTTTTGCATATGTCGATCCTAACCCCCACCTGCCTGCGCCATCCAAAACGACGATGTCACAGTGATGTGATAAGGCGATTCAGACTTTCATTCAAGACGCAAAGACGATCACCAGAAATCGAGCAAGCTATTTCTCTCGTTTTCTCGTCGCAACGGTACGGGCGTGATCACTGCCGTTAGTGAGTTCTTCATAGTCGGCGCAGTTGCCATTTCGGTCGATCGTAGGTATACTTTGGCAAGTTCTATGACGTAATTGTGACGTCGTAGTGACATAATTTTTGTATGGCGTAGTCAGGGGGGTTGTCATGCTACGCCCACTAGAAGTACTTTAGGTCTGTAGGTACAAAACTAAATGAGCCCTCCCATGAATATATGTAAAGATATAAACTCCAGCCTCCTGACTGTTGTTTTGAAACGCAAGGCTGCAAGGCCATTCAAAATTTTAAAACCATACCTCAGTACTTCTATATTTTCTCACCTTCAGGATATGAACTGCTGGGATTCCCCCATGTATTTTTCAGTGCATCTGTAATTGTCTCTAATACTTCATCTTCTAATGGAGTAGTTGCATTATAATCCAAGTAAATTGTGTTACTGATATTGTTTTTGACGTTCATCGCTACCTATGTCTGAATATGTATACTAGCTATTAATAACGTTACATATCATGTCAAGTTTTTTTCTATATAGTCTACAGATATAACAATTTTTGGGTCTGGTGTAATTTCGTACCTAAAGTACTTCTAGCGGGCATAGCATAACAATTTTTTCACATGTCAATCCTAACCCTCACCTGACTACGCCATCAAAAAATTACGTCACCACGACCACTAGAATTACTTGTGGTAAGAAACTACACTAAACCCCAATTTTTTTCTCAATTTCTCTATATTTCTTCTTGCGATATGACCAAAGATTTTACATAACATTGTTATGCATTGTCTGTGATATGACAGTATGACGTGCTCAATATTTTCGGAATTTTATAAGCCTGTTTTTTTCTATATATATTTATTAATATATAAAACACAGTTGATCGGTACATCTACAACATTATTATTCACTAATCTTAGAAAATACGGTACACAATCATAATTCATCATATAAGATAATCAATTATTGTGCATACATCTTAAATTTTTTGTATGCAATGTATAGTAACAATATTTCTTATTAAATATATAAAACACAGTTGATCGGCACAGTTACATCATCACTAATCACAGGAGCTATGTATGTATAAATACCATCATTTGGGCATTTATTGAACACATATCTAAAAAATTTCTATTTTATAAGCTTGTTCATTCGGGGAATACCCCACGTGCCATCTGGCGGTCTCCTCATATAACCCCAGTGCATGAGTTTTCGACCTTTTTCTGCTCGTGGGCTATTTTGACTGAAATGATATTAGTGGTGGTCCATCAAACTTATGAAATGAAAATCACAGAACGACAACAGCAAAAAAATTTAATCATCGTACGCTATTAGGTAGGAACTACCTTTATCGAATGTTTTGTTCCTTATCTGATCGCAATGAACTTATTTTATTGAAAAAGCTTCATACTCGTAGGCTACTTCTTTTGTGGTGTGATTCCCTAGCCTAGTCTTTAACACCATTAACAACTTGCATCACATAGGAATTTGAATTCACTATTTTCACACAACGTTTCAATACATTCGAAACGATATATCATATTTTACTTCAACCAAAATAATGACCCCAATTTATTCAAGTTGGAGTAAATGTTTCTCCGCTGTTGAGCTGCTTTCAACTTTGTTGTACTGTACGTTTTAAACCTTATCCAAGGTTTTGTTTGCTCTCCTGATTTCATAATCGGTTTTTATTTATTTGTTTTTATCAATCATTTAATCGTCTTTTATGCTGATTATGGAGTCAAAATAACCTTATCTTTTCTTGTTTCGATAACTCTGCCGTATATAAACGGGCTCCTTCCCATGTGGGGCGCGGGGGCGTCAGCACGTTTTGAGCGTGAGTTTGTTGCTTAGTTTAATGATTTAAATAATAATAATACAATAACACCCAAGTCGCTTAAACCTACTTGAAGCCTTCTGTTAGTCGGCTTTCCTTTTCTTATTGTGGTATGACTCGACTCTTTTATGGGTGACGCTGCTCGATGATCATTTACTGGTCTACCGCGTCTACCTTCAATCAATCAATCAATTTTATTGAACCTTCATACTAAAATACAGTTTTCTTCTATTTTACCGAATTCTGTTTGTACATTTTGTATTTTCGGTATGTGAAAATAATCTACTGGCTCACTGACAAACATTTCACTCTTATTGACCTTCAGTTGATCATACTCATGTACAACAACACCTATAATTTGTTAACCACCCCACCTGAACTATTTTGGAAGTCAAGTATAGTGGGCCATCATTATGAAACTCGCCCGTTACCAAGTGTATGCCACTTTTGAATGGATTTATAAAGATTGGTACATATATAAAGTATGGCGCTTGTGTTTATAAACTTATGTACTACTTATGTCTGGCGTTTCCTCTCTGTATTAGAATTCTACGAATGAAATGAAGGTAATCCCAGACCGTGTTTGCCTCCCATGCAAATTATACTAAATCAATCAAAGTGCAAAAATCGCTTTTCCCAAAAAAGGAGGACGCGTTCATATATGACGTTCGAAAGTTATATACAAACGTACAAGTATCCGTATGGATGTTTGGATAATGTTGTTCTAATACTGTTCTCTGAAGATGCTGACATGCTCCAAATCCAAAACTTACAAAATGATCGAATGTTATTGCTGCAGAATATATTATTAATTCGTAATTAGCAAATTATTGTCGAATTTATTTTTCTTTCTAGAAAAGCTTCCTCAATGACGCTGAAAGGAAAAAAAAAGTTTTTGTAAATGTTTCTGTTGCTGGTATATCGGTAAAAATTTGAAATAAAATAGTAATAACTAGATAGCGATCGGAAACCGCCGACTTATCAATCTTGCGGTTTCGATTCCTTTGCTCTAACTCCATAGCGACACCACGTGTCCCATCACTAATTAATTGATAACTCGCTGATTATACGACATATTTCATCCAAAATCAATAGGCTTCTGGTCCGAGATATGATGAGTGCACATGCAAAATTTGGAACATATCTCGCTTTCGTGAGATATCGCGTAACATACGAAAGTGAAACAGACAAACAAACGACAAATATCTATCAACATTCTTACCGATCGAGATCAATAAGTAATAAAGTTTGAAATATGTGCTTTGCTTTTTAGAAAACACCGAAAAACACAAAAATTTGAAAGACAATGATAAATTGTGGTGGGGTTTATGAACCAACTGTGTTGCAGAAAAGTGATGTGCATTCGGCTATGGATATTTGCGGTGGCTTCGAAACGGCGTTTGGACCGATAGCAGGGCGTAGCCAGGGGGTAAGGGACGGAAGCCCACTTTTGAAATGTAAAAAAGCAATATTCTGTATCATACATAGCAATTTTTAGTAGCTTGATACGATTTTTAGACCCTCAAAGTCTTGATTCGAGACCATTGAATACCCACGTTTACCGACTCTAGCTGTTATAGCTTTACTTGGAAATTAGAAATTTCGGAACCACCTTCATCATTGCAAATTCCTCGCTACAACCCTTACTGATGGTGTTTATAGAAATTGAGCCACTTGGTAATAATATTACAAATTTACCTTTAACACATTCCCCTGTTGATGTATCGCAATGTTGGTTAAATTCACAGCCCTCTTCACATGCTGCATTAAATATAAATTAGAATTGCATTAGAACCAAGTCACAACAATAAGATAAATATCCGTAATGAAGAAAAAATAGTAATCGATAGTTTTAGCTGATCTGTGATCAGTTGATTTTTAATTTAAATGAAAGAGTATATATATATCGTTTAGTAACTTCCTATAGTTTTATACAGATATGAATTTTGTTGATTTATTGAGTTTAGTTCATGAAGCCATTCTTTTGCATAGAAGTAATCTCCATGTTTTTATAAATTGCGTTGATGTAGAACTTCACAACTTTTGTCAAATAATTTAAGATTTTAGTAAATAAATAAAATTGAACTAACGTATTTCTTGCATCTGTCCGTATGTGCCACCAAGTAACATACACAATACAGCAACCAACAGCAGAATCGATGCAAGAAATATCTTCATTGTGACTTAGAACCGTTCAGATAGTTTATCTTAAAATTAGGTGAAAGCGGTAAGTTGATACATAATATTAATTTGAAAATAAAAAAACAGGACGGTCGTTTATTAAGGAATTATGGTTTTGAACTCTATGCATAACATCTCGTCCAGTTGTTATCAAATTTATATAGAAACAAGAGCGCGATGCTCAAATATATGGACACGGAGTAGTACAAAAATATACCCGTCTAATGAATTAACCATTGAAATTTCAAAGCAATGTATCCAGTAGTTAAAGAGGAAAACGATTTTTTTCAACGCGATACTACGAAAGAAAAACAACTATAAGGAAACAACGAGATAGCGATCAGAGATCACTGCTTATCGATATAGCGCCATGTATCCTTCGCTCTGACCAAAGTGACTATCACTTTGGCTCTTACCTAATAGTGTGAAAACTTTTTTGATGGATACTTGCGCATCGCACACACACTAAGCACATGCGCGATCCTGCCTGAAAAATCTGGGACTAATCATACACATTCTCTCGCTTTGCAAAAATCTAGATCTTTTCATCACTAATTAATTAATACCTCACTTATACTACATAATTTACCCAAAATCAATAGGCTTCTGGTCCGAGATATGATGAGTGCCCATGCAAAATTTGGAGCAGATTCAACCTCGCTTTCGTGAGATATCGCGTGTATCAAACAGACAGACAAATACCTATCAACATACTTACCGACAGGGTTACCATCTACCTACAGCTAAAAATAAGCGCGGGTGTCAAAATGGTATTTTTTGGTGTACTTAACAACGGCAGAAACACCGTATAAAAATGAGAAATGAAATTATCCAAGAGTCTCTTCCGCTCTCCCAATTTTTATCCACGAACATTTATCCCTAAAAACAGTATCCTTAAAAACTAACATCAACTATTGTAACTGTGTCACAGTTTGCCTGGAAATACCGCAAACCCTACCGCTAACAGAAACAGTGCGCGCTGAGATTGAGCGAGTCTGAGACATGAGGTAACGGCGGGAACGTAATTAATCGATATGTCACGCGAATACGAGTTGCGTAGAATGATAAACAGCATTCCTTGTTTCCCCGGAAGCTTTGCAGGCAAACATGAACGTGCCATCCATGTTTCTAAGACAAAATAAGCACGCAACTCAAAAATAAGCACAAATCTAAGAAATAAGCACGATATGGTAACCCTGCTTACCGATCAAGATCGATAAGTAACACCATGATAACAAAACGACCCGTATGTCCACTCCGTGTCCAATAAAGTCTTATATATTTCATTTACTAACTTTACTGTTAGCTAAATCTTGGAGCAGAAGAAAATGAAATTCAGACAGTTTCTAATACTTCTAATTTGAGTTTTATTTTATGTCAAATGAAGGACGCGGTGTTTTAATCGTCAAAGTGTTTGAACTTAAAGTATTAAAAACTTGCTAAAGAAACAGACAGATTTATGAATACAAGAAATAAATTTGATGAATTGAAAAATTCAAACACTCTACGTTAAGGAAAATTTTTTGCTATTCATGCCGATATATAAAAAAAAGACATTGAAGTACTGAATTCTGATCAGAAAATGCAATACGTTACTGTAATCAGTAATACAATGTCTAAGTAACCATGGAAATTACAATGCGACGCAGTATCGCAATATTTCTTCCTTTCCATCGAGCGTACTGATATTCCGTGCTCGATGTATCAAGAATTTATAGTCTCCTTCACTCGTTCGACTGGTTTCACTTGTTTTAAAACGAGAGAGATGTTGAAGTAACAATGGGTACATAAGTGATTCCCAACCCTTTTCGTTACTTTCAATCTTTAATGTACTCTTAGCTAGTATTATGCGCAATATGCACTATTTGTACAGCTTAAGTACAAGCAATTGCACTGCAGCAAATACTATCAAAAAATTCGTTCCCGTTCGGAAAACCTTGCTTTACACAAAGAAAATTTAGATTAGATATTGGAACCTTTTGGATATTTTTATTCCTTCCTAACTGTACATAAAAACTACGTGTTTCCACTATATGTTGAAGCTTCAAGCATTGCTTTAAAGTTTAAACCACACTGCATGTTTATTTATTGGCTGATTTCATCCACAATATGTCTCGCCATGGCATTTGTGACGCATGCACTAAACTTCAAAACACGAAAATGTCTAATGTGTTTTGGCTTAAGATTTTACTTGATAAAGAAACTGTCAATTATAAAATTAAAGATACCTTGCCGAGATTAAACAACATATCTTTTATTAAATGAACAAGACAGTTTGAACTCATACTTGAATAGATTGTAAAATTCGAATATGTTTTTAATTACATAAACATCTTGATAAGAAGTTAAATTTTCTAATCATCACAACCATCTACGTTTATTCGACATTCTTATAGATACACCATCGCCGCAAGTTTATGCATTAGTCAAACACACAGAAGTGTTCTAGATTTTGGTTTAAACACAAAACAATCTAATATATTGTTCTCTGATTAAAACCATTTTATCCAGACATTTTGTTCCAAGAAAGCGACGTGCTGTGCATAATAACTGTAAAATCATTGTTTTCTAATGATTTTTATTTTTTTAAATTCAAATGAAAGCCCCCCAAATCATTGTCTAGTTCAGTGGTTCCTAACCAAATTTCCCTGTGCCATTGCGCAGTGCCACCAGATCATTTAAGCAGTAGAATATTATTCTTGCGCACTTGCAACATTACGTTTTCGTAGCGAAAGCTGTGACTCATATTTTTTAACGCCTATCTTAAATGCCAGTTCCATATTTCACATGTAATTTGCTTGCCCATGTTCATTGTGATGTCACACACGTGTCTGTTACGTCCTTTGACTTATGTGCTAACTACTAAGTTCTTTGACTTGGAATCATTTGGAACGAACTATTTTAAGCCGATTCTACAATGCCAGCGCTGGCCGGTGTCGCATTTCAAGAAGCTATTGGAGTTAAATGTGTACTTTGTTTGCATTCTAAGAATATATTATTGTAATGTTTCACATAGTTTGTAAATCATTTGTGACTCTGCTCAGCCTTAAAAATAGCCTGTTCCAAATGATTTCATGATAATGTTCGTATTAGGCACGTATGTGACATCACAATGGACAGGGGCAAGCAAATTACATGTGAAATATGGAACGGGCATTTAAGATAGGCGTTAAAAAATATGAGTCACAGCCTTCGCTATGAAAACGTAATGTTGCAAGTGAGCGAGAATGATATTTTACTGCTCAAATGATCTGGTGGCACTGCGCAATGGCGAAGGGAAATTTGGTTAGAATCCACTGAACTAGACAATGATTTGGAAGGCTTTAATTTAAATTGAAAAATAAAAAATAAAAATCATTAGAAAACAATGATTTTGCAGTTATTATCCACATCGCTTTCTCGGAAAACGAACTTTCTAGATAAAAATGATTTTGAGCAGATAACAATAGGTTCGTTTATTTATTACATCGTTTTGTGTTTAGAAGAAAATCTAGAACATGTCCGTGTGTTTGACTAATGCATAAACTTGTGGTGATGGTGTATCTATAAGAATGTCCAATGAATGTAGATGGTGGTAAGGATTAGAAATTTCTATTATGATGTCAATAAATTTAAAAACATAATAGAATCTTATAATCCATTCAAGTTAGAGTTGTATTTGTATTAGTACAAACTGTCTTAGTACTTTAATAAAAGTTATGAAGTTTAATCTTGGTAAGGTATTTTTAATTTTATAATATTTACAGTTGTGGTAAATAGACAGTTTCTTTAACAAGTAAAATCTCAAGCCTTAACACATTTGACATTTTCGTGTTTTGTTTAGTGCATGCGTCACGAATGTTAGGCGGGGCATATTGTAGATGAAATCAGCCAATAAACAATAAATAAACATGCAGTGTGGTTTAAAGCAGTGGTACCTAACCGCTGGTTCGCGAACCGGTGCCGGAATCACTGTTTGTGACTCTGCTCAGCCTTAAAAATAGCCTGTTCCAAATGATTTCATGATAATGTTCGTATTAGGCACGTATGTGACATCACAATGGACAGGGGCAAGCAAATTACATGTGAAATATGGAACGGGCATTTAAGATAGGCGTTAAAAAATATGAGTCACAGCCTTCGCTATGAAAACGTAATGTTGCAAGTGAGCGAGAATGATATTTTACTGCTCAAATGATCTGGTGGCACTGCGCAATGGCGAAGGGAAATTTGGTTAGAATCCACTGAACTAGACAATGATTTGGAAGGCTTTAATTTAAATTGAAAAAAAAATAAAAATCATTAGAAAACAATGATTTTGCAGTTATTATCCACATCGCTTTCTCGGAAAACGAACTTTCTAGATAAAAATGATTTTGAGCAGATAACAATAGGTTCGTTTATTTATTACATCGTTTTGTGTTTAGAAGAAAATCTAGAACATGTCCGTGTGTTTGACTAATGCATAAACTTGTGGTGATGGTGTATCTATAAGAATGTCCAATGAATGTAGATGGTGGTAAGGATTAGAAAATTTCTATTATGATGTCAATAAATTTAAAAACATAATAGAATCTTATAATCCATTCAAGTTAGAGTTGTATTTGTATTAGTACAAACTGTCTTAGTACTTTAATAAAAGTTATGAAGTTTAATCTTGGTAAGGTATTTTTAATTTTATAATATTTACAGTTGTGGTAAATAGACAGTTTCTTTAACAAGTAAAATCTCAAGCCTTAACACATTTGACATTTTCGTGTTTTGTTTAGTGCATGCGTCACGAATGTTAGGCGGGGCATATTGTAGATGAAATCAGCCAATAAACAATAAATAAACATGCAGTGTGGTTTAAAGCAGTGGTACCTAACCGCTGGTTCGCGAACCGGTGCCGGAATCACTGGTTTAAAGCAATTCTCTTCTCCAAGGGGGGGGAATTTGGGGGGGGAGGTTAGATTGATATTGTTTTAGTCATTCAGCAATATTTAATACATATTCAAAATTCCTAAAAGAGTGTAGCTGCAAGTTACACTTTAAGGCTTCAACGTATAATAGAAACCCATGTACAGTTAGGAAGAAATAAAAAGATCCAAAAGGTTCTAATATCTAATCTAAATTTTCTTTATGTGAAGCAAGACGGGGAAGAATTTTTTAATAGTATTTACTGTAGTACAACTGCTTGTACTTAAGTTGTACAAACACGGTAATGCATCTTGCGCATAATACTACAAGGATACATTAAAGATTGAATAAATGATGTAGTTTTTATGCAACGTGAGACAGGAACAGGGTTGCCAGACCCCAGCGATCAAAAAAAAGCCAAATCAAGACAAAAAAAGTCAGAAAAAGCAACAATATTAACTAAGTACAAAAGCCCCATGATGTTTTCAGATTTTAAGCCCTCGGCAACGTACTGATGATGATGTAGACTGTAGAGCCATCAGTTCATTCAGTGAGGTACTCAAATAGAAATTAAAGTTCCTATAGAACTGTAAAAAGTAAAATAAATATCAAGCGGACAGCATTATTTTACCATTCAATATATACAATACAGAGTGCCGCTTCAGTCTGTCAGTATGTAATATATCTACATGTTTCTACTTAAACTTGTGATATAGGCTACCTTAAAAAATTCTCCCTATATCCTACTTTACTATTGAATATCTTTTTACTTTTAAAATTTATAAACCATCATCTTTATTAAAAAATTATCTTACCGCTCACAGCAGTCACAGGTGGACCACTGATATCTAATTCAGTAATTTTAGCGTAGTTAATCACATCGTTACTGCAATTGCAGAATTGAACTAAAGCTCACATAAACCATATCAGGCATTATGAAAATTAAGTTATACCACTATTTTTTGGGAACGTAACGTAAAACTGACAAATAACACGCAAAACTATAAAAACGAGGCAATGTTCACAACCCTGCTTGAACATCTGTCTGAGCAGCGGCAGAAACTGCAATTATTTCTTATTGGGTATGGTTAAGAGTTAATGTAACAAACAAGGAAATCGATGTTCCACAAAATCCTAATGTTAAGTAGCTAATAAGTACAGGTAATAGGCTATTGTTCAGTTGTTACACACTGAATATTGTATTTCATATGATTTCAATATTAGACACTAGAATAGACTTGGAAAAAGGCCAAAAAACGTCAAAAAGCCAAACGGAAATTCTGACGCCAAACGCATTTGAAAAAAGCTAAAAATGGCAAATTTGGCGTTAGAAAAGCCAATATGGCAACCCTGGACAGGAATAAAAATAGGCGAAGAAAGAAATGTAACGAAAAAGTTTGGGAATCACTGGTAACCATCCCTTCTTCATCATTTCTCTCGTTTTTAAACAAGTGAAACCAGTCAAACGAGTGGAGGAGACTATAAATATTAATACGTCGAGCACTGAATATCAGTTTGCTCGGTGGATTGAAAGAAACATTGTGAGACTGCGTCGCACTGTAGTTTCCACGGTATTACTGATTACAGTTTTTTATTGCATTTTCTGAACCGAAATTAGTACTGCAATGTCTTTTTTTATATATCGGCATGAATTGCAAGAACTTTTCCTTCACGTAGAGTGTTTGAATTTATCAATTTTATTTCTTGTATTCAAAAATCTGTCTGTTTCTATAGTAATACTTGAAGTTCTAACACTTTAACAATTAAGACACCGCGCACTTCTTGTAGAAATAAAATAAAACTCAAATCGGAGGTTCTGGGGACTGTCTGAATTTTTTTCCTTCTGCTCCAAGATTCAGCTAACAGTAAAGTTAGTAAATGAACTATATTAGACACGAAGTGGACATATGGGTCATTTTGTTGTTTCCTCATTGTCGTTTTTTTTTCTTCGTATCGTGTTGAACTAATGAATACATTGCTTTGAAATTTCAATGGTTAATTCGTTAGAAGGCTATTATTTATAGAAGGTTATATTTCCGTGCTACTCCGTGTCCATATATTTGAGCATCGCGCTCTTGTTTCTATATAAATTTGATATCAACTGGGCGAGATGTTATGCATATAGTTCAAAACCATGATTCCTTAATAAACGACCGTCCTGTTTTTTATTCCTAAATTTATATTATGTATCAACTCACCTCTTTCACCTAATTTTAAGATAAACTATCTTATCAGTTCTCAGTCACAATGAAGATATTTCTTGCATCGATTCTGCTGTTGGTTGCTGTATTGTGTATGTTACTTGGTGGCACATACGGAAGGATCATCCTAACAATAGGTTAGCTATTATTAAATTATTTTTATTAAGTTCTACATCAAATCAATTTATATTGAAATGGAGATTATACTTCTATGCAGAAGGATGCTTTCATGAACTAAACTTGATAACAAAATTTGTATTTGTAAAAAACTATAGGAAGTTACTAAACGATATACTCTTGTTTAAATTAAAAATCAACTAATCACAGATCAGCTAAAATTATCGGTTATTAATTTTTCTTCACTACCAATATTTATCTCATTGTTGTGGTTGAGTTCTAATGTAATTCTAATTTGTATATAATGCAGAATGTCAAGAAGTCTGTGAACCCGACCAATATTGCGATGCATTAACGGGGCTATGCGTTTAAGGTAAATTTGTAATATTATTAAAAAGTGGCTGAATCATCAGTCAAGGTTGTAGCCAAGAATTTGCAATGATGATGGTGGTTTTAAAATTTCTAATTTCCAAGTAAGGCCATAACAGCTAGAGGGCCGTTAAACGTGGGTATTCAATGGTCTCGAATCAAAACTCTGAGGGTTTAAAAATAGTTTTAAGCTACTAAAAGTTGCTATGTATGATATAGAATGATGCTTTTTCACATTACAAAAGGGGGCTTCCGTCTGTCCCCTTGGCTACGTTCCTGCTATCGGCCCAAACGCCATTTCGAGGCCATCGCAAATATACATAGTCGAATGCACATCACTTTTATGCAACACAATTGGTTCATAAACTCCACCAAGTTTATCATTGTCATTCAAATTTTTGTGTTTTTCGTGTCTTTTTAAAAACAAAGCACAGATTTTATACTTTTACAGATATACCAACAGAAACATTTACAAAAACTTTTTTCTTTCTTTTCAGGGTGATTGGGGATGAATTAACAGGAAGAAAAATGAATTCGACAATAAATTGCTAAATACAAATTAATAAAATATTCTGCAGCAATAACATTCATTCATTTTGTAAGTTTTGTATTTGGAGCATTTCAGCATCTTCAGGGAACGGTATTAGAACAACATTATCCAAACATCCATACGGATACTTGTACGTTTGTATAAATTTCGAACGTTATATACGAAAGCGTCCACCTTTTTTGTAAAACGCGATTTTTGTACTTCGATTGATTTAGTATAATTTGTATGGGAAACAAACACGGTCTGGGATTACCTTAATTTCATTCGTAGAATTCTAATACAGAGAGGAAACGTCAGACATAAGTAGTACATAAGTTTATTAACACAAGCGCCATGCTTCATATGCGCCAATGTTTATATATCCATTTAAAAATAGCTTAATGTAGTATATGTATTAGTGATTACCATATAACACTTGGTACGCCCTGGGGTGTTCTATACACCCGGCTGACCAGCACTGGTTTAGAACCCCCCGAACCCGAGACGGTGATGACCAATCTAAACTCACAGTCACAAGACTATATAAAACCTACACCACGCTACTCATCTATTCCTATCCAAGGCTTCCAAGCTCACCCGACAACTTTATACCACTAACACGACGATTAAAACCTGCTTTACATACGTATTGTCACTTTCTGTGCTCAATATGCAGGGGCGTGCCAAACATATCTGCTGCTTGGGGCGAGTTTCATAATGATGACCCACTATACTTCCGAAATAATTCAGGTGGGGTGGTAAACAAGTTATAGGTGTTGTTATACAAGAGTATGATAAATTGAAGGTCAATAGGAGTGAAATGTTTGTCAGTGAGCCAGTAGTTTATTTTCACATACCGAAAATACAAAATGTGCGAACAGAATTCAGTAAAATGGAAGAAAACTGTATATCAGTATGAAGGTACCATGGTAATCCAGTAAATGGTCATCGAGCAGCGTCACCCACAAAAGAGTCTAACATCATGTCATACTAGCCTACAATAAGAAAAGGAAAGCCGAATAATATTCACTAACACAAGACGGTCTTTAGGTAGGTTTAAGCTATGGTTACCATATTTGAAAAAGCAAAATTCCGGACAGTGCATGAGTATTTTCGGCGCTCCCGAAGTATGTGCACCAAGATGACGCACAACCTATACTATGTTCAGGTTGTGCGCCATCTTGGTGCATATACTTCAGGAGCTCCGTATTTTCATGAGACCATATGTATGCGCTACCAAAATGCTAAGCCTGCAAACGCTATACGATACTCATTCTAAAGCGCCAGCTACCGAAATGAAAAGTATTGTCTTCAGTCACAAGCAGAATCTCACACCAGGCGGGTGACCACTCTCTAAATATAGCTCTGAATAAATCTCAACCTCAGGGTGGAAAATATTAATGAAAATCAGGTTGTGCCAAAAAGGAAGAACAGCAATTACATGATTAAAACAAATTACAGACACGCTTGTAAGTCAAGTCACTACAAATTTACTCTTCCGACCATGCATATTTTTCTGGAGATCTAATTCTCTTCAATGGGGCACACACATTTTTTCAAAAGCATAATTTTTTCTAAAGCGTCTTTTACCTAAGTGGCTATTGTGTCGGCAGTCTCGTTTGCCTTGTTTGTAAACTCAATCAATTTTGATCGCAAACCACCTTTCCTCCCGTCAAAATATTGAATAATTGTAGGAAATAATTTCAATTCATTGTGATTACTGCCATCTGATGCAACGCCAAAATACGCGATATCGTTTTCTTCAAAACTTTTCAGAACAGCATCAATAGAATATTGCGCAAGTACGCTAGTGACAATTTTTTCTGTCTTTGTGCGGCCACTGCTAAACTTCTCCGCTACATTAGAATCAGGGAAAATCTTTTCAAGTAAAACAGATGTACAGTCCATGGACAAAAAGCTATGATGATGCTTAACAGCGTGAAATGCAAGAGTGCCGCAGCCTTCTGCGGAAGTGATTTCATCTTCGCATTTGCTTCCTGCTGTAACAAAATAATTTGTCATTTTCGTTCATGCAACAGCCTCTCTTACTGCTTTGCGATGTATTTCCGATTGCAGATGTGTGTTTAAATCACCATTACCTTTGTGCACGACAGATATATAGATTCCTGATTTGCAAACCAAGCATTCTGCCTCAAAATCATTCCAGCCTTTTCTAAAACATGGATGTTTTTTTTTTGCATCTCGTTAGTGAATGTGTACTTTCGTTTAGAAATAGCCATTTGAAATAATACCTTTTTTTATTAACAATAAATACAACCCAACTAAAAAAGCATACTCTAAAAACAAAGTAATTTACCACCAGACTAACTGAACCAAAAAGCTTAATGGACTAGCACTTCCGATCGCGAATTCCTGACTAGCTTCCTAATTAAATAGAAAAATCCACAAGTAAAGCTTTGTGGTATAAAACTTCTGTATTCAGCTAATAATCTTGCAGCTGCTCAACGAAACGGGTAAAACAGTCAGCGAATAATAATCAGAAAGTTCTAAGTGGTAAACATCATTGATACGGAAAACGCTCTGCTACATCATAATTACACACAACCTCGTGGTATTAGCAGTGTGCACAGTGTGATTGCAGATGCAGTAAAATTCCGGATTCCGGAGCATTTTTTAAAATTCTTTCCGGACGCAAAATTTAACCCTAAATTCCGGAATTTTCCGGACGGTATGGCAACCCTAGTTTAAGCGACCTGGATATTATCGTAATATTACTAATTTTAAATCATCAAACTAAGCAACAAACTCAATCTTATAACATGCTGACACTTTTTGACAAGCGGCTCAACAGCGGAGAAACATTCACTTCAACTTGAACAAATTGGGGTCATTATTTTGGTTGAAGTAAAACATGATATATCGTTTCGAATGTATTGAAAACGTTGTGAGTTCCTATGTGATGCAAGTTGTTAATGGTGTTATAGGATTTACATATTTATTCCGAGGAGAGGAAAGTCGATAAGACGGCTTAACCATATGGCGAACCACGACCTCTCGTCCGGTTACATTTCCATGTTGGTTAAGAGATTAGTTAGTAATTTGTTTTCGGAAACATGGACTTGATGGGGGAGGAAGACGTAACTGACCAGCGGTTACGTAAACCCTCTACTCTACGACATTCTACTATCCGACATTATTATACATACACCATCACCGCAAGTTTATGTATTAGTCAAATACACGGATGCGTTTTGGATTTTGTTCTAAACACAAAACAATACAATAAATAATTCTCATGTTTTCTGATTAAAACCCTTTTATCTAGAAAGTTCGTTCCAAGAAAGCGACGTGCTGTGAATAATAGTTGCAAAATCATTGTTTTCTAATCAGTTTTTTTGTTTCATTTCCAGTAAAGCCTTCCAAATCATTGTCTAGTTCAGTGGGTCATGACTGAGGCTGGGCATTTCGAATTCAATATTTGAATCGGATAGTAATTATTAGAATCGGTTCAGAGCCAAATTTCGATTCGCCGCCATTTTGTTTCTTTTCTTTCCGCCAATTGTCGAGGGGAATTTCTCAATTTCGCAACGGAATTCTGACATATATATGAGTTATTGAAGAAAGCGTGGTTTTTATTGTGTGTGAACGCTGTATTCTGAATGATATACTCTATGTTTTCAGTAATTTATGTGTCTGGAAGACCCAATACAATAAGAAATTTACTTATACTTAGATATCTCCCAAGTATTCAAGAATCGGATCGAAAATAATTATTCGATATAGTCATAACCTTTTTTGACTTGTGGCTCATTTCCGGATGCTTTTAGCACTCGTGTTTGTCATTACAGTAGTATTTATAGTGTTATTTTTATTGGTTGATTTCAAATATCATTAGGTCCAAACGATTCATGCTCAAGAAAGTGAAAACACCCTGTGAAATAATCTTGTCAAGCAATCAAACTCAGAAAGAACAAGAGAGTTTTCTTGTAAAAGAAAAATCAGTTTTGTGGCAGCATGGTGTCCTTCCCAACCAACCTACTGCTCTGCTCCCCCTAGTAGGTACCGATTGAGAACCGTAGGTCTACTTCTTTTCTACTTTTGTAAAAAAAAATCTCTGTCGTATATAAACGGGCGCGTTCCCGTGTCTGTCTGTGTGTGTGCTCGGCGGGTATTTATTCTCATGTATAACATCACCTATAATTTGTTTACCACCCCACCCAAATTATTTTGGATGTCAAGTATAGTGGGTCATCAATATAAAACTCGCCCCGACGGGATTTATAAACATTGGCACATACAAAGCATGACGCTTGTGTTTATAAACTTATGTACTACTTATGTCTGGCGTTTCTTCCCTGTATTAGAATTCTACGAATGAAATTAAGGTAATCCCAGACCGTGTTTGTTTCCCATACAAATTATACTAAATCAATCGAAGTGCAAAAATCGCGTTTTACAAAAATGAAGGACGCGTTCATATATAACGTTCGAAAGTTATACAAACGTACAAGTATCCGTGTGGATGTTTGGAAAATGTTGTTCTAATACTGTTCTCTGAAGATGCTGACATGCTCCAAATACAAAACTTACAAGATGATCGAAGGTTATTGCTGCAGAATATTTTATTACTTCATATTTAGCAAATTATAGTCGAATTCATTTTTCTTTCTAGAAACTGATCCCAGATGACGCTGAAAAGAAAAAAAAAGTTTTTGTAAATGTTTCTGTCGCTGGTATCGGTGAAAGTTAGAAATGAAATATTATTATTGAAATTTGAAATCTGTGCTTGGCTTTTAATAAGACATTAAAAAACACAAAAATTTGAAAGACAATGATAAATTTGTGGTAGGGTTTATGAACCAATTGTGTTGCATAAAAGTGATGTGCATTCGGCTATGGATATTTGCGATGGCCTCAGAATGGCGTTTGGACCGATAGCAGGAACCCCCCCCCCCCCCCCTCCCTCCTTTGAAATGTAAAAAAGCATCTTCCTGTATCATACATAGCATTTTGTAGTAGCTTGTAAGTTACCGGCCCTCTAGCTGAAATAGCCTTACTTGGAAATTAGAAATTTCAGAACCGGCTTTCATCATTGCGAATTCCTGGCTACAACCCTGACTGACGGTGTTTATAGAAATTGAGCCACTTGTTAATAATATTACAAATTTACCTTTAGCACATTCCCCCCTTGATGTATCGCAGGTTAGGCCGGATCCACAGACCTCTCCACATGCTGAATTAAATATAAATTAGAATTACATTAGAACTCAGCCACAAAAATAAGATAAATATCGGTAATGCAGAAAAAATAGTTATTAATAATTTTAGCTGATCTGTGATTAGTTGATTTTTAATTTAAATAAACGTATATCGTTTATTAACTTCCTATAGTTTTAAACAGATATAAATTTTGTTACATATCAAGTTTAGTTCATGAAGCCATCCTTTTGCATAGAAGAAATTACCATAGCACGGGCCATAGAAGTAATGTTTTTATAAATCGATTTGATGTAGAACTTCACAATTTCGTCAAATATTTTAAGGTTTTAGTAAATAAATAAATTTAAGCTAACGTATTGGTAAGATCCTTCCGTATGTGGCACCAAGTAACATGCACAATACAGCAACCAACAGCAGAATCGATGCAAGAAATATCTTCATTGTGATTTAGAACCGTTCAGATAGTTCTCTAGATAGTTTTAGTATCTTAAAATTAGTTGAAACAGGTAAGTTAATACATAATATAAATTTTAAAATAAAAAACAGGACGGTAGTATCGTTTATTAAGGTATTATTGTTTCGAACTTCATGCATAACATCTCGCCCAGTTGATATCAAATTTATATAGAAACAAGAGCGCGGTGCTCAAATATATGGACACGGATTAGCACGGAAATATAGCCTTCTATAAATAATGGCCTTCTAACGAATTAACCATTGAAATTTCAAAGCAAGTATCCAGTAGTTGAAGAGAAAAGCGACACTATAACGATTAAGAAAAACAACAATAGGGAAACAACAACATGATAACAAAACGACCCATATATCCACTCCGTGTCCAATAAAGTCTATATATTTCCGTTACTGTACTGTTTGCTAAATCTTGGAGCAGAAGAAAATGAAATTTAGACAGAGTCTAATACTTCTGAGTTTTATTTTATGTCTACAACAAGGGCGCGGTGCCTTAATCGTTAAAGTGTTAGAACTTAAATTATTGAAAACTCGATATAGAAACAGACAGATTTATGAATACAAGAAATAAATTTGATGAAATGAAAAAATTCAAACACCCTACGTTAAGAAAAAGTTTTTGCCATTCATTGCTATTCATAAAAAATGACATTGAAGTAGGCCTACTGATTTCGGTTCAGAAAATGCAATACGTTACTGTAATCTGTATTTATTGAATGATTTCATCTACAATATGCCGCGCCATGGCATTTGTGATGCATCTACTAAACTTCAAAGCACGAAAATATCAAATGTGTTTTGACTTGAAGCTGTCAATTTAGCATGACTGTAAAAATCATAAAATAAAAGATACTTTACCTAGATTAGACATCATATCTTTTATTAAAGTAACAAGACAGTTTGTAGTGTCGTACTTGAATAGATCGTAAAATTCTATTGTGTTTTTAATTACAGGGATATTTTGAAAAGAAGTTTTTCTAATCATTACAGCCATCTACGTTTATTCGACATTCTTATAGATACACTAACACCACAAGTTTATGTATTAGTCAATCAAACGGATGTGTTTTCGATTTTGTTCTAAATTTGAATAGATTATAAAATTCTGATATATTTTTAATGGCAAGGACATTATGATAAGAAGTTAAATTTTCTAATCATTACAACCATCTACGTTTATTCGTCATTCTTATTTAAACACCATCACCACAAGTTTATGTATTAGTCAATTAAACGGATGTGTTTTCGATTTTGTTTCAAATTTAAATAGATTATAAAATTCTGATATATTTTTAATGGCAAGGACATCATGATAAGAAGTTTAATTTTCTAATCATTACAACCATCTACGTTTATTCGTCATTCTTATATATACACCATCACCACAAGTTTATGTATTAGTCAATCAAATGGATGTGTTTTCGATTTTGTTCTAAATTTGAATAGATTATAAAATTCTGATATATTTTTAATGGCAAGGACATCTTGATAAGAAGTTAGATTTTCTAATCATTACAACCATCTACGTTTATTCGTCATTCTTATATATACACCATCACCACAAGTTTATGTATTAGTCAATCAAATGGATGTGTTTTCGATTTTGTTCTAAACACAAAACGATCTAATGAATGAACCTATTGTTCTCTGATTGAAAACAATTTACCTAGAACAGTGGTTCTTAACGCTTTTTAACGCTTTTTTGCATATTTTACTCCTTCATCAAACAACATTACAATATTTACCCCCAATACAGCCAATCAAGATCATTTATTAAAAATTCGCCAGGCAAAGTATAAAGAGCTTTAGCTTTAGAATGAGGTTTCTCCCTTTCACCTCTCCTCCTACCCTATCTTCTCATCTGCAGTGTGCTCCAGTTCGGCATGAACTACTTTTCAACTTTCAACATCGCTCTCCAAGTGGCCATTCATTGCCTACTTGGTTGTGCGAATCAACACATGCTTTTCTGCGGAAATTTGTTCGTTCACACAAAAATGAAGATTTAGTTGAAGAAGTGCCTATATTTAAACATAAATCATTCCAATAAATGACCTATTGTTATCTGATCAAAACCATTTCATCTAGAAAGTTCTTCCAAATCATTGTCTAGTTCAGTGGGTTCCAACCTTTTATGACTCGTGGCTCATTTCCGGATGCTTTTAGCATTCGTGCGTTCATTATTACAGTAGTATTTATAGTGTTATTTATATTGGTAGATTTCGAATCCTGTTAAGTTCAAACAATTCATGCCCAACAAAGTGGAAACACCCTGTGTAATAACCTTGTCAAGCAATCAAACTGAGAAGAACTGGGAGTTTTCTTGTAAAAGGAAAATCAGTTTGGTGGTAGCATTGTGACCTCAACCCCCACCTACTGCTGTGTTCTCTTTTAGGGGGCAGAGATGAGCGGAGTCAACATTTTCAGACTCCGAATCCGTCGTAACCCAAAATCAAGATTCGAATTCGGAGTCCGACTCCGAACATGGCAAGCTATGACTCCTGTTTCGCTCTTATTGATAAATCTAATTTTGACATATTTTAGTGTTCACTACAGCAGCAACATCAAAAACGAGCTTCGCTGACAATGAAAAAGTTGTCGGTAACTTGGCACCAGGCTCACAATCCTGCTGTGCATCACCTGGAAAAGATTCCCACGGCCCATGCTTTGTTGCGCGTCTCGTGACAACCTGCGGGGTGGCAAAAGTTCATATCTTACTGGATGTCAAAGCGAAGCCCTGGGAAATCATACTGTTCTTAAGTATTTTCTGGTTTAAAGAAAGAAATAGTTATAAACTTTTATATGAATGGTCATATTAATTAAGCAGGAAAGAACAGAAAAATGCGCGTGCCGATTTTTCTCTCCTGAATCTTGTGAGATTCAACGGAGCGCTTTCGCCATGAATCGAGACCTAAAAAGAGAAAAGTGTGACTACTCGGCGGAATATAAATTTATTTATTGTTTATTGGCTGATTTCATCTACAATTTGCCCCGCCATGGCATTTGTGATGCATGTACTAAACTTCAAAGCACGAAAATATCAAAAGTGTTTTGACTTGAGATTTTTCTTGATAAGGAAGCTGTCAATTTAGCATGACTGTAAAAATTATAAAATTAAAGATACCTTACCTAGATTAGACATCATATCTTTTATTAAAGTAACAAGACAGTTTGTAGTGTCGTACTTGAATAGATCGTAAAATTCTAATGTGTTTTTAATTACAGCGACATCTTGATAAGAAGTTGGATTTTCTAATCATTACAACCATCTACGTTTATTCGTCATTCTTATAGATACACCAACACCACAAGTTTATGTATTAGTCAATTAAACGGATGTGTTTTCTATTTTGTTCCAAATTTGAATAGATTATAAAATTCTGATATATATTTTTAATGGCAAGGAAATCATGATAAGAAGTTTAATTTTCTAATCATTACAACCATCTACGTTTATTCGTCATTCTTATTTAAACACCATCACCACAAGTTTATGTATTAGTCAATCAAATGGATGTTTTTTCGATTTTGTTCTAAACACAAAACGATCTAATGAATGAACCTATTGTTCTCTGATTGAAAACAATTTACCTAGAACAGTGGTTCTTAACGCTTTTTAACGCTTTTTTGCATATTTTACTCCTTCATCAAACAACATTACAATATTTACCCCCAATACAGCCAATCAAGATCATTTATTAAAAATTCGTCAGGCAAAGTATAAAGAGCTTTAGCTTTAGAATGAGGTTTCTCCCTTTCACCTCTCCTCCTACCCTATCTTCTCATCTGCAGTGAGCTCCAGTTCGGCATGAACTATTTATCAACTTTCAACATCGCTCTCCAAGTGGCCATTCATTGCCTACTTGGTTGTGCGAATCAAAACATGATTTTCTGCGGAAATTTGTTCGTTCACACAAAAATGAAGATTTAGTTGAAGAAGTGAAACTGAAAAATGTGAATCCCGCATATGCTCGAGTTCGTTTTTCTGATGGACGGGAGAGTACGGTATCGTTAAGAGACTTGTCCAAACTCCCAAAGACCTTCGAGTCACGATAGAGAGTGTCAAGAAAGTCTCGAATATGGACGAAGATAATGAAACAACTACTAATACGCCACCATCAAATCAAATGACGAAGTCAATAATGAAAAGATTTGCCCCACGTCGTTCAACTCGAACTAAGTTAGTTCTAGAATTAAGTTCAGTTATTCATGTTGCAGTGTGCTACACTTTGTGATCCTTTGTTTATATTCCGTCATTATTACATTATTGTTCTTTGTGTTGTGATCACTGATTATCGTCAAGCGACAACAGACTGCATTCGCCTTACTGCATTAGTTACTAGCAGATACAAGTTTAGACGGTGGTCCGATTAAGTTTGCCTATATTTAGTGACTCAATGTAATTATGTTGCATGTTCTTGTGTTTAGGTTGAGATGCGTTTTTATTTTTTTAAAGCCATAGTTTTGGTTACAATAAATAAACTGTTACAACAATAGGAGAGTGGGGTTTGGTAGAAAAAAAGTGTGCGGGAGAGTGATAGAGTGTTGGGGTGGTAAAGTGACGAAAGGAGTTAGGAGTGGGTGTGGGTGAATAAAAGAGTGAAGAAGAGCAAAAAGAGTGAGGCAGAATATTGGAGGGAAAGAGTGCAGGGGAATTTCGATCATAAAAAGCTTTCAGGATAGTTTCACCAATTGTTGTGCCTTTTTAGCTTATGACACATATAAAGCAATGGCAAAAGATGCATGTAGGCCACAGCAGTATTGTTAAGTCAGACAAAAGGTGTCGGGTTGGTCCAGCTTTCGACTTTTTTGACAATGTTGGCTCAAAAAAGGGACCTCCTGAAGTATGCGCACCAAGATGGCGCACAACCTGAACTCAGGTTGTGTACCAGGTTAGGGTTCAGGTTGTGCGACATCTTTGTGCGCATACTTCAGGAGTACCCAAAAAGACCTATTTTAACTTGTTATGCTTGGTGCTTTGTTTGTGGGGCAGATTTCGTGGTACTGTTTTAAAAGGTTTTCATGCACAGAACACACTGAGGCATATGATGACCATCCCGAATAAGATACGTGAACCCAAAATCTAAATAGGCGTACTGATACTTTGTCTCTTTTCGTGACATTCTGTTTCAACAAATTCTAGTGTGCCATTTTTGTTAATGGTACAGATACCAAAGAACTCAACTTATTTAAATGTGATGGTTTTCAATTGCGGTTGAAATATACTGATCCGGCTGATACTGATTTCTTGCCACAAAACAAGAAAATAGATGTGGTTTTTGTTTGTTCAAAATCTTTTTCACAAAAACGAAATTTACCCCCAAGAATGAAGAAATTTACCCCTGGTTAAGAAATGCTGATCTAGAAAGTTTGTTCCGAGAAAGTGAAGTGGTGTGAATAATAACTGCAAAATCATTGTTCTCTAATCTTTTTTTTTCGTTTCAATTAAAACCTTCCAAATCAGTGTCTAGTTCAGTGAGTTCTAACCTTTTATTACTCGAGGCTCATTTCCGGATGCTTTTAGCACTCGTGCGTTGTCATTACAGTAGTATTTGTAGTGTTCTATCTATTGGTAGATTTCGAATCCCATTAGGTTCAAACAATTCAAGCTCAACAAAGTGAAGACACCGTAGGAAATAATCTTATCAAGCAATCAAACTGAAAAAAACGGGGAGTTTTCTTACAAAAGAAAATTACTTTTGTGGTGGCATTGTGGCCCCCTACCCACATACTGCTCTGTTTTCCTTTAGAAGTTACGATTTAAAACCGTCTAGTTATTTTCTACATTTGTAAAGAAAACACTCAATTTTCAATAAGTTATGTATGTCTCGAGTTTTACTCTTCGTAGATTTTTAATTTCTTTTTCAAGCTGGGTCAGAGTCTATAATATCAAATAAATAAAAATAGCGCTGTTATGATATTTGTTTACGAGACAACAACTATACATATGTATATCCCTGCGATAAAAATGGCAGAAAAGAAATTTATATCCCATTTTGACAAGGGTACTTGTTTCCACTTACATGATTACTGCGCCCTCAATTGGTCTTTTAGTTGAGAACAAAATCAAGTTTTTTTGTTTGCATAATAACGATTTTATTACACTTTCAACACTTTCAACGAAATTAATAAATTTTCAAAAGTACGTCGATTAACAAATATATATTACACATTGATGTAAACACGAATAAACTTATGTATCCCTATAAGCTTGAAGCGTCATGATAATTGAAGACGGAATTTGAACAAAATCCGGAATGAAATTTGCAAGTTTCTTGTACCCGGATAGGTAGAGCATGAGATTTAACTGAAACATACTATTCGGAACAATACCTGAATGGAAAGAAAAAACTGTTGAAGCAATGTTTAAGAGCCTTCGATGATTCCTAAAGTGCATATCTTACGCCTGAAAACCATGTGTTGGCAGTTTTCTTTTGCAGTTGATAATGGCTATAAAAACCGTTTTTTTTTATCTAGAAATTGAGCATTTACCCCTCTCGTCTGTTAATCCGTGCTTTGTGCCAACATCTCGTGTGAGAACAACTTTACCGCTTCTCGTCATGACTTCTGCATGGGGTTCTGAAATATTGATGTCAAATAGTACTTACAAAAGTAAAAAATTGGACAAGACAAAAACGGAGTGATAAAAAGTGGCGAAACATAAACGAGGATACAGACAATGCAAAGTAGAATGGAAGATAGCTTGTATTTTCGATTCACCTGACAATAGTGCAGCAACCGTCTTTCCCACATACGTCGTGGATTCACTGGAATCATAAAATCTCCCGTACTGTAAAGTATAAGAGAGAGATATTTACAGGAATTTTGAAATATTTTATCCAATGATTCAAAACTGAACTCTATTTATCTAGAATCTAGATCTATCATCAAGTATATATTGCCAGCATAGCCGATATATGTAAACAGGTACTCCCGTAGTATGTACCAGGTTAGGGTTAGGCCATAATTTTATTTCTATTTTCCTTATTTTAGTTCTATTACGAGTTTGGGGACTGTCTGTGTTAGCCAAGTGAATATATATATATATCCCCTGCCCATAGGTTTCAGTCTCTTTACACAACTCGATGTAAAGTAGGCGAACAAAATTAGTTACCTCCACATTGGTACACACACTTCTGGAGCGCCTTTAGACGTCCTTTATATCCATAAAATAATTCTACGTACAATCTGGCTCAAGTCATGGATACACGTCTTGAAATTTTATTTTTTCCAATCAAATTTTCTATTTGTATAGCAAAGATTTCTGGCTTAAATCACGCAAGTAGCAAATTACACAAAGAGAAAGAGACTTACCCTACTGGAGAACGGGCCCTCTTCTTTTATATTAGTTATTTCTTCAGTTTTCACGAGACCCGGCCATAGTGATATAAAAGCAACTTTGTATTTTCGCAGCTCAATGGCACAATCTTTAGCCATCCTATCTTTCTGAAAAAGTTTTAATTCATGGACACAAATTCCCACTTCATATTCCAAGTATTATCGAATACTTACCGCACATTTTCCGACCCCATACGGAACAGAGAGGAAGTATCGCATTCCTCCAGGTGATGAGACATTGATGATCAAACCTTGGCGTTTTTCGATCATCATCTTCGATGCGTAGACCGCACATCTATAATGATTCCTGTTTCGGTGAATAAAAATAGCAGCTAAATTGATGTATTCAGATTACAAGTACGAACATTCCAAAATGGCTTTAGTCATGAACTCAGGGGTGCACAACTCAAATAAAGTCTAAGTGTTGAAAATAATCTTGTCGCGTGGAACGACACTTCCGAATAATTCTTGGTGATGTAAACAAACTTCCGTAAAACGCATAATTTCCTAACAACAATTACAGAAACAATTTAATTTCCCAAAAACCGCTGCTTTGATGACGTTTTTGATCGACCAAGTTTGGAATGGTGGCTTCAAATGAGAAATAGCTATTATAATCACTGAATCCAATTATTCATTTTTCACCCGTGTCCGAAGCTAAGTTTTGCTTATTATCATGGTTGAGAATGCACAACAGGCACAAACGCTCAGTGCTGTAGGCTAGCTTAATTTCTTATTCTCAGCTACTTTCTGATAACTACTTTCTCATTTCGACATAAACGTGGTGCATTAGGAATTTTTGTAAATACTATAATTACTTTGTACCGGTGATTATTTACCTACACCACCCAAAAATCCGTAACATAAATAAAAATGTATTTGAATATTCAGAAAATGGCTCATATGCCGTTGAAAATGATCCGTCAATGCATACCACATTTATATAAGTCACAAATAGTTTTATCACTAATAACAAAATATCTACCACCGCCTAAATTTGGAAACACCGCACCCCTCGCCCCCCTGCGCCTCCTAAAAAAATAAAAAGCTGTGGAAGATACTGCTTTGTACAAAACCCTTCGCGTGTTGAACTTCACGCGTGTCCTGTGTTGTGTGTACCCCTGTTCTAATTGAAACTACTAGAAATCTTACAGTAATTACGTTTGATATTGGTTGAATTGTTTCAAACTTTAATCTGTAGAATATAATCTTTAAAATTTGAAACTGTTTCAAAGTATTACAATTCGAAAACTAGGTCGAGTAGTTGATGTTTGGGGCTGTACTCATTACCCTTTCAAACACAGTGGGACAGAAACGAATTTTGATCTCTAAATGCTTCTCGGAAACTGCGTCAATATTGATTCGAAAATTTGTACCTGAGTCCAACATTATTGATTTTGTCCCACGCGTCGGGTGATTGTTCCCAAAACTTTTTTTGAAGGTTTTCAAAAATATACTGCAAAAAAGCAAATTTGCAAATATATATGTCTGAAATGTAGCCTACATCCGTGGATTGGTTTGAAACGTGGCACAAGTGGGGATGTCTCCCATTTCGCACAAAGCCAGAGGATAGACTTTAGAACCACACTCAAAGTTTATAGATCAATGCATTAAAATGCTCTCGCTGATTTTCAAACACCTCACAAGTGCTTATTTAAACAGTTTATACTAAATATTTGTACAATAATAGAGAAATAATAGTTTGAAATTGAATGCCGGGCCGCTTAAGCCTTGCCTAATGGTAAATCCGGCCCTACATATAAAGTTCAATATAATTTTTCAGCCTCCAACTGAAATTAGAGCGTTTGTTACCGAAGCTATGTTCACAAAAAAAAACAGTTACTGCACGACTTGGACCAAAATGCTTAGAGATAAAAAGAGATAAAGCCTATTCGATGCTCCCGAAGTATGCGAACCAAGATGGCGGACATCGGAACGTAACATGGGTAACAGGTTAGGGCAGTGTTTCCCAACCCGAGTCCGCGGTCTCAAAGAGTCCGCGGAGCGTTTGAATGAGTCCGCAACGAGTCAGAAGAAATTCACTGCGAGCCACAAACGTTTTTGCGAAACTTAACTATCAGCCAAGTTATGATTTACGTTAGAATTTACATAAAACATAAAAAGCAAGATTAGTCACATAATATTAATCGAGTCAATAATTACTGGTTACTGAGTAGGGCTTGGCATATCTTCGAATATTCAACTATTAGAATATCAATTTACTATTCGAAAATTTGGTAACAGGTGACGCGACAGGTCACGTTCGCGTCGCCTAATTAAACGATTGGATTTCACAACTCACTTGCGGATTTTCGACGAAAACACGAGGTGGCACACGCGTCGATAGAGAGGCGCAGTTCTTACCACTTCATGGCAGCTCCTGCCACGAACGAACTGCGGCGGCTCATGCCATGGTTCTATAGCGCTATTCAGTATTCAGTAATCAGTATTAACGGTATATTCACAAATTAATGTACCAGATTTTAATTGATAATGCGGAATTATATCTACTTAAACCCTAACCCTAACTCTAAATCCATCAAAACTGTATTCATAAGAAAAACGTTCAACTTACCCAATATTTGTCACCATAAGGGACAGCCCTGTCTTTACGGCCCACCTGCCGTGGTTACAGCAGCAAAATTTTACCTGCCATTGGTTTTCAATTTGCTGCCGCGTCAACGGCAGCTCGTCATTGGTTCGTGGCGGGTGAAAAAGCCAGTCGCCATAGGTTTGGCCGTAGCGGCCATGGTATGGAAATACCGCCATGGTTTTGCGGTAGCTGCGGACGCCACAGAATACTTAAATCTGCACTTGTCGATAGATACCTAAGTGGTGTTTTTTGCGAGTTCGAACAACGAGGAATAAATTTTTAAATAAGGTGTCAATGGTGGCGACCCAAATTTTTTAAATTGGAAAGCGACAATACAAAATACAACGCAGAAGACCATAAGTTTTGTTTTTATGATGGTCCGTGAAAGATTAAAACCGCTTTATTAGACATTGCAAATCGCAAAATTCCGGGTGCTACCGTGGTATACGTACCAGGACATTTCACCTTATTTGCCTCCACATTGGTACGTACTGTACTGAAGCGCCGAACAGTTCAGATTTGTCGAATTCACAAAAATACGAATCAAAACAAAATATAATCGGGCATTTTACCACGTATTTTTGTGTCCACGCGGATTGTCATGATACTTTTTGAGGAGTATTACTTTTTTTTCGTCAACACAACCGCAGATTAAAATGATCACAATTAAATTAATAATAAAGCAAGGCGATGAATATGTATTTTTGATTTACTAATATATATATATACTTTAAATATATTTTTAATAAAAATACTAAATCCAGTTGTACTTCCTAGAAATTTATAGCAGATAGTAGAATTTTTTTAACGGCGATGACAAATTCGCAAGATCGCAAAAAATAATTCTTAAAACTAAATATAATCAGGCAATATATTCTCACATTATTATTTTCGCAGATTGCTGTGGTATTTTAAAGAAGTAATGCTTTCATCTTGTCGTAAGTCGACGCAACCGCGAGTTACCATGAACACAAATAAAGTAAAATAGAAAGACATTTCAAATTCTCGTCGTTGTCATGGATTGAATATTGTGCGACAGAAAAGGCCAGTATACAATAAAAAAAAGTCGGCTCTTTCAACAAACGCGTAATTGCGGCGAATTTCCGATTTTAAAATTCGTTAAAATCTGTTGTTTGGTTTTATTGTTTCTTCACACAGAGTACGGTTGCAATAAACGCACCTTGAGTCCGCAAAAGTTTTAGCCGGTGAGATAATAGTCAGCGATCAAAAAAGGTTGGGAAACGCTGGGTTAGGGTTAGGCGATAATTTTTTTCCAATTTTCCTTATTTTAGTCCTATTATCAGTTCGAAGACTAGCCAAGAGCCCCCCGTAGTATTTATACCTAAAATTATGGCCTAACCCTAACCTAGTACACATATTACATTCCGATGTCCGCCATCTTGGTTCGCATACTTCGGGAGCCCCGCCTATTCATTATAGATTGGATATAATAATTGAAAAACGACGTCAATAGCGCATGCCTACCCTGACTGCTGAATAAGCATTGTTAACGAGAAGATCGAGTTTTCCATCGTTTTCTCTATCAATTCTCTCGAACACACTCTTTACTTCTGAGTCGTTTTCATGATCGCATTGCACTGGGATACACTTGCCACTTCCTCCCATACTCTCAACCTGAAGTAAGGTATGAGGTCATATATAGATATATCTTTTATTCAAATTTGAAAACCATACATTTAGAAAGCTCGACAACGCTACTTCGATATTATATATTGGAAAGTTAAAAAAATCTTAATTTCCACTCAATAGCTTCTAAAATTTGCATATATATAGCTGTATTTCTTGGTAGTGATGGTGAACCAAAATGACAGAAGAAGAGATATTTACCTCTTGGTTGGGAAATGAAGAAATTCCGTGGATTTTGAAAGAAAAACCAACCTCGGCACCCCAAGAAAAAATATATTATGCGAATAAAACATTCGAATCGCTCACCTCTTTATTGAGTTTTTCCAAAGTTTCCATATTTCGTCCTGAAACATAGCATGTTGCACCATGATATGCTAACTGGATCGCAATGCCTTTTCCTATTCCCCGAGAGCCACCGGTTACTAAACATATTTTGCCCCTTAAATCAGTTATTCCAGAAGGTTTTCTATACATTTTTAATGTTGATACTAATTTTTCAAACATGAAACTGAATATTCCATAAACCAAATGACATCGATTCTATCTTTATGGCGAAGGCTTTAAGTTGATCAAATATTTGCTTTACTCTGGTGTGACTGGTACATATTGACACAGTTCCTATCGACACACTGACTTGCATTTTCAGATTTTGCATTCAAAGTCTACTTATATTTTGTGATATGTTCCCGCTCATCATTGTACTGATTCCCAGTTCCACCACACAAGCAGAAAATGACATATATTTCAGGCCATTTGTTATGTTTGATATGATTCCATACCATGCGGGGCTTCCAAAGCGAATACATTTAAATAAATCAGCTTCGGGCCGGCACAATGCTAAAAGTAATATGACATTATATTTTCTCGTAAACATTTGTCATATACATATATATATTCAAGCTCAATATCAGTAACTACCGAATGCGGGAAAAGAATAATATAACGTATCTTTGGGCAATTATTTGGGCGCTTCAGAAGTATGTGTACCAATATGGAGGTAACTAATTTTGTTCGCCCACCTTACATCAAGTTGTGTGAAGGGACTGAAACCAATGGGCAGGGGGTATATTCACTTGGCTAATACAGACACTCGTACACGTGAACTCGTACACATACCTCGGAAGTACCACTATTTGTGCCTCATGGGTGCATTGTTAATCTCCGTTACCTACAAGATGATTCAAACTTCCATTCCCAAATTTAATAATTGAATGAACAAATCTGGATTTGAAGCTGATGTCGAATTGATTTTAAATGTTAGTGATTCTGCCATCTTAGTGGTCCTACTGTCGTGTAGTATAGGAACATACTCAAGTATTGCTTGCACTTGACTACACATCTACTAAGAACGTATTGCTGAAATCATACTAGAAGTGCGTTATTTATTGAAGCGCGGCATTTTGTCGATGATATCCTCTTGAGTTAAGCAACTTCTAACATCTATTCTTAAATGTATAATATTTTAACTATTCAATTGCAATCGCTTTTTAACTTTTATCTCGAGTATTAGGTATCTAAATGATTCAAATTATATTTGGTAAACTTACGTACGACTGAACCAGTAAGGTGCGATCGTAAAAACATGGCGGGAAATTGAATGTTCTGCTGACCAATGCTTACTCAGCTGTTTAGTACTTTTATTTCTAAAAATATATACCATCACCAGTAATTTCGAAATACCGCGTGCAAGAGGGCGAAGCCGATATTCGTGGAAATAAATACAAAAAAATCAGTTGAAGTCGTATTGATTTCATTTATCATATTACATTGCACTCTCAACTACGTCTATAACATATCGTTTGGTCCTTCAATATGGTTAGATAATGTATCAATCTAAATTCGGTTGCTAGCTTGAGGTTTTATGTTACATCTTAATTATGTTAGCATAGCAGGTTGTAATCTCGAGATCAAGTCTTATGCCCACTGCCTCCCCTCGGACTAGTGCAGTGGTTTCCAATCTTTTCCGATGAATTCCTATCTTTGCGTATTTCGGATCTTCTTATTCATTCCTTACTAGGTATAAGAACTCTGTTTCCGTTATTTGTTCAACTGTTCAATCATAGGATAGAATATGATTTACCTATTTATCCCGGGGGTGAGAAAAGCCGATAAGACATCTTAAGCATATGGCGAACCACGGCCTCTCGACCTCGGCCAGCCCATTTATTCGGCACGCGAGCGAGGCCTCAGAAACGAGATCATTCTCTTTCAGATAAAAAGTTTCGAGGCTCTGATTTATCTGATGAAGCTCGGTGTTTGTTTATTCATTATCGTTTGGTAACAATCTGTTATTCATTTAAAATTTTAAACTCTTTTTGTCTTTTCATGACATATGGCCACAAAGAAATATATTATGACGTAACAACTGAGTTAGCTCAGCTCTCTCAGACGAATTGTGACGAGACACAGCATTCATTTTGGGGGTTCATTGTTACGTAATATATAGTCTGTGCCACCATTTTTCTTCATTTCTGATTAATTTATGAAGTTGTACAGCTCATGTTGGTTAGAGTTACTTGCTAACTTACTGAAATAAATTGATTTCGAAAGAAATATAAGCAATTATAGAAGGGAATACAAGAGAGAAGTGCAGAAAACGAACTATCGCGTGATTGGGAAGCCATTCCCGAGAATTTTTCGTGTCTCAAAAATTTTGCAACTGCATGTTTTTATCTACATATGCTTGTGACTTTCTGTTCTCAGTTATGAACTTTATTAAGTCTCATAACAGGAGTAGCCTGAAAGATGAAACCAGTAGTTCGTAACTTTCTCTCAGTGTAAATCTCTATCAACGGTAATGCAGTAGCAGAAGTCTCACTTATATAGAATAAGAAAAGTAATCAAATCTATTTGTCGGTCTGATATTTTTCCGAATAGTGAATCTGTCTGTAGTTTACATATTTAGGAGGTTTATTATTGTGTATTTTTGCTTTAAAAGTAACAAAGCATTGTTTTTAATTTTGGTCGGCACCCGGAAGAATTTTGTCGTTAAATTTAGTCGATTTGGGCACGCGAGCCGAAAAAGGTTGCCCACCCATGACGTAGGCTAATCATTTTTGAAGAAATTGTACATTATGAAAATGATTTAAACCTGAGATGTCAGTTAACGGTTAAAATAAATCGTAACCGTTAACCATCTAAAGCGGTTAATCATTTCCAGCCCTACTATTGATGCTTTACTCCGATGGGGCTAAAAAATTTACCAAACCAAGAAAAGGATTAACCTGAATGGTATTTAAGGACTAATGCCCTTTTAATGAGTCGACTATACCCCAGACCATACTTCCCATATACATATGATGGGCATCTACGGTTTCATATTATAAAAATATAATATTGGTAATAATAATGTTTTTGAATTCCTGGGGTGTTGTGGGGTCAGGCAGATATGACGAATCACGGCCTCTCGTTCGGTTACCAATCCCTGTCGAGCATGAAGTTAGGTAAATAAAGAAATTTTTTTTTTTTTGATGATGCAACAAGGCGTAATCGAATAACAGTTTCGTAATCCCGCGATCTTGAGTCTCTACTGCTACAAGCGATGCTTTTGAAATGAAAACATGTGCTATATCACCTGTGCTGTTCCTGAACAGAGATCGTCAACATCAATGAACGTTACTCGCCGATTCGACATAGCCTATGCCTTACGTTGATTGAATGTTACCGTATCGAGTGAACTAGGTAGGTTCAGAATGAGCTTAAGTTAAAAATGTACTACTGCTGTATCGATAATAAAGGATTCAACAATGACGTAACAATTGCAACTGATTATGGAGTCAAAATAAACCTATATTGTACTTAAAACTGATAACTTGCGTGCAGAAAGATATTTAAGCTGATGGCTGTAAACATTGCCTATTTTTTGTGAGTTTTCGAATGTATTTTCTAAAATTAGTTGTAAATCAAATATTTTAATTGCCATGTTGTCTTTCGAGGAACTTTAGTTAGCCAGCGATATTCAAAAATTAGTTCCGGAAAATTCGCGATAAACTTAAGCTAAAATTAACCATCATTGATTGTTTCCATTAAAATGATGGTTTTGGCATCCAAAATTTTGCCATGCTCAAGTATAGCAGTATAGAGAGAATTCTACGGGTTAGTGTAGTTTTGTATCTACATGTCAATCCTAATCGCTACCGTACCTGACTATGCCATCCAAAAATTACAGAATTATGTCACAGTGACGTAATAAGGTCCGCCAAACTGTACGAACTGTCATTCAAGACGAATAGACGATCACCCGAAATGGAACAAGCTATTTTTTTGTCGCAACAATCCCGATATGAGAGAGATCACTGCCGATAGTGATTTCTTTATTGTCGGCGCAGATGTCATTTCGGGCGATTGTATGTATACTTTAGCAAGCTTCATGACGTGTTTGTGATGACGGAATTTTTGGATGGTTCAGTCAGGTAGGGGCTAGGATTGCTGGATTGACTTGTGCAAAAATTGTTAAGCTACGCCCACTAGTAGGCTCAAAACTACATGAGACCCAAATTTTTCCTGGTTCAAGGGCCGAGGAACATCTATTGATTTCTAACGAATTCAGATATTCAATTTATTTTAAACACCTCTGATTGCATGATAGTGATTTTTTTTCAATTTTACTCCATCAAAGCTTCCTACAGACCGTCTAGTCACCTAAAAAGTCCTGGCCAATAGCTGAATAGCAAACACAATCTCTGTATTAATTTCTTAAGATGTAACAAACTTGTTATCATTCCTAACTGGGAATGGAAAATTATCAATTGATGTAATAACAGTCAGACAGTCACGTGACTGTAACCACCAACATTGTAAAAATACTTATCTAAAATAAAATGCCATAAATCCATTTACAAGAGTCTCAATATAATTTGAATATTTCAGTATTTTGGTGTAGTATAGCTATATATAATACTTATCAAAAGCGTTAGTAATGGCTGAGAATTGTGGGGACATGGAGGCTGTGATAAAATCTCAGGAAGAAGTTGTCGATTCTCTCATGAACGATATGGAACAACTTGAGAAGGGGACCTATGATTTCAAAGGTGATGAGCTCAATAGTGAAAAAATAAAAGAATTAACAACAGCAAATACGAAATTACAATATCAAAAAGGTCATCTTCAAAGGAATTTGGATGCTGAATTAGCTCGCAGTGATGTCAATAAATGTATGCCAAATATCAGTGCTGGCTTGGGTGCTATATTCCAAATCGCAATTCTCAAAGCTGTACCTGATGTCTCTGATCCTCCTGTAGCAATCACTCCAAGTCAGAATGAAAAGTTTGGAGATTATCAATGCAATAGCGCAATGGGAATTGTTGGTTTATTAAAAGCTGAAGGACAAAAGGTTTCGCCAAGAGATATTGCGGCAAAAATTATCGAAAATCTTCCTGAAAATCATCTAATTAAATCTGTCGATATTGCTGGTCCTGGATTCATAAATATTCGCATTAAAGAAGATTTCTTGATGCAAGCAATTGCTAATGTTGTATTGGTAGGAGCGTCTCCTCCACCTTTGCAAAAGCAGAAGAGAGTTATTATTGATTACTCATCTCCGAATATTGCGAAGGAAATGCATGTTGGCCATCTACGTTCAACAATCATTGGCGACAGTATCAGTCGATTATTTGAATTTCTTGGACATGACGTTTTGAGGCTGAACCATGTTGGTGACTGGGGAACGCAATTTGGAATGTTAATTGCACATTTGACGGACAAATTTCCGAATTTTAAAACGGAGTCGCCACCTATTGGTGACTTGCAAGCTTTTTATAAAGAGTCGAAAAAACGATTTGATGAAGATGAAGAGTTTAAAAAAAGAGCGTATAAAGCCGTCGTCAAATTACAAGGAAAAGAAAAAGATTATATACAAGCTTGGAATCTTATTTGTGACGAATCAAGGAAGGAGTTCCAAAAAGTTTACGACAGACTGCAGATTCAAAATTTGAAGGAGCGAGGAGAATCTTTTTATCAGGATATGATGCTCGATGTGGTAAAAGAATTGAACGAAAAAGGTCTTTTGAAAGTGGAAGATGGCAGAACGCTAATGTTTCCACCAAACTGCTCAATTCCTTTAACGATTGTTAAATCTGATGGAGGGTTCACTTATGACACAAGTGACATGGCTGCGATCAGACAAAGAATTAACGATGAGAAAGGTGACATTCTTATTTATGTCACAGATTCTGGACAAGGAACACATTTTCAAACCATTTACGCCGGTGCACAAATGGCTGGTTGGTATAACCCGAAAGAAAAAGTTGTTCGACATGTTGGATTTGGTGTTGTGTTAGGTGAAGATAGAAAAAAATTTAAAACTCGTTCTGGAGAAACTGTACGACTCATTGATCTGCTTGATGAAGGTTTAAAACGTTCCAGAGATAAATTAATTGCCAAAGAAAGACATCTTGTACTTTCTAAAGAAGAGCTTCTTGCAGCAGAAAAGGCGGTCGCTTATGGTTGCGTCAAGTATGCAGATTTGAGCCACAATTACGTCAACGATTACGTGTTTTCATTCGACAAGATGTTAGATGACAGGGGCAACACTGCTGCTTATCTCCTTTACGCTTACACAAGGATAAGATCAATCAGAAGGAACGCTGATGTGACGAAAGACAGTTTGTTAACCACAGCAAAAGAATCTGGTGGAGTGCATATGGATCACCCGAAGGAATTCAAGCTTGCCAAATGCATCTGCAGATTCACAGAAGTTCTGCAGAGAGTAAGTGAAGATTTGGCACCACACACATTATGCGATTACGTCTACGAGCTGTCGACAACTTTCACGGAATTTTACGATTCATGCTATTGCATAGAGAAAGATAGAAAAACAGGAGAAATCATTAAAATCAACAAAAATCGCTTGCTTCTCTGCGAAGCCACTGCAGAAATAATGGACAGATGTTTTCATATATTGGGCTTGACTCCAGTTGAGAAGATGTAACTGAATTCCAGTGTTCTCATCGCTGCCACTTTGGTATGCTATCTCACTCGCCTAATGTGATCTCATAAAGACATTCTTATGGAGTTCAGTTCCTAACTAAAATCACTGAGATAGCAAACCGAGATTGCATACCAAAGTAGCTCGTGCTCATCTGCTTTGCAAAATTTGTATTTTCGCCAAAATTGTTGTTGTTTAGATCTAAAGAGATTGTGTATTAATATTGTTGGATCAAGCATCTGTCATTCGCATACTAACTTTATCTGTGGACCATGCTAAGCTTAATTTAAATTTTGGCATTGCGTATCTCTTCAATGTATACACGTGTTCCAAAAATCTTGCGCAATCCCCAAATTTCTTCTGTACATATATTTTGAGTTATTGAAATGAATTTATTTTATTGATTCTCGGCAATGACATTTGGCGATCAGTATCGGTTTCAAACCAATGATATTTATATTTTCTTCCCCCCAAATGGGACTGTTTTGGGCTTCGTTTGGCGCGAAAATGTGCCAACTTATAAAAAATGTTCAATAATACTTTCCAAGTTCCAATTGTGTTTTTCAAGGAATTTAATAGGAATTGGTAAAATTATGGTCCAACTCACTGTTATTATATAAATCTTCACATTTTCATATCAAATTCATGGTTTATATGCTTTTTAAATTTAGCATCATTTTTCTTGAAATATACAACAATATAAACTTTTAAAAACCATAATCCTTAAATACTAAACTTTTTAGAGAAGGACCAGTTCCAACATGATTTTTGAATTCTTTCGGTAAACTGAAAATGAAGGTGGTAGTATAGTTGGTGTATCTAGGATTGGTGAGATACATTTTGCAAAAAATGGAATAATTTAAACATGCATAACTGAATTATCTTGTTTTATGGATACCACAATAATCGACACAGTTTGAAAAAATTCATTTAAATTCGATTTCTAACGTAATTTTATATACAGGTGTCCAAAAAATGTTGTCTGATTTTATAGTAATAACAATTGAAAATTCCTTGGTCTTTGTTTATCAATTACTCTTATTGCGCTTGTAGTTCTCATTTATCACACAATAAAATTTATTTCAACTTGCAATTGTTATCTAGAAAATCGGGCCAAATTTTTCGGACACCTTGTATAAAGCATAGAACAGCCAAACCCATCTAATTTGTTTATTATTCTATAGGTATAAAGTGATGGTTAAAATAGTCTTAAAGAAGGATATATTCAAATATATACAGGATATTGAATATATCCAACCACAGACTATCATCATGTGCAGTATTTTTCGAACCAGTTTTTTTTCTTCAAACGAAATAAATGCCAGATTATAATAGCTTAGTATTATTAATATGTTGTTTTTTTGACATTATGGATTGAGACCGAATGAAAATAGTACCTATAAAAATAATTTACTGTTTGTTTTGACTGGGTCTGTGGTGAGGAGTCGATAAAAAATATGACTCTAACTAGTTGAAGAAAATGTTGACAGTTGGCACTCATCTCAAAATTCCAAACTTTTGAGCCATTTAGAAAGCAGAAAATTTTGACACCCATCATGATTGTCAACCGCAAGAAAACTTTGGTGTATGTTCGATTGTCTCTAAAAGTCGACTCCATGATTTTCCAGTTTCTTCAATTATCATCTTTAGAACTCTTAATTCCAACGTCAAAAGAGTAGAATTTTCCATTTCTCCTCCGATTCTATCATTTTGGAAATACGACTCTCGACACCACAGTCTTGATTCTGAATATCTGTAGATATAGTAATTCATTTTTGAAGGCTTGATATGCAGCTTGCTAATGAACTATCTTTTGAATTAGAAAATAAAATGTAAATTTCTAATCTGTGGCATTGGGTTTGACCATGGTTCATCAGTTCATATAGTTAGGAACAGGATTGTATTCATTGTTTAACAACAGATTGAGTCAATCATATGGCTTCACTTATAGAAGATATCATTGGGTTTATAGAAATGGTGAAGAAGGATATGATGAAAATGAAATCGAGTCAGGTTCACTTCACTGCCTCTTGGTTGGAAAATGTTAATTTGTATGTACATTGTTGTGGACAAAAGCTAGGGTTGGGCAAAATTATATATTTTCATTAAATATTTGTGAAGAATACGGAATAGTTCTAATCTACAATCGAGTTGAGATCAGTGTGATTATTTCGTCTGTCGACAACATAACGTCGGTAAAGTACTACCTTTCTATCAATTATTTTGTTTAAGTATTTAATTTTTTTTTCATTTCTTGCATAATTATGCGTTCAGTCAGACAAACGCGAAAGTTAGTAAGCGTTCATCGACGAAAGACGTTATAAGTAATTACACAAATTATTTTCATTCGAATTCGAATATTTGTAGTCATATCAAAAAGGAGTAGTTTGAAATCACAATGATTGATAGATATTCCGATTCGGCTTTCAGTCACTCCAACTCAGCAGTCAATTTATTGAGTGTATTCCGGATATCGAAAAATGCAGACTCGGGCTGTGACAAATTAAGTGAACATTTAAAAAAAAATCATCAGAATGCGTCGCATGGTCATGTGATTTCTAATAACCAATGAAAAAGCATCTTCATTTTGCGGTCTCCTTCGCCCGCTTTGTTTCTTTATTATACCTACACTTTTTTCTTGCCACGTCAAAATTTGTCTGCGCTCAGGCGGTGTTTTCAAATTTGACGCCGTCAGGTAAGCACTGATTTTATTTTTGCGTTCTGTGGTTTATGTTCATCTTGTAATCCAACTTCGTATTACCTCACAGACATTTTTAATACTTTTATAGCTTTAATAATGCAGTTACATTAAACTTGGGCCTACAATTATTAATTTTAAATGTCCACAAAGTGGAATTGCGATTACAAGATCTGAAGTTGGTGAGATAAATCCGAATCGGAAGATCCAATGCTTATTAGAGATAAACTTTATCCATCAGTTAGGCCATAGCATAGTACTAAATGCTTCTCCCTCGTGTGTAATGATTGAATTAAAGACGACGGCGTAAACAAATGGAGGCGATCGACAAGAAAATATTCAAGTTAGAATATTCATTGTTGAATTCCTACCATCGTCGGGTGCGGACGTGGCTACTTGAAAAGACTAGAGAATGCTACGCGTTGTGTGTTTCGGTATTTACTGTTGGATTCGTATTGCGTAATATCAACATGATCGAAGCCCGTCGGCCGGAATTACATCGTGCCCGATTGCCCGATTTTACATCGTGTTTTTGTTTTATTATGTTCTTTTGACTGTTTTGGTGGACGGGCACGTGCTTGTACGTTTTAACTTTTTTATTAAGTTATGCCCGTCCTCCAGGTCCTCTGCATTTTGTTTGTCCGTTTGTTGTTGTTTTGTTTCTTTCAGAGTGACCAAAATAAAATTGATTGATTGATTGATAGAACAAGTAAGAAATTTTGTATTCAAATTTATGCTTTGGATAGAAATTGCCCTGTTTTGGCTTTTAGCTTGTGTTAAGCTTTTATTCAGCCTCTATATATTGCATCTTATCTATATTATATATTTCAGATCGTGTTTATACAAACTGTCTGAATGTGAACAAACTGCGAATGTTGACATCGGGAACTGATTGAGCGGAAAGTAAAGCGCGGTTAAATAAATATGCAATAATTCAGGGATTTTAGTTAGGCCATAATAATAGCACTAGATTGATAATGAGAGTAAACTTGTGTTGGATCAAAGACCCCTGGGAAGATATGCCTGTGCAATGATGTTTGGACCATTTCATAAATAAGATCTACATCATTGATGAAATAAAAGCTCAACATAGATGCGGTTGTGTTGGGATGTTCCGGATATAGTACAGGTGATATTATTTGCTTTAATTTTTTTCAAATTATTTCAACGGTCACTTCTTTCGTTTCTTGTTCATATCCAAACTTTTTGTCATGTCAAGAATTTACCTGGGCCCAAGTAGCGTTTTCTTTTTCCATATCTTTCACAGTTATACCAATGCAGATGAACCTAGGTTTAGGCTACAGTTGTTCATTCAAATTGTCTACCAATCGGAACTGTCGAGGTGAAACGAAAGACGAAAGATACATGACAAATAGGAATAGCTAAAGATAAACTAATTAACAATACAGTTAGGCCATAACATAGTATTGAAGCGATGATTGTTGCCAAATTCCTGAATCGAAGACTCACGGAAGTTTTGTTGAAAAGAGGCGATCAAGGGATTAATAAGGAAACTGGTAATTTATTCACATTTAAAAGTACAAAACCGCATGACAATATAGTATACAATTTTATCCAAACCAAGTTTTAGGATTCCGCCACAGTGTCATTGTATTGTCTTTTTATATTCCCCTTAACATAAATCTGATTACATATTGAGGTTTCATACTACTTCGCGGTGACCGTACATTTGAACCCATGCGTATATCCACGGGTTCAATCTATATGCGGGTGCTAAAACCCATGGGTTAGGGTTAGTATGGGTTTAACTATGAGTGAAACAAAAAAAATTCTATAGGTGCAATAGCATACAGGTGCAATTGTCATGGGTTCAAATGTACGTGGGTTCAAATGTAATGGAACCTACTTCGCTCTTGCGTCGAGAAACGTAAATTTGTTGTAAATGCATTCGAATGTATATTTTGAATAGATTTCCAATGTATTCTCAGTTTGTGCTGTTCCACAATATTCTAACGGCAATTAACAAATGATCTGATTGCATTTGCATGATTTTCGTTTACTTGCAGGCGATTTTATGTTTTTACGGTTATGTTTACTAATGCAGTTAGACTAATATTAGGCCTAAAATTATTGACTCTGTTTGGAATTGGACCACGAAGTTTGGGAATGTTGGCATCGGGATCTGCTGGAGGCAACAAGGTTAGGTGGACATTATAAAGTATGAAGTACAGTATTAGATTTGACTTTGCATTTAAAATCCGGGTGGAAGTCGTTTTATTCTTTTGTAACTTTCATATATTGTAAACCAATACCCTTTTTAAGTTTTTCATCAACCATTGGGATTATTTTTGTTGACAAAACTAATAAGTAAGATTAAAAAAGTCTTTAAATCCACGCTTCGTGCGAAGGAGGCCCCATTTTACGTCTTATAACAATTGAAAGGATCGTCATACTATTATGTTGTTGTTTTTTGTTCATTTTATTGTTAATACCTTGTTATAAAAAATCGCTTTTCTAGTTTGGGATTCGCTTATTTTCTCGCTATGTCGTCGTGTCAAAATTAGTAAAAGCGAACCTTGCTAAAGCTAACCTTGTAAGCGAACCTTGTAAAAGCTAACAGTACTGTAATCCCTCGCGTACTGCTCCAATTTCAAAAGCCACACTAACTTTTGTACTGCTTTAATGCGGATATTCATGTAGGTATGTTACAAAAAAATGAAGTTCATCCGATTTAAATAAAAACTAACGGAGATATCGGAATTTTAGTACCGCCCAACAGCCAATTTTTTTCCATAATGATTGTATTACTTTTTTGATAAGAACTGTACTAAAAATGGAAAAATAACACATATCAATCACTCATCTTTCGATGTGCGTCACATCTATGGTATATTGAGATAATTTCAGGATTTTATTCTGGCAACGGTCATTGACACCGCCGAAAGATCGTCGCAAATAAACGCAGTTGTGCATGATAGTCTGACAGTGGTTCATTGTGGCTAATAATTAACGATGTTCTGATTGTACGAACTTCATAAAAATTGGTAAGTATCAAGTTAGACAAGAAATACACACGTCCATATAAATTTTATTGGTGTCCATAGAAAATATCAATAATTTGCACTACGTATACCTGGAGCGTAATTTTTAAAAGCGTCGAATGTTGGGAAATTTATGCGCTAATGAAAAAATTCAAATACCAGATAATAGTTGTTTATTTTATCTAAATTATGTCAATTTCATAGAATTCCAAGCTACAGCAGTTAGTCGTTTTTATGAGCGGTATTTCAACACGGCGTAACGGTACTTAGCAGACGTGATGCGTACATTTTTTGCCGCGGATTTTGTAACATTTCTAATTCATGACAGCAACGTTTTGATAACAGCTAAACTCAGGATAGTTGTCTAGATATAGAAATCTTGTTCATTTTTTTTCCTAGGATGTTCTCGATCTATATTCTGCGATATTCCCAACATTTGTGAATTTATTGTATTGCATTGACAAAAATATTCATCCGGCCCGTTTCAACACAATTTGAGTCATACCCGGCCCGTGGTCAAAAAAGTTTGGTGACCCCTGGTTTATATGTTATGAATCATGACAGGTGTCCGAGGTGTTTAAGAACAGAAGCTTCAAAATTAATCTTTTTAAAAATATTATCTAACGGACATAATCAGAATCCGATGTTTGTGTTACAGAAATTGTCGAGGGGGGAGTTATTCTTTAAATGAATCTATTGGAAGCTGAAAACTATTTGTGAAATCAATGTACGACTTTCGCTGCATCTGAGACAAAAACAAGTAAGTTAGTGCAAAAAATGTGAAGAAAATTGAAATTACTATCAAACTAATCAACGTGCAGTTTTTCTACAATGCGATGTTTTTGTTTTGCTTCAGGAATTGTCGAATTCTAAAAAGTCAATAAAAAAGGTGCTTGAAAGTATTCAATGCAAGTAGAAGCAAGGTACGGCTTTCCTGCGTGTCTCAAACATAAGCAAGGTAATTTAACTTTTTTAACTTTTTATCATTGGCAATTTTTTCCTCCACGAGCTTCTTGGGGATGAATTTTGCTCAGTACTTGCCGTAGTGTAGTTATGTACACATGAACTACTCGAATTGTACAAAAGCGTGAGTGCGCATTGTCTATTAAGAACAGATAAGGTAGTTTTTATGCATAGCGAGGGGATAAAAATATGCGATGGGAGGAATTCAACGAAAAAGCATGAACCACTGCTATAGCATTACTGACCCTTGCAGTGGTCGTGTTTTATGAAATGAATTCAATTCACACTCAAATTAATTCCGAGCCAAAACATCGTATATATATGTACCGGCATAGGCATCTATGTGTTAAGTGCGATATGAATGAATGCAAAACAGCGCATAGCGGGGGTTACTTCGATTCGGTTCGACAGTTTTCTTAACTGTATTTTATCATGCAGGTTTATTTCCCGATGACGAGCATAAGCGAATAAGATGAAAGCGAATCTCACGAATCAAAAAAGAGTTTGTTGAAGTAAGTATCCCAGTGAAGAGGAAAGTCGACAAGACGGATTGATCTCGTGGGTACCACGGCTTCTCGTTGGATGTATGAACTTGGTGGCGGAGGTAGCTCTGACCGACCAGCGATTACGTAAACAACCTAGAAGTCCCTCCATGATTCAAATATCAGATTATTTGAATTTGACAATTACCATGACTTACTCATTATATCATGTTGTCGTAACCCTCTTTGAGACGCGCGCGTGCTTCAGCTTGTGGTCCGCAATCTTTAAATAGTTTCTCCCCTTTGCATATTTCTCTTTGCTATGCGTGAACAACTGTTTCAGTTTTCTTCAGGTTTATTAGATGGCTGACAACTCGCTCTCTAGCGTTTTAAGGTTTAAATAGTGGTGTGCATTAATATCACTCAAATAACCAACTTATGGAATTTTTTTGCTTGCCATGATAGAAAGACATGACTTTTTAAAATAATCAAAAAAGTAAGTCTTGCTTCCTCTCGTTACTCGCTTTGTATTTTTTGTTAGGTTGAGGTCAATTTTTGACTGTAGAGTTTCTTGCTCGCCAATTCACCCTCAACGTAGGCCTAATTCATCCTTAGGGGGATAAGTTTATCCCGCACTCACACCCCTATTGTTTCATAACTGATCCACAAGATGTATTTTAGAAGTTGTATAAATTCTATTGCGATTATGTACCAGTAATTACTCATTACTCAAGCATATAATAGTCTTCAAACGAAATTCTATCAGTGGTTCACAAACTTTTTAATCCACTCCCCCTTTTTAGAATTTGTCAAGTCTAGTGCCCCAATTCAAAAATAACTATAGCCAACAAAAAGCTACAAATAACAGATGGTAAGACGAAAGCATTTTTTTATTTAAGCGTAATAATCCAAAATAAAGAAATATATGTATATATCAAAAATAAAACGGGCAAGATAAAAATCTAACAAATATAAATATTTTTCATTAGCGCCCCTGTTTGAGAACCACTGCCCTAAAGTAAACTTGTTATTCTTGTTGGTTGAAGTAAATTTTCGACTGCAGGATTTATTGCTCAGTAACTACTCGCTACCCAAGCATATAATATTTTTCAAAAAATCTCTACACGACCATCTACTATCCCTATTAAACCGATATCAAACTTTATTCTTTGAATCATGCAGGCTCTGTCCGGATTACCGAACAAGCTGTTGAAGCAACAACGGATCTCACAAATCATCTATCTGTCTGTTGAATTAGGTATTTGTAATTGCATGTAGAATTTCAACTCTAAAGTATTGAAATAGTCTTCTCCTACCGCTGTGGAGTCTGGAAATGTCGTTTCATTTATTTGGCACAGTCTTGTGTACTTGGGAAGAAGAAATCTTAAAATCCAATAGTTCATGAAGAGTTCACAAGTTATACATTTCGAGAGTTTTGGTAATATAGGTGAGCGAATATTCCAGTTGCGAAAACGCACTTCTTTGCCTCATTATTTGCTGCTTTTTCCTCAATACGCTAACAGAAATAACGATAAAGACTGTTGGACATGAAGTGGACATACAAATCGTTTTGTATTATGTTATTAATACGTCCTAATCAGTGTGGCATCTCGCGGTTTATTTCGAATTTCATGTTCCTACTTTTTGCATGACTGACTTCAATTAGGTAAATGTCTAATATTCCATATCTATCCTGGCATCCTGTATTCTATTTTGAAACTTTGTTGTTATTTTTATGTTTAGATAATATTCCATAGTCATTGTGGCATTTGTTTTTATTTGGCATTCTTTTTGTTGTCCTTTTTTATATGATTATGTCAAATTTAGTAAATGTTTAATATTGAAATTCTGGACCGCCTGAAGTATGCGCACCAAGATGGCGCACAACCTGAACTCTGGTTGTGTTGCAGGTTAGGGTTCAGGTTGTGCGACATCTTGATACGCATACTTCAGGAGTACCGAAATTCTTTTTCTTGTTCCGGTGATGGAAAAATCTTTTCTCTATTAACTAAAACTATCAAAATTAAAAATTGCGCACCTTTTGGCATAGTCTACTGAGACGGATTTCATACTCGTACTATTTCGTTTTGGTTTTAGTGTCTGTATATTTGAGCATCGCTATCGTGATGTATCGAGTTGAAAGCTTAGATTCGAATCTTATGAATTTTTGAGTTGACTTGTGCCTTGTGCAAGTCGATGTTTAAATTTTTAGAATCTGTTTTTCATCGGTAGTGTGAAATGTAATCCCTAATCGCCCTGTACCATGTTGAATCTGTTTTTATATTTCAGCTGCGTTCTGGATTGGAAGGCCTAAAAGAGAGTCGACAACCAGACCCGTTGAACATTGGAATAAATGGTCGTTCCATTTTGATCATATAAATCGTGTATTTAAATTTTTTTTATAACCATCCATATACCAGAGCTTGTCCGATACCAAAGCTGGCCCCCAGCAGTGACCTATCTGCGTGAAATGGCGCCTATGGCAAAGTTTAAAAGCGCCCTCTTGGTCGTTCACTGAAATTTTTACTGTTTCTTGCTTTGGTTTACTTGTACGTTATTATTATAAAGAAGTTGTTTTGTCAGAATGAGGTTTGCCCTCGTCCAAATGGCGCCCATGGCAGTAGCCCTCTTGCCCTATATATGATTCTTCATTTCGTGTCTGATCATGGCAGAAAAGCTTAATATCTCAATGTTACTCTCTTTTAAACAACCTGTCCCTGCATTTCCTTTGACCTTTATCCACTAAGGACTAGATGAATTTTTGGTTGAGTTCTCCAGATTAGGTTTTTTATTATAGTCTTTCATTTCGAAGATTCGCCCTTAAAAATCTGCCTGTTTGGAAAGCTGACAAGCGTTCCAGGTAAGCCAAAGAAAGCTCTTTCGATATATTTGTGTATTTATTCTCTTGCTTAAAGAATATAATAAAATTATTTATTGAAACCATATTCGTTTATGCTTATTGGTTGTCGGCAATTGGGTTTTGTTAGAGGCGAATAAGAAATGGCATTTAGGAGCGTAGGTCTTAAAACGTCATATTGACGGGTCTCCATTTTTTACAGTATGGCGTCGCTAGGTTATGACGTCACGCCGATGAGCCGCGATTTTATGGGGCGCGCTGGCGCCGGATCCGGGCCGAAACGACGCGAATTATTTTTATCTCTGGCCGATCATAGGCCATAGATAAATCGAGCATAATTAACGCGATTTATCCACGATCACGCTTGATCATACATGATGTGAGTGAAAATTTCAAAATTCTCCATTTTCCGAGGTCTGACCCCCTCGATTTTCTTTTATTTTGGGGTTTCTGTATTCTTACAGCTCGAGTTTCTCCTTCGCTATATAGATCTTTGCGCAACGTTCCAGTGACGAACATAAGCGGATGTTACATTCGCGGGATTCAAACTCTAGTTACCATAAATAAATTTATGGTCTACTCCAGCGCCTTTACCAACTAGGCCAATTCAGAACTTAGAAACAAAGGTCTAAGGTCTAATATTTATATATCATCTCAGAGGACTTGCATAAAGTCCTGCAAGATGAATGATAAATATTAGAACTTATAACCTTGCTCTCACGTTCCTCCTTGGCCTAGTTGGTAAAGGCGGTTGCGGTTGATATACCTTTAGTTTGTTCTTGGTGACCAAAGTTTGAATCCCGCGAACTTACTGTCCCTGTATCAATTTCGTGTCTTCATTAATTGGATTACGCAGATATCTAAAATATGAAGGAAGCTCCGACTTGTAAGAAAATGGAAATCCCAAAATAAACGAAAATGGAGAAAATTGAAGGGTCGAAAGTTTTATTCAAACCATGTATGATCAAGCATGATCGTAGATAAATTTCGTTTATTACACTCGATTTATCTATGGCCGATGGTCGGCCGAAGATAAAAATTTACGCGTCGTTCCGGGCCCGGATCCGGCGCCAGCGCGCCCCAAAATACCGCTGCTCGTTAGGGTGACGTCATACGACTAGTGACGTCATACGCATGGTAACACATCCGTAACTGACTGAAAATCTTTGCTTCAATATCTCAATTGCGAATTTTTGTCAACATACGATAGCTAGTTTATCCCGAACAACAACTATTCGAAACCCCTGACAAACCAATCCCAGACTCTGAGCCAGCATGGAAGTATTCTCATCCGTTATATTTATTAAATACGCTTTAATTCAAAATAATATCTCAATATATAATACAAGTGCCTAAATTATGTTAAAATGACACAATCTGCTAAGATACCGGCACAGAACGAACTTTGTGACAGGGCATAAACAGAGTAAGCGAGATTTGGATTTACTCAGCGCAAGCGCAAAGTTTCAAATACCATTTTTCAGTTCAATTAATAGTCGCATACCATTTCAGTTCAACTAAACACAAATCAGGCATGCCCCCTATTGCGGGTCCCAATTAAAAAGGGTTACTCGTTTTTTTAGATGGCAGTCTATCACTCTGTAACCGGGTTTTAAGTCGGCGCTTGCCGATCCAGATATTCACCCCACGGCAGATGACAACGTGGGCCATGCGTACCGGTTTGCTCAATTCAATTAAAAATGAAAATACAGATTGTACAATTCTAAAACACTCGCTATCAAGATAAAACTGCAATTCTACGTCTGCTTGATTTGAGACGAATATCTTCTTCTAATACCTCAGAACGTACCTGAAATATAAAAAACTGGCTCAACATGTATTTAAAAAAATATTTCACACGACCGCTTAGAATGATTTTAACATTTATAACTTATTGACTAAAATTGCGACACCGATAACATATTCCGCAATAACAATTATGAGACTAAATTCTTGGGATTGAATAACACTTTGACAAGGATCACTTGGGACAGCAAAAATTGACAGCATTCGACTCCAAACCAGACAGTCGTGAGTTAAATAAAAATGAGACAAGCGTGTTAAATAGGATTTTAAGAAATATAATTCATAATATTCAATACAATAAATTTATGAAATACTTTAGGTCATTCTCACTTTGAGCCGTCAGACAAGCCGACCAAAGCGTATCCACTGGCAGCGAACAACACAAAAAAGCTATATTGATTTCATTTTAGATATGTTACTCCCGAAGCATGTGTACCAGGTTAGGGTTAGGCCATTATTTCAGGCACAAATACTACTAATAGAACTAAAATAAGGACAATAATTGGAATAAAATCATGGCCTAACCCCAACCTGGTACACATACTACGTTCCGGTGTCCGCCATCTTGGTACGCATACTTCAGGAGTACCAACAAATTATAGCTTGGCGAATATACTTGAAATCCAGAATTGCAGCTAAAATTGAACATTAAATATATCGATAAAGATATTGATTGAATAATTTTACTACATTTAGGCCTTTATAAGAAGACATTGAATAATTACTTTATCCCGACTTGTAAGATTGATCTCTCCTTGATTCGCTGTTCCGGGCAAATCTGAACAATAAGCTACGAGTTTGAAAAAATGCAGAAATATTTTACAAGAATGGTGACCTATTACCATAGTTTGCAGTATGTTCGCATACAATCATGGCGTTGAAATAAGGAATTTAAATATATTCTTAGTAATCAAGATTCGATTATTAAGTTATCGGGTATCTAAAAATGCCCGGATTTAGTATTTAATGCCAGTTTAGCAGGTGCTCCCGACTTATGTGCACCAAGATGGCGCACAACCTGAACATAGTATGTGTACCAGGTTAGGATTATCAGGTTGTTCTCCAATTTGGCGCACATCCCTTTTGACTATTTTCTTCAAAGTAACTAGTGAGTTATTGATAAAACTGATTCTTATTGTGGGTGACAACCCCGCGCGAACTGACTGAGTGATGAAATGGGAAGTATTCAAAAATGCCCATCTTTAGTAGTTAATGTCGGTTCGGCACGGCCCAACACGCAGTGAAATAGATACACCCAAAAAACTCACCAACTGCAGATATCGCGAGACTCTTACATGATGATTTTCAGAGAAACTACGGGCAAATTGCGTTTCCATATAGTTGTGCATTGCTCTCTTGTTACTTCAAAATCTCATCTTGTATTCGTATGCATTCTATATAAAAGAAGCATTTAGTGTAAATATAATAGCAGTATAGTACTGTTTGTCAGCGTTTACAATTGTAACACGCAACAATATAGTGGTGTAAAAATTTAACAGAACTGCAATAAGTTCGTAGAAAGAATTATTTGATGTTGTATTCTTACACAATTACATTGGTATAATCACAAAATCATAAGCTTGTTTATGTAGAATAAATTAAGGTCACGATCGTTCAAATTAAAGCTAAACAATGATGGAAAAATGCGAAATTTACTTCAAATTTTGTTGTTAGTTAAGCGCTGTCATTATTTAAAAGTACACATTGTACAAACACGATCTAACAGTTTAGGAAATTATTCTTCAGGTTAATTTACGCCATTTCTTCCAATGGGTATATTTTCCATGAAATAGAAAAATACGCAATTCCCACCTGTTCACTTACACCGATCAATCGTCACACGACCATCAGCAGTAACAATATCTTCTACCTTTGCATAGCCTGTAATCAGATAAAAAAATTATAAGACGTTTGCTCTATAATCAAGTTGTGATAAAAACTTTAGATTTTGTAACATTTTTAGACCAACAACCTACCTTTCCAATTAAATCGACCAATCGTCACTAGTCCACTAGTAGTAACAATATATTCCTTCTTCGCAAAGCCCTGTAATTAGATTAAAATTATAAGACTTTATGATCAAACATCAATCAGTCGTCACTTCACCATCAACCGTGTCAATACCATTTGTCGATAGGTTCTTCCTTTTGGCCTGTAATTTAAAAATCTCGAAAGGACGATGATACAGAGTTATTGAGCTTAGTAGGAAAATTATAAACAATAACACTTTGACCAGAAAGCAAGACTTGATCAATTAAGAATAACGTTGCAAAAACAGCAAACGCGGTATATAATAAAAAAAACTAGAACACAATGCTGAAACGAATATAAATGTGAGCACGAAGATCGTGACAAAAATGATCATCCATCGCAAATTCTGCTAAATATTTGAAGCATTGAAAAGATTAGTTGTGTCAAGGGATTATAAAAATACGGCAAAATGTGGAGGAAATACCGGTCCCGTTGGAATCAAAACATTTGCAAATGTAGCCTCCCAGCACTTCTGTTATCTTTGAGAACTTTATTTTCACAGCAGCATCTTCGTATCGAACAAGCACAACCCAGTAGAAAAACGGCGCTCCGGAAGTATTCGTACCAAGATGACGCACAACCTGAACAACCCGAACCTGGTACACATTCTATGTTTAGGTTGTGCACCATCTTGATACGAATAATTCGTGAGCACCGAAAAACCGCCAAGGAATTTAAATCCCAGGAAGCGCAAAATAGCCTAACAAAAGTGAATAGTTTTGCAATCGGTATTCTGCTCTCAATTAGGAACGAGGTGCTCGAGAAAAATGAAAACAAAACACACGTTGAATCAATTTGCGTAACATGAAAATATAAGATTACAGAAACTATAATTATCTTATAACACTCAAAATCACAACTAGAATTCTGAATATGACTTAAACACTCGGGACCAAAGAAAATCATTTTGTGTTTTTGAATTCTACGTACTTACTAATAAAATTACTATTCATAAATTTATAAACTTCAGCTTTGTTCATAACAGAATGTGCGCTACATTTTAGGCGACAGTACATTAATAATCTTGTAGAAACACTGTTGACAAGTAAAACACTGTTATATCCAGACATTCGCTGGCTAAATAACTGTGCGAGCACACCAGCGCAGAAACGACCTCACGCTGCCACACCCTGAACTGAAATGTGGCACGCGCGCCAAATATTTTTTAAACGTCAAAAGAGAAGAAAAAAGGCAGTATCAAAAAGAAACACAAGGAGAGGGAATTGTCATTTTTAATTAAGAAACAGAGATACGTAATCTAATTCTCACTCCGATCAGTGATCAATGATTGTTGTTTACTATTGGAAATAAAGAACGTAGATTTGGGATGTGACTGAGAAGATTGTCGGATTAAACCACATTCCATTGAAACTTTATCAAGACAACTATTTGTTTATTGTTATTCTCTTTGTGTTTTGTTATAAGCCCAGTCTCGACGAAAAATGTTTTTGGATTCATAATAGAGCATTAGTGACCTTTACGGGGCTTTACTCCTCTGGGTAATTTTAATCGGAATTGATCTTATGCGACGTCTGTTGGTCCACACTCTATAGAACTTCACGTTATGTTGTCCAAACTACGTGATATCTTCAATGATTTGATCCAGAAAGCCTTGTAATTGAGTAGGTACACATATATATTTCAATTTTGTTATGAAGTCAGTTCTCAATATATCTTAACCAGGTTTGTTGTTTTCTAATCAATAATCGTTCAAGTATTTGTACTTCATTTTATACATGTGTGAGGGCAGAATCAATAGATCGAATTGATGAATTCCCTTTGCATTTTTAAAATATTCCAAAACTTTATGGACACCCTATATTTCCTTTAACCCAACACCATTTAATATCTTGTTGATATTGGGTCACTTTATACAGTATTGAAATTATTCTTTACACGTGAATAACAACATCATCGAACTCCTTGGAATTTCACCGGTAGTCTCTACCCTCATGTCGCCGTACACATACGCCACTGACATGTGTTTCGCCAAGTATATAAGTGTTTCAAAAAGCATGATATCTCACCCATACCGCGCAGTTCAATGTTGTGTATAAATCATCGAACCATTTAAGTCGGGGTCACAGCTCATAGCTCATCCGAGAATTGGGTGAAGTCTTGAGTCCGACGTCGAGTTTATCCCTAACTTTTACTGGCGTTTAGTAAGCGACGAATCCCAGCTAACTGATCTGATTATCATATATGGTGAAAGATCTTACTTATTGACCTGCCAACTAATATTCATCTATTTGGATATTCGCGTGCACTATTATTTGTCTTGAGGAACAGCATGTAACTACGATGGTTTGCATTTATTTAATTATTTTTTAAATGTTTGAACTATAGATGAATTGTTGAGAATTATAGGCAAATTTTTAAAATGCATTGATCTTGCTTACTATTTAATGGAAAAGGGTGAACTTGAAAATGTCTTAAATGTTTGTACGACTTAGTCGTTCAAGCCCAGCAATGTTGATTCTCCTACAAATGTTGCTTCTAAGTCCGAGCAATTAAGTTGCCTGACTCTTTTGAAGTAAAAATGAGTATCTTGATTCCGCCTAAGCAGTTTACCTCTTTCAATTTTCAGTGCTGTTTAATGTCATTTCTATATTTATCACCGGAAATCTAATGACTGACTGACAAGCGCAAACGGGACATAACAGAACGGAAAGGACAATTTTCTTGTTGTAACAGAAGTGACGAGCACTCATAGTCATAATTATGTCATGTGCGAAAATAAATTAAGTTTTAAAATGTTGTTAATTCAATTTTCGATAGTCACATATTTTTGTATGCCTACACCTTGCTGAGATGCTAGCGTTAATATTAAATGTAATACATCTTGTATATGTCAATCATATTTGCATTGAATCTAAGCAAGCCATATTATTTTATTTGTCGATCGGAATTCATGTTCATCATGTCGTAGGAATGTCCTAAGAGTCCTGCCACATATTTCTGTTGGACACAGCCCAAACCATCGCGTCGTCATGCGGGTCAAGTCGGATGCAATTATATTACATGTGCTACTGTTTTAAGAGTTCCAGGCAGCCGCAACTCTAACCTGGCACCCAAACTATATACATATTACACTGCACATATTATATATAGCTCGGAGGGCGATTACTGCTTCCCAGCATTCCTTCCACACTAATATACTTTGTTCCAGGCAGGAAATAAGGCGCAAAATGTCCGAAAATGTCTGAAGAGCACAGCCCAAATTTTAGACAAAAATATAATCTTATCTTCAGTAGTTTTATTAAAAATTACAACACGAGATAAAAGAGCACATATAATGTTTTATAATCGGTACACAGAGATCAAAAGTTAAAAACAACTGCATTTTAAAATCAAAATAATCAAATCGCCAAAATAAGGATGCTCTATAAAAAAGTCCACCCCAATCCTACAGCAATTAACACAATAAAGAGAGTAATCAACCCATACAGACTCGCAGAACGTTTTACTCAAAGCAGAAAATCTAAGGGTCTTGCATAGTTATTATTTGATATCGTAATTTCGAAGTCAAACAATTTGAAATGAAAAGGGTACCCAAGCAAACTTGTACAATTCGCCAAAAAAAGAATATTTCATCAACAAAAAATTTATTCTAAATACATTTTCATAATCATCTGCGCTAACAGTATTTAAAAAAACACAAAATAAATACTAGCGTTCGGTATTTAAAGATGAACAAATTTTCAAGAATCAGATTGTACAGATGCAATCAATTCCCATAATCAGGTTAGTTCCAATTTTTTTTAAAACACTGAGCGACAACAAATATATCGACATACTTAAATTGTTACGTCCATTAGAAGTTACGAAGCCCTTGGCATAAAAAATGAAACTTCCAAAAAGAGAGAAGCACAAAATGAATATAAAAGTTCGCTAATGCAAAAGTGTTTAACAATTTTTCAAGAAATCGGATTGTACGGCTGCAAAGTGAAGAATTACATTACTATATAGAGATTATATAGCAGTCGTTTTTGCACTTTTTTATTTCGAATGTTAACACAAATAAATACACAAATAAAATTGCTGTAAACCATACGCGGAGCTGGATATTTCAATGAATTGAATCCAGCTCGGTGTATAAATCCCACCCCAATCCCACAGCAATTTTAAAAAGAGAATAGACGAATAATTTTGTTTGGAAATAAAATTAAAAAATGACACGAATTAAATTTCATATAATAAAAATGCTATCATAGAGTCTCAGAAAAAAATGTTCGCTTCAATACATTTCAGGCCTTAGCCGATAATAAAGCATTATAACGTTCACACATTATTTATCACGATTTATCTCCATTTTTGGTATTTTTTTTACGGTTATGCACATTCAAGCATTTTAACATGGTCTAACACTCGTGGAATCACTGTTAAGGGTCTAAATCAGACACAGGCAAACTATAACCCGCGGGCCAAATCCGGCCCGTTGGGCAATATAACCTGGCCCTCCTGATACTTCCACAACCAAATTAAAACGTAAAAGCGTAACTTATTCAAACGCGTAAAGGTAAATTTAGGCGTAAAAAATAGCTCAAGAAATTTGTTGAGGTTGCGACTAAATTTAGTTTCGGCACGAGGCTTATTGTTTTCCACTTTTGCTTTTGTAACATTGTAAATATTGTTCATAAAATGTAACTTTTACGTCACACTTGGTCCCTGGTCCAAAAACCAGGACCACCCCTGGTCTAAATTCACCGAGTTTATTGCACCGGCATTATTGTCTGCGTATATCAAATTTTCAGAGTTATGACGTCTTGATAGTCTGACCCAAAGGTCTCAGAATCGGTCTGATCACACATTTCAGAGTTTCATAGTGTCAGAGTTCGACTGTGGTAATAGTTCCGATCAGTGTTTTCAAGTCTTTATTTCCACGTTCTTTGATGGAGATCGGAATTAGTGCTGTAGTGAAGAACCGCCTTTAGATTGTGACGACCATTTGCAAATCAATCGACCTGTAAAAAATTTTTTGGAAGTGACAAGTGTCTTAACTTTTTTCCTGAGTTTGCGAAAATATTTTGTACAAATACCAAAACAACCCATTTTTTAATACTTTGTGTTGCAAACTAGAAAAACAAAACGAATGTTTCAAATATTTTACCCGTTTTAGACCTTGCTGAACGATAATTCGAAGATTTGATGTCAAGTCCAGGTCTACAACGCTTCCGTTATTCCTGTTAAATGAGAAAAAATTCAGTTTCGACATAGCATTGCGTTACAAACTAGTAAATCAAGATGAATGTTTTAAATATTTTACCTGCTGAAGTATTTGCTAGATGATAATTTGTAGATTCGAATTCAACCCCAATTTCACAACGCTTCTATTATCCCTGTTGAATAAGAAAAATTCAGTTTCAACATAGCTATGTGTTACGAACTATTTAAACAAGGATGTATTTAAATATTTTACCTGCTTTAGTCTTTGCTAAACGATAATTTGTCAACCCCAGTTTCACATAGTCCTCTTCCCTCTAAAGTGGAAAAGAAAAATTTAGTTTTAACAAACTACCTATGGCGAATGCTTACAGCTACTAAAGTACTCTAATCGATATAAATGTATTATATTAACAGGACTTGCCATAATTTTATTCCGATTTTCCTCATTTTAGTTCTATTACAAGTTCGGGGACTATCTGTGTTAGCCAAGTGAATATCCCCCTGCCCATAGGTTTCAGTCCCTTTATACAACTTGATGGAAAATAGGCGAACAAGGGCCATGGTTATGTTTTCTAAAAAGTAATAAAAATTTGCTTACCAATGTGTTCCCATGAAATAGTGTTCTCTTTTATCAATAATTTACATTTCGATATGATCGAAATCACTCATCCAGTTACGTTGTTGATCATTCCTCCGTAGTGCAAGTCTATGAAAAGAAATAAAAAAATCATTTCCATTCCAAGTATGCAGTCAAAATATTTACTTCCGGGGTTATAAATTACTTCCGCATTTAAAATTAAACTGCAGAGACTACACCATGTCAAAATCAACCTATTAGTTCACCTTGTCAAAATCCCGTAAAACTCTGTAAATAAACTGTTTTTATTCATAGTTTTCATATTGAGTTTTGAGCTTCCGGCCCAGTGACCAAGTCTAATATCTATGAATGGCCCACTAGGACAAGTAATTGCCCATCTCTGCTCTAATCGATATAATACATTAACAAGACTTTGAGAATTTAAGACAAAAAGTTTCCGATTCACTTCATATGTGCCTTGGTTAAGTTGTCTAACTAAAGTATTGAATATTTACTTACCATTGTCTTCTTGTGAAGTTGTGTTCCCTTTTATCAATAATTTATATTTTGATATGATCGAAATCACTCATCCCATAATGTTGTCAAAAATTCCTTCATAGTGCAAATCTACACAAAGAAAAATAATGACAAAAGTTATTTCAATTCGAAGTATGCAGACAAAATATTTACTTCAATGGTTATAAATTACTTCCGCGTTTGGATTTAAACCGCAGAGACTACAACATGTCAAAATTACCTTATTAGATCACCTTTTCAAACACTCGGTGACTCCTAGAGAAAAGTTGACCTATATCTAAATGGAAAAATAAAGTATATACAAACATAAATTTCATCAAACGGCCAGCGGTGCCACCTGTGGTTCATCAACAATTCAACGATCTTCTTATTGTATATCAACAGTTTCGTCATATGTCGTCAACGCAACTCGAAAGAAAATGTTCAACTATTGAAAAATCATCAGTCAACAAAAAGGTTAGACGCAGCCCCTGCAAATAAAATGGTTAGATGCGGGTCCTGCAAAAAGAGGTTAGATCAAGCCTTCAAAAATATGGTGAAAACGGTTAGACCCTGCAAAAAATGGTTAAACCCAGCAAATTTTTTTTTAAAAATATGGGTATTATATTACCTATTCATATACTCGATGTACTCTACACTCTTATGCAACTTGTACTCCATCAACATTCCATAGCAGTTTATATCAAAGGTTTCCTCGCCCATAATTCACAAATGTCAACTCAGAAAAAGGTCAAGAAGCCAGCAACAATGCTCGTGTTCATCAGCGATTCAGGTGCAATTTCATTGCAGGTAAACGGTTCCACAAAAGATTTGTCCTGTCCTGAGTTATCAAAGTGACCAGCGGAGAACTTTTTTGACCTAAACTAAATTGAATTTAAAGTACCAACATAAGTTGTATCAGACGGCCAGCGATGCCATCTATGGTTCATCAACAATCGTTTTCAACAATTCAAAGATCCCTTTATTATATATATATATATATCAACGGTTTCATCATATGCCTTCAATTCAACTCGAAAAGAAATGTTCAACTATTGAAAAATCATCAGTCAACAAAAATGGTTAGACCTAGTCCCTGCAAGAATAAATGGTTAGACGCGGCCTTCAAAAAATGGTTATGATGGTTAGATGGTTAGACCTAGCAATTGCAAAAAGGGTTCGATGCAGACCCTACAAAAAAGTGGTTAGTCCCAGCTTGCAAAAAATGTTAAAAATGGTTAGACCAATATAAAATGGCCTGCAAAAAAAATGATTAGATGCAGCCAGCAAAAAATGATTAGATGAAGCAAGCAAAGAAAATAGATGCAGCAAGCAAAAAAATGTTAAATGCAGCCTGCAAAAAATGTTAAAACGCCGACTTCAAGACAAAAAGAACATAGAGATAGGCAATAAAATAAACATGGTTTAAACTGTAAATAAGGGCAAATATAGGCTTCATAACTAGGTGAACTAGTCCATGATTCGTTCTTTTCTGTTAGCTTATAAAAATCCTCTTATTTCAAAAGCTATGCTGCCAAGTTCAACAAATTACACATCAGATCCATCAACAAAATCAACTTAACGTAGAATCTGTAAAAAGAATGAAGTAAAGTCGTAGTTTATTGCAGCATAATTGGAGATGAGTCTCAACAAATCCTCCCACACATTTTAGAGAGCCATACAACCATGATGTCCAGTTTCAACTTGCAATGTCATGTTTCTCAACTCTCCACATTAATGCAACATAGAAAAGCACCTGAAATATATAAATTTCGTTTAAATGTAGAAATGAACACTTACACCATCGCGTTTATTCATCCTCCACGATTAGAATCGTTCATCGTCACTAACACAGCAATCCCGTAGTGTTTATACCTGAAATTATGGCCTAACTCTAATCCGGTACACATACTACGTTCCGGTGTCCCCCATCTTGGTTCACATACTACGGGAGTACCAAATGCTTCGTGCATTGAACATAATACTACTGATTGTATATAGTGGCATTTGTGGGACTCAATGCAAGCAGTAGGATTGCCAACATAAAAACAAAGGATTCATATTTAAATTTAAGATTTAGGAATCACCATTTCTTGAATTTTGTAATAAAAATCATAATTACTCAACTATTCCCAACAGCTACTAATTGAATCCAAAATTTTCATTTTTACTCAACATAGTTGAAAAATAAACTTATTAGAATATTATATCGAATAAGTAACTGGTGAATTTCCGAGAATAAAATACGGTATATCACCTTTTCACTGGTAATGGCATGCCAGTCTTTTGGCGATGGACAGAGTTGTGGTTACAGCGTATGTTCGGAACGAAGTCTGTTGCCTGTGGCAAAACAAAAACGACTTTCCGAGCCGGACCAGTCGCTTCTAAACGACTTTCCCAGCCGGACCAGTCGCTTCTAAATATATTATCAAAAATCTTTATACATAGAAACATGGAACAGGGAGGCGGAATATAATACAAGAGAATTGTTAAATTTAAACGGTGACTATTACGCATTACTAAAAACTTCAAATGCTGAATGCTTTTGGCTGCTCAAATGTATTTGTAGTTAAATTCAAACCGAACATTTTATATTATTGGAAACTGTCGAGTCAATTGACGTTCACTAATTATGCTGGATCATCAGAAATAAGTTAAAAGTCTCGGAAAATGATTGAAAATAACTAGTGTTCATCTTCTTCCCATGATATCTGAAAATATGAAAACAGTATTAGTTGAGGAAATGATAGTTTATACCGAAGCAAATTTTTTGGAAAGTGGAACGCTAAAATATGACACAGAAAACATAACAAAACAAATGCAATAGATAAAGTGTCGTACAATTGTTTGCAAGGCACTGGACATGCCTTGCATTTTATCGCACGACAATAGGAAGTATGTAAATATGATAAAAAAACAAGTCGAATGTGATGAATGTCTTGCATTTTACGCACGACATCACAGTGTATGAACATGGTTTTGTCGCCAAGACAATAAACATGGAAAATTAAAACTATGTACAAGTGTAAAAATATAACCTAGAAGTAGATTGGAAGAAAAAGAGTTTCAATCCACAGACAAGATGTCTGGGAATCGTTACATCATTCATTCTCCTAATTCACCGTGAAAAAGTAAATTATCAAACCCAGCTTGAAGTCACAAGAGAGGACAACAGTGCGAGTGATAATTACTCTTCACCCTTATACCTGTCTATCCCTAACTAAAAACTAAAAACTACATATTCATAACCTACCTAAGGTCAGCTTTTTTTAACCCAATATGTATTTATCATGTGCGCGGGCGATTTCACTCTGCTACGTTGAGTGAATCCTGGCTAAATGGTGCAAGCACCAGGGGTTTAGGCTCTCTAGATCGAAGCGCGGGCGTCATCTCCCCCTGCAATCATGAACACGAACCCAAATATTGCAATTTATGAGTTTGTTTTGATTGCCGTACTAAACTATATATAAACTGAAAGCTGACCGGCCTAAAAACCCTAAGTTGCCCGAGACCTAGAGGCAACATTTACGAAGAATAGAAGACAACTTTGCATTGGCGCACAGTTGACCTAATCGTAATAAGGAAAATTTCAGTTTTAGATCATTGTTGTCTCGTGTTTTATGGGTTTAACTGCATATTACAACTGTTTGTGCCACAATGCTTAAGTCATCAACTACTATTTGCCCTAGTCTAACTACCTTACCAGCAGCTTAGTGCTACTGGGCTTGGCAATATTGAATCTGGGTTAGAAAACCCGTTCAATATTAAACCAAGACTTCACCTCTTTAAGTGCAATAGTGGCCAATGGTTTTCCAATAAATCCGAATATCGGAATAATTCAAACAAATGATTTGAAGAATTTTAAGCTTTTGCCATTTATTGCGCCCGAGAGGATCTATTGTACCTTCCGATGTCTTTCGTCTGCTTCGTCTCACAATTTGTGAGACCCTGTACTATGGCCTAACAAGGAAAAAAGTTCAAGTCTCATCCAAATATGTGCTCCATGTGACCGATTTAATTTAGGAGACTTTGAAGCTTAATCCCAAAAATAAAAAACAAAACCTAACGCCCTATCTAACTAACAACACATAATTCAGTGCAGTGTTAAGCCTAACCGAAACCCTTCTTTATTTAATTCAGTCGGTCACAGGAGCAAATTTTGTTTAATTTCAAATATATCACATTGTTATGATAATTATCGAAAGGTTTCGGCATTATTGAAAGAAAATATGGTTAGTTTTCCCTATTTCAAATAATAATATTAAAAAATCGTCCACGAAATTATTACTGAGTGGATCGATACATCAGAATGATGTTAAATAAAAGTCCAATCAGCAATTTATACTGATTAATGTATAAATCATGTACACGCCCATAAAGAGCAGATCATCATAAAAATCATTTGAATTCTTAAATTCCTATTACCCGCCGGACTGAGTTGTTCTTCGGTAACCATTCCTAATAAGAGCCATAGAAACATCTAGTCTAGATTCGTCTGTCGAACCCTGTCTAGTCATTCCTTGCTGACTAACTAATAAATCGACAGACGAAATTTGTAGTACCACACAAGTGAAGAATCCTCTAGCGAAGCGTAGGGTCCTATCTTCCATCTTCGCGCCCTTTGCTTTTCGCCCGATGGCTCTGATCCTACATAAAGTGTTCTTACCGCAAACATAAACAACAATCGAAATCGTTCAGTTCGCCTGGGATAAAAACATGAGAACACTAAGTATAATATTCGTAAACTTATATTTGCTTTTCAGGGTGAAAATCTGAAAATCTAAGCGAAGGAGTGTTAGTACAACGAACACAAAACGAAATTAAAAGTTCAGTTGGCCTAAGATGAAAAAAAAACATGAGAACATTAGGTATAATATTCGGAAATTTATATTTTACATTTTACTAAACGTTTTTTTTGACCAAACAATAACAGCATAAGCAATTATGTAAAGCGATCTGTAGTTTCAATAATTACCTTACTCAAACGATGACGTATTTGAGATCTTCGTAACATTCAGTCAGCTCACGATCACGTAAACATGCGATGCAAGACAGGTATTAGAAACCTGTTCTCAAAAGTCGTCGTTCAAATATGTGAATGTTTTTCGACT